ACCCGACCCGAACCCGACCCGAAGTTACTGAGAGAGACCCGAACCCGACCTGAACCGAACCCGAACAACCCGAATTCGACCCGATTTGACCCAAATTTCATATTTCGTAATAATAATAAGTTTTACACTATTTTTAATAGTTTCTAAGCATAACCCGAAATCGACCCGAAATCTGACCCGAACCCGACCTGCTGACCCGAATTGCCACCCCTACCAATGACTAATGAGAATGATAGATTTGGAATCACACTCGCCTCTTCAAACTGCAAATTATGGGTGACTAACACATGAGAATGGTTTCTTCAAAAACAAAAATAAATAAATAAATAAATGTGAAAATAGAGAATGGTTGCGAGTCGCGACTCATCTCATTGAAAAAATTATCAATTTCACCTTTAAGCTTGTTATGATGTTAATGACGGATTCGAAAAATATAACATATCCAACATTATGGTTGAATCATAAACTTAAAGTTTAAAAATAAAGTTTCACAACAATATATTATACGAGTAGATGATAAAAATGACAGCTATAATATTAACTCTCAACACCAAATTTGCGAAGTACAATTATTGTATCATCGCTCGTTATTTTGTGTTTGGTCACCGGTTACTAATGCCAAAAGTTGGGACCTTATCTTACACTTTGAAGTCCATCTAGCTCTATAGCCTCCATCTCCATTCTTCAAGGGGTTGTTTCTCCTTTATGACGATTCCAAAGAGGTCTCTAATCGTTATACAATTACAATATTACATGGAGTTTAATTACTACTCCTATACACCTTTTTCTTTCTCTAAACTTCATATCAATTTGAGTCTTCTAATAAAGGACAAAGTCTTATTCACTATACTCCATAAAGTTGTGTTCTATTACATGTTTTTCATTTATCTGAACTAATCTTACCTTATTTGAACTTATCTTATCTTAATTTATATGTGAACACAATTGAACTTATTTAAATTTATCTTAACTTATTGAAATTTATTCTAGTTGTAATTGTAAGATCATAAACTAAACTTATTATCCGAACTTATTACACATGAAATAAGTGAAAATAAAGTGTAAAGACTCTATCATCGTTTATGTAATTCAAAGCTATTTAAACCGCGTTTTATAACTCTTATCAAATTAAATCTATTTCAATATGAATTTTGAAAATGTTATTATTATTATTATTATTTTTTATATTTTTAATATGCAATTCAATATATACTTTTTATCAGTATAATACACTAAACAGGAAACACCATAATGTAACTTATAAAACAAAAAAAGTCTCGAATATGCCAATAGACAAAGTCAACTTCTTGTCTTTTATTGATCTAACATCTAAGATTAAATTCAAATTCCGCAATAATCAATACATAATGCAACATTGCAACTTAGTTGTTCTACTTAGCCGTTTAATGATTGTCTTGGTATTAAATCAACATTTTCGTAAGCTACTAACTTGCATGCTTTTTTCTAGAGTTATTTATTAAAGGAAGTCAACCTAATGTTTTTTTGAAAGAGGAAGTCAACCAAATTTTGAGCATAAAGATAAAGATGTGAGGTGTGTGACGTTAATCTGGGATCCAATTTCTTTAAGATCACAAATTAAATTAGCTCTTAATTAATATTGATTGACAAATTTATTTAGTCTAGTTTTCTAAATGGTTGAACTTGTAAATGTCCTATAGGTGATCAAGTTAAGACCGACCCGGCCTAATTTTGGGCGGGCTTTGGACACCTTTTGTTTTGCCCGGCCCAATTAAAAAAAAATTAGGTGGGCTTGAGAAAACTATTTTATTCAATTTTAGTTTTTTTTTTGTTCGGTCTGAAATTGGCCTGAAAAGCCCGCATGACCCGCCTAATTTGGACGGGTTTGTGCACACATTTTTTGACCAAAAGTTTGGCTCGACCCAATCCATTAAATGGGCATATCTTTTTAACCTTGGCTCGGCCCAGCCCGATTGATCACCTCTAAAATATCCCACATTATAAATAAAGTGGAGGAATTATTTCTACTATCACCATACACCAATTGGTTTTAGGGGTCGTTTGGTTCGCGAGGGGTAATCAGAATGAAATGAACAAAGGGAAAGACAAGGAATGGAATGAAAATACCTAAAATTTTCTATGTTGTTTGGCCTTAAAAATAAAGGGAATGAGGGCCACCAGTCCCACCACCACACATCCACCTCAAACCTTCACTCTCCACCGTTTCCAGCCACCAAACCACTCGCCGCACCTCCCTCCCCCTTCACCTCCCTTCGCCGGTCATTCCCGCCCTCGCACAGCTCTACCCGCCCCTCGCAAAACCTCCCTCAACCCCGAAAAACCACCCTTAGCCCCGAATAAACCCTAGAAACTATTCTCCCTCTCCGTTTGAGGTGCGACAACCTCCGACGAGGGTTAGGGGAGGTGCGAAAAGGGGTAGCGACGTGCGATTCCGATTCAAAAAGGGGCAACGAACAGATCCGATTCCGGTGCAGGGGAGATTCGGCGAGGGGCGGGGGAGGGGCGGCGAAGGTCAGGGGAGGGGCGGCGAAGGTCAGGGTAAGTCGGTGGTTGGGTTTTCCGGTGGTTGGGTAGGTATGAAGGTGGTGATGTGGTGGTGTGGTGGTGGTAGGGAATGAGAATGGAAATACCTGGGGGGTGGGGAATGGGCTTAAAAGGATTTGGGGGAATGGATGGGGGAAAGGGAATGAAAAAAAGGGCTAACAAACAGCAACAAAGGGAATAAGGAATCAGGGTGGTTGATTCCCTTTCCCTTTGATGAATACCCCCAACCAAACGACCCCTTAGTATAAAACCTCATTTGTCTTTGTTTATAATTTGTGGACCAAACTCATAATTAAACTAAAACGACTTGAACTAAAATTAGACGCAGAGAATCGAAGTCCAAAAGAACTCCACAAAATTGACTTATTTAATTGGTGCATTATTACTTATTAGGATTAATTTTGTTTAACGTTGTTTGTGGGTTATTGTTTATATTTGGAGAACCATGTCAGTCACTCAATCTTGTATATTGCAATCCAAAAATATTCTGAAACTATTGATTGCTTTAATATAATTTACGAGTACAAAAAGTATTATGTGTTCTTTCACAAAAAAAAAAAAAAAAGAAAAAAGAAAAAAGTATTATATGTCATCATATATAAAAACATAATTAAATAATAAATTTTCAAACCACAAGTAAAAAAATAGGTTTTTTTTTTTTTTTTTTCTTCTTCTCAAGTAAAGAAACATATGAAGTGAATATAAGAAGCAGAGGTAGTAAATTATATGTATGGAGTAGGATTTACACTCTCTGTTTCTTAAGTTCTTCTCATTTAAAATCTTGACACTATTCATAATATAAGAGAATCTTCTAAATCAATCATATTATAAATCATAACATTGCCATAGACCCATAGTAGGTTTTTTTTTTTTAATAATTTGTCTCAATGAATAGTTAGGCCCTGTTTGATTCACCTTAAAAAAATAATATTAAGTAAAAATAATTTCAATTCAGTAAAAATAAAATCAGTTCAGTAAAATTAATTTCAATTCATTAAAAATAATTTCAGTTCAGTAAAATTCAGTTTTCTTAAAGAAAAATTATAATAGAAAATCAGTAAAAATAATTTCAGTTCAGTAAAAATAATTTAAGTTCAGTAAAATTAAGTTCAGTTCAGTAAAAATAAGTTCAGATCAGTAAAAATAATTTCAATTCAGGAAAATTAAGGTGAATCAAACAGGGCCTTAATTAACATTCAATTGTTATCCTTTAAATTCTCTCAAAAAAAAATTGTTATCCTCTAAATCAATATATATAAGCAACTAAATATATTTATGGTTAAATTAATACATTGACAAACGTGCAAAAAAAAGTCAAAATGAGAAGAATTTTTAGTAACAAGGGACTATAAGTTTACTCTTCCTAAAATACATGGCCATATAATACTACTCCATACATAACTTTCTTTAAATTTTATTTTAAAAATCATGCTAATTAAAACTCTTAGGTCGTGCACTCGTGCTCAATTCAGCTTACTTAAACAAATATTTTACGGTCATAAATATATAAATTTGATCTTATCTATTCAATTATGAAAGAAGAAAATATTTCTTTTCCTTAAAAAAAAAAAAACGGAAACAAATATTGTCTACTTTCATAATTGAAGAGATAAGATCAAACTTATATAGACCAAATTAGATTTTCTTATCTAGTGCGTCTTGTATGCGGCTGACCACACCATGTAAACCCTGTAAAACTGAACGAGTAACTCCTCTGTAACACTAATAAAGTAATCCTTATAATGAAGGGTTACACCATGTGGCTAGCCACATTTAAAACTTTGTGTTTCTCATAATAGTCCTAACAATATTAGGGACACCTAACATTTAAAGAACATATAATATCTACATAAATAATTGAAATTATGACGAGAATACCAATTTATATAAAATAAGATATTCATATTAATAAAAACCAGGTGAGTAGATCACATCCTTGTACGTATTATTTAAGTTGTTATGTACGAAAATACTCATCTTTGGTTGGGCCATAACAAAGACATTTCTCCACATAGAAGATTAAATTATGTATCATCATCAATCACCTCTTATAATAATTTCAAGTTATGGAGCCCATACGATCCAACTTACACAAATCGTTATTCATCTAACCTTGAAAAATATCACAGCCACGTCAGATATCGCAATCACACAAAAGATGCCAACTAAAGGCCACGTGTAATAACAATATTCGCTTTCACAACCGTTTCACACCCAAAAAAAGCGGGAAAATTAAGCCAACCCCAAAATAATTGGAACAGTATCAAAATCAGCTTACGCAACCTAATCAATTCACACAATCAAAATTTCTAGCGAGTTTCCGCGTAATTTAACGGCTCTGATTTAGTATGGACCACAGTTGCAACGGTGGTCTCTAAACCACACGATCTTAAATATTCCCCTATTTAACCAACTTTTTAAAATGCTGTGCATATACTCTTTTGAGTGGCTAAAAATTTAGTGCAACCCGTAGCAAACAACTCCCTTGCTATAGTCGTTAATTAGTTTAGTTGTTTAAAGTTTTCAGGTGAGAATCTCATCAAGTTATTTTTATGCAGTGCAACCCGTAACAAACAAGTTGTTATTCGACCATAATTGTAAACTTATAACTTGTTTAGTTAATTAAAGTTTTTAAGTGGATTGGAGATTAAATCTTGTCTATATTACGCTACTATGGAGTACTATTTATAGCGCGCTATATGTCAGCTATGGAGTAAAAAAGTTTACTCAAAATATAAAGCAAGCAACTCCTTACTCCTTAGTCTTTAAGTTAGAGGAGAGAGAAAATGGTGAAGAAATATTATTTACACTAACAATGGCGGTTTATTGAGCTAACCTGAAGCTAAGGTTTTCTTCTTCTCTTCTCATTATTCCTTTTTTGGTTGCAATACAGCTGGTTTTTTATCGTGTTTTGCGCGTTTAAGCATGATTTTTTTTTTAGCAATATGAATATTATTTAATTTACTCAATTCATTGCGTGTTTATGTTTGTTACGCATAATTTAGACATTACGAATTTTGACTAATAATGAGAAATTCATTTATTAATTTGGAGTGTATTTATATTCGTCTATTTATATTGAATTAGCATTTATTTTTGGAAATTGACCTCAATTTCAAGTTTGTTTGAGCTTAAAGTTTAATTTTCTGGAAAATTGGTAATTTTTTCTTCTGTTAAGTAATTTTATGCATATGATTACGAGTAAGCTACTAAGCTTCTAGAGTATGTCATGATTTTCTTGTGATTTATTTGGTAAAGTTTATTTTTCAGTCATACATTTTTCATTAAACTAGAAGGATTGAAATATGTATTTATTTATGATAAGTTTTTTATTCGATTAGAGCTGTCAATTCAGGTGTTCGGGTTGAGTACGAGTGATATAGAGGTCAATTAGCCGGTTAGTCGTTTCGAGTCAATTTGGGTAATTTCAGTCGATCACATAAGTGTGACCGCGAAAGGTCAATAGGGTGTGGTACAAAATGGTGATTGTAGTTGTTGTCATTGTTCTTGTTGGTGTCATTGTTGATGGGTTTGCAAGCATAGAATGAATTTATGAATTATGACAGCTAAATTCAGCAATGTTTTATGTAAAATGCTTAAAATTTAAGTTATCAGCATTTGATTATTAAAAAAATAAGCATGTCATGATCTTATTCTATTTGATTAAGCCATAAAATTTAGAGTACTTGTCAATTTCAATGATAACTTCAATAATTATGGGGGTTTGAGAATATTCTCTACAAAATGCTTGCTTCCCTTCATCTTACATGTTAGATAGCTTAGGAATTCAATTATTTATATCTTTGTTTTATCTTCTTGTATGCTAGATTAGCTCTAGAAGTGCTCGTGCCATCGCCCACCAGTACCTTGATTAATTTCTTTCTTCTGAATCATCCAATAAATCTGGTTTTGGTTATATTCATGTCATAGGTCCTCTGCTTTTCTAGCTTATTGCAGTTTGTATGTATATTGCATTGTTTGTTTTGCTCTCAATTCGGTCATCATTTAGTTACATTTCATTCTTTGACAACAAAAATAAACTAAGGCTTGTTTTTCATTTTAATAATTTGATTCATAGGAAAAGTGGTCAGAAGATAAATTTAGCCTTAAAGGAGGTGCTAGTGAAGATACATTGCCAAAATGAAGTTTGGAAAAGAGTACAAGCAGCAAATGGTGCCCGAGTGGGTAGAGGCATACATGGATTACAATGGCTTAAAAAAGATATTACGGGAAATCCGTCAGTCTCGAGTCCCTAGAACGCCACAAACACCTATGAGAGCCTTACAGCAGAGATTCTCAATGTACAGCCCCTTTAGAGGGTCAGGCATAGAGCTCAGTAATCAGCGAAGTAGAGGGGATATTGAGGACCAAGCGATAAAGGTCAGTCCCTATCTAGGGGAAAGTAACAGGACATTCTACAGGACTAAGCTTCTCTTTCCAACTGAAGATACAGATAGAGAGGATGAGGTCAAGTTCTTCAAGAAACTTGACGAGGAGCTCAACAAGGTCAATGCATTCTATCGAGATAAGGTGGATGAAGTTGTAAGAGATGCAGCTGAGTTGAATAAGCAAATGGATGCTTATATGGCATTGCGAATTAAGGTACAAAACCCAGGTGTTAAGAGGTCTGATCCAGAAGTTCCTATGGAACCCTTAAGAGCCAGAACTCAAGGTAACATATGCTGGCTTATTTATTTTACTTGACACAAAAGCATTCATGGTTCATGTTGTAATGGTTCTGGTTTGGAATACATTCTTGTGGAACTTTATACTATGTAGCAGAAGCACCCTCTTCAAGTGAAACTGGTGGCGGCAGGGAAATTGTAAGTCCGACTAATAATGGATCAGATCTCTTGAAGGTCCTTAATCATGTCAAGATTAATAATACACTTCAAGGTCCAATATCAGTGATGCGAGGTCTTCTGCGAGATTTCAAGGATAAAGAGTTGAGTTTTAGCAAAGAGGAGTTGAAACAAGTTGAAGAGCGACTGAAAACTGCCTTTACAGAATTTTATCAGGAACTTAGGCTTCTCAGAAATTACAGGTAGAAAACTGTGTACACTTTCATGTTTAGGGAACTAGACTTCAGTAATATGTTTACCTCAATTGCTGATTTATTTTCTGTTTTTTTGTCAGCTTTATGAACCTCTCAGCATTTGCCAAGATCATGAAGAAGTATGAGAAGGTAAGGGCACAGGGCCTTTGAGCCTTCAAAAAGCTTTATATATATACATGTCATGCTTATATTGTGTCAGGAACTACTATGAAACTAGGTATTGATAAAAACATGGTTTACTAATGCTATTCCTGATTGCAGACAACCTCAAGGTCTGCAGCTCGATCATACATGAAAATCGTGGACAAGTCTTACCTGGGAAACTGTGATGAGGTATGATTTAATCGAGCTATTCACCTCTAAGTATGATTTAAATAAAGAAGCATATGTCTTTGTTTCAGAGAATGAGACTGCAAATATCTCCCTTTAAGATTCACTTATTAATCATGTTGCTAATACAGGTTACAAAACTCATGGACGATCTAGAACACTTATTTATAAAGCACTTCTTTAATGCAAATCGAAGGGAAGGCATGAAGCCTCTGAGACCAATAAAAAGAAGAGAAAAGCACAGAGTAACCTTTCTTTCAGGTGTGTTGCAGCAACACCCATACTTGTGTATTACATATTTTACTCAATACAGCGTTGCATAATAGATGCAGGAACCTTTAGGTACAAATTAGATAATGTGCTCTAGTTCATCTGTTGTTATTTTAGGCTTCTTTTTTGGTTGCACTATCGCACTTGTACTTGCCATTATTCTTATGATGCGGGCAAGAAAAATTATGGAGAAAGGACAAGAAGGCTCCAATTACTTGAATAATATGTTTGGACTTTACAGGTTAGCTAGATCTTTTGAAAGATAATTTAAGTTTTGGTACAAATTTATGCCTTTTGTTCCACTTGCTGCAACCTTACTTTAAAATCATCTCCATTGCAGCTTATTTTTGTATATAGTCCTGCATATGTTCATGTATGCGGGAGACATATACGTCTGGAAACGCTATCGAGTCAATTATCCATTTATATTCAATTTCAAGCAGGGAACAGATGTTGGTTATCGAGAAGTATTCCTTCTCAGCAATGGTCTTGCAGTTCTTGCTCTTGCTGGCTTCTTAGCAAATTCTAACATATTTATTGGCTTGAGAGAGAGTGACAGCAAGAATTATGCCAAGTTGATCCCCCTACTAGTGCTTTTGGTAAGTGAACGAACTCAAATGTATTTTATCCTCATTTTGAACACAGTTCATCAGAGAAAAACTATTTTTTCATGAAAGCAAGCTCACTAAGTAAATTCTGTAAAATTTTTGTTATAGGTGTTTCTTGTTGTCACCTTCTGTCCTTTCAACATCATATTTCGCTCAAGCCGATTTTTTCTGATCAAATGTCTATGTCGCTGCATCTGTGCTCCCTTTTATGAGGTACTACTGAAAGAAACCCAGATGCATTTTAAATGGGAGTTATTTTTTTTCATTTTCATCAACTTGTCATTCTTTCTACTTAGGTCACACTTGCAGACTTTTTCTTGGCAGATCAGCTAACCAGCCAGGTCTTTTACTTTCCCGAGTACTAAGGAAATTAACTGCTAGAAACACATCCTTGGTCATGCATTGCTGAGTGTTTTTTTTTTTTTTCCTAATTCTTTTGATTCTAGATATCGGCAATAAGGAGTATTGAGTTTTACATATGCTACTACAGCCGACAAGATTTTCCTCAGGGACAATCCAAGTGCCACAAGTATGGAGTATACAATGCTTTCTATTTTGTAATTGCAATCATACCATACTGGATCCGTTGTTTCCAGGTGCATTTTCCTTTTATATAATTAATTTTTGGAGCAAAATCTAGCATTGGTTATTACTTTACTGCATTTTCATCCTGAAGTTCTTACATAGTTTGTCAATATGTAACCTTGTTTAATTAATATACTGAGTTACTGACAGTTTTTTGTGCTTTGTGTGTAGTGTCTTCGTAGGTTGGTTCAAGAGAGAGATTCTATACATGGATACAATGCACTGAAGTATCTTATGGCAATAATTGCTGTGGTTATAAGAACGGTTTATGAACTCAAGGGCGGAACACCTTGGTTGGTGATGGCCCTAGTAACCTCTGCTATGGCAGTGGGATATAATACATACTGGGATATTGTGGTTGACTGGGGGCTGATGCGCCAGAATTCCAAGAACTTCTTTTTGAGGGACAGATTACTGGTTTCACACAAAAGTGTATACTACGTTGCTATGGTAACTGGCTTAAATTTTATTGTCAGTCTCTTTCAATATATGCAATTTTTGCATAGCTCAAAACTTTGACAATGTTAATTTTGCAGGTCAACAATGTTCTTCTAAGAGCTGCTTGGCTTCAGCTTGTTTTAGAGTTTAATGTCCCTGGTCTGCAAAAAACAGCAATTTCAACCACGATTTCTTGTCTGGAAATAATTCGTCGTGGCATCTGGAACTTTTTTAGGTAACTGTGCTGCATTTATTCTTCCATTCATATGTATGTTGATAGCTCTAAGTAGTGAGAACAGTAGTATAATGGGGGACTTTGTCGTCTGCATGTGATCTGTCTGAGATGAAATATTTTTGCTGTCAGGTTGGAAAATGAGCACGTAAACAATGTGGGTAAATTTAGAGCTTTCAGATCTGTTCCACTGCCGTTCAATTACCATGAGAAACATAAAGCTGATGACACTGATGAAGATGATGATGAGAAGGATGATTAAGCAATATCTGAATTCTGTCAAGTGTGATGTATACCACTAGGTGATCAATTGCATTGAGGTCAATTTGAGATATCTGGAATCATTTGGCTTCAAAACTGATCAATTGCAGACTAGGGGCTGGCGGGGGGGAACAACAACGACATTGTCAAGAAACAAAAACATGAAGTGTGGCATTCCTCTACTTGGCTTAAGTTACAGGAAGCATGCTGGTCTTATTCACAGCTAGCTCAAATATCGTAGTTCCAAGAACCTGTTGCTTCCATTCTGGTGCTCGGGTTGAGGTTGTGACTCGTGACAGAAGCACTTGTTCAGGACAGGATTTTGTTTTTGTGTTATGCTGTGTTTTAGAGCTGTTCATCAGCAGTTGTATTGCAAATATGCAACATTGATAAATTTGAAAACCTAAACAAACAATTATTCTATTGACAAAAGTTACTTCTCAGTTATTTTTTTTTTGGTGCAACTTCTGCTGCCTATTTCCCAGCAGTTGGCCTGTTCTTTTTTGGTTCTTCATTTCTAAATTACATAGTATAAGATTTGTAAACCCCGAAACATGGCAGCGTCTTGGAATCTCACCTCCACCTAGATGGGGGCTGAATTCAGAGATTCCTCCACCTAGATGGGGGCGGAATTCAGAGATGCCTCCACCTAGGTGACAATGCCATGTAATTTATATAAAATGAACGGAATGTAAATGAAACAAGATTTTATACCTAAAGTATTTCTCTTATATAGAAATTTATGTAAAGATGATTTCGAATTTTCAAATTCAGTGTTAATACTTTGTATTTCTTACTAGTGACAAGAAGACAACATTAGTCAAACGAATACATTACAAGCAACAGGGGCACAACACTTAACTATTAGAGCAACTCCAACAGTGTAAAATTAGGACTAGCTTGCAATTTATGAAACTAATAAATAATTAGCTTAACCATTGGAATTGCATTACCAAATTAGCTGGGAAAAACTATTTGCTTAGCTAAGCTAATTAGCTTAGCAAATTGTGGGAATTAAAAAAAATTAAATAAATAAAAAAATTATTGAAAATTAGCTTAACCATTGTGGGATTAATTAGCTACAAGTTAGATTAGCTTTGCAATCCTAGGTGGCATGGCAAACTAATTTCACAATTAGCTTACCATTGGAGTTGCTCTTAGTATTACAAATAATGATAACATAACAAATAATAAATTTAGTTGTTTTCACAATTGGGGCATAAGCAACTCCAATGGTTGCTTTTAAGGACTAGCTAGCAATTTTAATAATTTTCAAGCTAATAGCCCAACCATTGGAGTATATTTAATAATTAGCTTGGTCAAGCTAATGCCAAGCAAATTGCAAATTAGCTTAGAAATTAATTGTCTCTAATAAAATACTAATTATTTAAAAAATAAAGCTGAAAAATCTAAATATTAATTAGCCTAACCATTGTGGTATGAATTAGCTAGCAGGAATAATAGTTTTGCAATCTTAGGTGGCATGGCAAGCTAATTTGACAATTAGCTTGCCATTGGAGTTGCTCTAAGATGTAGAAAAACATGGTTTATATTCCCTCATCTGGATATTCCTTAAAATCGCAACAATTTACTCCGTAACTAACACAATTGTTAATGTACATCTTGATATTAGTATCTTAAATTACTTGTATATAAACTCGTATTATCAAACTTTGAACAATGAAAATATATATATATTAAGCCGAATTCAACATTTTCATAACAACACTTGTTTTTTCAGACTAAATATATTAAAATGGAGGGAGTAATAGAAATTTAGTCAAAGTGTTCGGTAGTAATAGAAATTTAGTCAAAGTGTAACTAACCAAAAGAAACAGATGGAGCAGTAAAATGTGCTTCAATTTTTTTTTTTTTTTTTTTTTTGGTGTTTCACCTGTTCACTGTTTAGGCTAATTCGTATTTGGGGATCAGTTTTGGTTGGTTAGATTCCACTCCCTTTCCAAATGTAATTTAGGTTATGAATATTGAACGATTGTAATTTTAAGAAACTAGATATTCCTTATAAATTTATCTTAGAAATACAAATTTATCTTTGTGATATATGGCTTGGTCATATTTCTTGTGGAACTTTTTCCCCAAGACATTAAAATTAATTTGTGGATCTTTAAATAATGAAATTCAATACCAAGAAAAATGAAAAGTCGCACATCCAATTTCCCTCTTGTTCTGGGTTTAGCAAGGGTTTTTCTTTATTATAAAACCCCCAAATTCAGCCATGGGAGTAGCTTTCTCTTCTCAAAACCCTAGCCCCACTACACCCAATCCTCCCGCTGCTCCAAACATGTCCTCTTCTCCCTCAATTCCGCAAAACCCAGATCCCAAATCTTCCGAAAGTGAAAACCCAGATCCCAAAATCCTTGAAGATCAAATCCCAGAAATCTCTGATCAACCCAGCAATCCAGATGAAAAGGGGAGAGAAAATGGCGGAGAAGAAGAAGAGGAAGAAGAAGGGGAGTGTGGGTTTTGCTTGTTCATGAAAGGGGGAGGTTGTAAGGATGAGTTTGTAGCTTGGGAGAAGTGTGTAGAAGATTCTGAGAAGAATCAGGAAGATATTGTTGAGAAATGCTTTGAAGTTACTGGGAATTTGAAGAAGTGTATGATAGCTCATTCGGATTATTATGAACCTATTTTGAGGGCGGAGAAAGCGGCTGAAGAGGAGGTTAAGCAAGAAATGGACCGTGAGGCGGCGGCGAAAAGCGACGAGCAAGGTTCCGATGTGAAGGTGGTCGAGGAGAAAGCAGAGATTGAGGTTCAGAAAGAGAATTAGTGTTAGAGGTTTTGCTAATTTTTTGGTAGCCAAAATTGGGAATTTTGTTTCTGGTTGACAATGGAGGAAAGCAATTTCTGTTATAGAGGTAAATTAAATTAAAATTTAAGACAATTGAGTGTTATACAATCATGTGGCATCAAAAATTTCTACTTTGTAGAGTTTGATTTGGTGCTAAATTAATAATTTTGACAGTGATTATTCATGAAATTACTACATTTTGATGATTGATGTACATGGCAGATTGCTGCCGCTTTTTATTTGGATTAGTGGAAATTCTGTGTTTTAATGCACTATGTTTTGCTTACTTGATTATTTGCTGCTTTTTTTTTTTTAATCAAACTGTTGCAAAATTGAACCTTTGGATGGCGAATTATGAATGTGATATGTATACTTACTATCGATTATGTTTGGTTATTATGATTTATTTGCTTTTTATCAATTTGGCTACATAAATTCTAATCCTTTGGTGCCTTTGTATCTTGCCTTTATGAAGAAAGGCCGAACCTTTACCATATATTTTAGGGGCCTCAATAAGAGCTTTAAAGTGAACTACCCTGTGTGCCTCTAGGAGACTTAGACATGCCTTGGAGGATTAATTATATGTTGGTCTGTTGATTGATCACATATTCAAGTATCACTATTATCAATCAGGCATTCACCCTCTAACTACAATTTCTATGAGCTGCTTGTTAAGCTTGACATTTTGAGACAAAGTTTTACATGGCTTCAAGCTTCAACTGTATTCACTTAGCTAATATAACATTGCCTTATGGGCATTTTAGCTAGGGTCAATACTTGATTACCTCAATGCTATGTCGTGTGTGTTTATCTGTGTATGAACTATGAAGCTAGTTCTGCGCCCTTTGCTTCCCTATACACCCCATTGGGATTCATTTAGGAAGTATTTGTTTATTAATCATCACTATTTCCTGCCTTTCTAATTCTTGGAATGGTAGTCAGTCAATAGAGGGTGGGGATTTACTTTCTCAGAAAGGCATTCTATTATAGAATTGGTGTCAATGTAATAACAGGAGAGACTGGCAGTGTCTTTCTCCCTGCCCAAGGATATATGTAGCGTCAGATGCTTCCAGAGGTTACAAGTGATTCTTGATTAATAGATATAGATGAGTTCATCGATAACCCATGATATGGGTGGAGGACTGGAGGGCATAGCACTCTTTAGTCGTGCTTTGTTTTCATTATGCCACCAAGATGCTAACCCTAAAGTTGATATATCAATTAATGGTGAAGGTTAAGAATGCTAGATCCTTTAAGGTAATAAAGACTAATAACCTGCAATAGAGGATATGAAGGGGTAAGAGCATGCTGCATGGGTTAGAGGCACTCTTCCTCATAGACAACCAAACATACTCCAGTTCCATCCTGAAAGAAGATTAGACTTTCCTTTGAGATAGTGGGGGTGACATACTCTGATACCAAATCACTAATGAATAACAGATTAACAGAAAACTGGTTAAAGTTGGAGTGAAATGGTGAATGCTGGCCTAGCTCTTCTTGCTTGCTTGAATGCCTTAATCCCATTAGTGGGCCGGTTACATGAACTAACATGAGGCCTAGCTCTTCTTGCAGCTCAATTTTGTCCTGTGCTTCAGAGGAACACAGTTTCACAAATATACTTTCTGGCTTTCTGCTGTTACTCCCGGATAAATATGGCATTATGGTAGTTATCTAGCATTAGTTAGCTTGTGGTTAAAGCTTATTTTCTCCCAAATCATTCTGACATGTTATTTTCTGTTCTTCAAGGTGAATGTGAATTTTGATTGATCATCATATTATTGGATAGCCTTATGACTTTTTATTATTCACTTTATAAGATGAAATTAACTTGCAACTAATGCTACTCATATTGCTAATTAGATGATTTTATCTATCTATAAATGACTAGTTAGCTTTTATCTTTCAACTAAAGCTTCTACATATTAACATCTTCTTGATGTAGTGCTCTCTGTTCCTCAAGCTGATTAAGCTGCTATTGTAGTCCTTTTACATCAGCAGGTGTGTGAAACTGTGAATTATGGATTGGCTTTCTTTTTTGATTTTTATCAAGGTTACTAGAAATTAATTATAAAACTTGATTTGATGACTCAAGGATCGAGCTGCAGCTCTCTTCTTATGTCATATTCAACCTTCAACTTGTATTTTCAACTTGTATTGTGATTATAATTTTCTCTGTTTAACTAGTTACTGAAGAATGTTGTACAAGGCAGGGTGTGACCTAACCTTAACTCTCAAATCACCTCAGTACATCACTTTAATTCTTTTTCTTAAGATTACATTACCTATCTTGCTCAAAAGTACAAAAGATGGATATGAGACTGTTTAGGAAACCAGGAAGGGGCAAAGGGCTGAAAGGTTGAGTCATTCAAAGGCAAACACTTCATTTTCAAAGAAGAATACATCAGTGACAAAGTTCTCATCTTATGATGTCTGCATTCAACTCAAATCATTTTTTCCAAATACGCGTGAGGGATCCTCTGTTACGTACACTCTCTCCAGCCAAACACAATAAATAGCCACTGCTGGAGATCAATGCCATGGTGCCTATTTCTAGCAATTTTCTTCCTGCAGGTATACACCGTCCAATCAAGTGCTGAGTTCGAACTTACAGCCTTCCCTGCGATTATGCATGCAACAATTGCACAATTCCTTTTCCGGTTTGCTAATTGCCAGCCCTGCGCTATTGTGTTACCAATTCATTTTTAATAGTAAGAGTGGTTCTTTTGCTGATATTATCATCTTGACAAACTAACTAAAGAGAGGTAAATAAACATGCCACATTACTTGAGTTTTGGAAACTTGCAACCGATGTCAAAGATGATTGAATATGGAGTTGGTTACCAATGTTGAAGATGATTAAATATGGAGTTGGTTACAAATACAACGTAACAAAGCATTAGAAAGCCGGTGAGTGAAGGGAAGACAGTGTCACCTATTAGTCTATTACTTGTCCTCTTCAACTTATTTTTAAAAATTTGTTAATTATTCTTTGACAAAATCAAATCAAATCATAAATATTTATGTTACATTGTAACTCTTAATTTCATTTAATTATTGTTAAATATATTTAACTACGTATGAATAAATGTTATGAAAATTACACATTTGAAAAGTATAAATTGAAACGAATCTAACAAGATCTCACTTGACTAAACTGATATTATAGTTGATTCTTAATTTAATAGCGCTAAACTTGATAAGAATGAGACATCTCGAGCTTGAATGAGCTTATAAAAGTGTTGTTCGAGTTTGACCCCTTAAGAGGTTATCATGTTGTAATCAAGCTTGAGCAAACTATGAATGAACTTAAATAAGTTATCCAATACCATTATTTTTTTAGTCAAAAGTTCTATATGAGCGAGTTTGTTTGTAAGTAGTTCGTGAACACATCAACTCATTTACGCGCTATCCAGATATAACTTAGTAATACATAGTAATATATATTTAATAGAATTAAAAGTAAAATTACGAATAATGCAAAAAGTCAAACCGTGTCAATCATTTGAATCGGTAAAAAAAAAGAAAAAAAAAAAAGTATGTGGCGACACTAGTCATCAAGTCATCTATAAACCAAATCTTTGGATTAGGATTTCGATTTCCTTCCTATTTTCAAGGTGAGTGAACTAAAATGGCAACTTTATTCACTCTAACTCCTTCATCAAACTCTTCCTTCTTCACCCCATTCAAAACCACCCTTAACTCAAAACCCCATTTTCCCACTCTCAGAAATCCTCTCTCAATCAGATGTTTCCGGCCACCGGAAACCGGCACACCACCGGAGATTCAGAAATTCTGGGGTCGGCTCTCCGACAAAGGCATAATCAATGCAAAATGCCCTGTAAAACCAGGGATTGTTCCAGAAGGATTAGGACTAGTTGCCCAGAAAGATATAGCCAGAAACGAGGTCGTTTTGGAGGTTCCCAAGAAGTTTTGGATAAACCCAGATACAGTTGCAGCTTCAGAAATTGGGTCAGTTTGTAATGGGCTTAAGCCTTGGGTTTCTGTTGCTTTGTTTCTGATGAGAGAGAAAAAATTGGGTGATTCTTCTGCTTGGAAGCCTTACATTGATATTTTGCCTGATTCTACTAATTCTACAATTTATTGGTATGTTTTTTGGTTAATTTGAATGGTTTATTTATGTAATTTTGGCATTTTTAGTGGTTTAATTAATGGGTTTAAGCTAAATGAAGTTTTGGTCGTTGTTTTGCAGAGCAGGTCAGAAGAAGAACTCTCTGAGCTTCAAGGTTAGTTCAGATTTTCTACTCTAAAGTCGTTTGTGATTGTTATACTTTGAAATTATTCATTATCTTGTTCGGATTTAGTTGTCACATTACTAGTCGGGTTGTGCTATCATGGTGAAAATGTTATCTGGAATGTGGGAGTATTTACTACCTCTGTCCGGAATTAGTTGTCGCATTACTAATTTGATTGTGCTATCATGACAAGAATGATTTTGGTATGAGGGGGTATCATCATTTATTTATTTTTTGTTTTGAATCATGTTGAAATTATGGTGTTAGGAAATCTGAATTAAATGCTAGCTCCCACATGATCCTATAACAATGCTCACAGCTCACATGCTTACCTCGCAAGAGGGAGATGATAGTATCATATGTTTGCATTATTTAATTTGCACTTGTTAAGAGGCTTTATTCTGATTCACGATCAACAATGCTAGCAACACAGCAAACATTGTTCCATGATTGATGTCAAATTGATATAGAAACCTTTATCCATGTTTCCATTCAAACCATCGATTTTCTAGTATTGATATCAAATTGATATAATAGTTCCATGATTTGTTGGACCGTCTCTGTGGCTACTGGGTAAGTTTCATCAGTATAAGCTTCTCAAACTGCTTCACTTCTTTCATGGCACTTCATTTTAAATGCTTCTTGTTATCACCTGAAGTTAGGAAGTAAGAGGGACTTTATCTATCTTAAACTAATATAAGTGTTATACACAATATTGTATTAGTCTGTTCAAGAATCAAGAGTGGTACACTAATATCTTGTTTTGGAATGAAGAGTGTTGAATAGTATATATGCTCTTTTGAATTTAGTATGGAGGTTTGTGTTATTTGGAAATTGGTTGTTGAGCCAAAACAACGCCTATTTATCCTGTTCAAAATATCAAATATATATGTGGACATTGAAGAGTTTCTTTTGATGGCAATTTCTGATTTGCCTACTATAATGTCATCTGTAGCATCCTTGTAGGTAGCCAGTTGCTGAACACGACATTGGGTGTGAAGGAGTTAGTAGCAAATGAGTTTGCAAAATTGGAAGAAGAAGTAATAGTTCCCAACAAGCGATTATTCCCTTTTGATATAACACTAGATGACTTTCTTTGGGCATTTGGAATGCTAAGATCAAGAGCATTCACTCGCCTTGAGGGCCAAAGTCTTGTTCTAATCCCCATGGCTGATTTGGTAAATTCTCTATTTTATTCTCCGTAAATTACATGATTTGGTAATGAAATTTTCAAATATTTATTTTTAGATATTTATAATGCATGATCAATATTCTTTGCCCTTGGATATGACAAATGTCTGATATATGCATCATTACGGAGTACAATATTGAGGATGTCTGTAGTAACTTTTAGTTGGGAAATTTAAAAACCTAACATGTAGAAATGGGTGCAACAGATCAATCACAGTCCTGATATAACAGCACAAGATTATGCCTGGGAAGTCAGGGGAGCTGGTCTGTTCTCTAGAGAACTTCTATTTTCACTTAGGAATCCCATCCCAGTGAAAGCTGGTGGACAGGTAATTTTTCGCTCTCTAATTTAAATTTGAAGTATGTGCTTATTTTAAATGTCAAATGCCTATTATAATATTAATGGCCCACGACCCCCACGTTGCTTAAAATCTAAGTTGGATGATGAATTCTGAAGTTCATTTAATACTCAAAATGCTTATGTCCCCGTGCTTGTATTCATTACTACTTAAAAAACATTCCATGGCTGTATCACGATCAACAATTTTTTTCTACAGGTATTGATCCAATATGATTTGAACAAGAGCAATGCTGAGTTAGCCTTGGATTATGGGTTCACAGAATCGAGATCAGAACGAAATGCATACACTTTAACACTGGAGATACCTGAGTCAGATCCTTTTTTTGGAGACAAGCTAGACATAGCTGAGTCAAATGGCATGGGAGAAACTGCCTACTTCGATATTGTATTAGGCCAGCCTCTTCCAGCTATTATGCTCCCATATCTGAGGCTTTTGGCACTTGGTGGAGACGATGCTTTTCTCTTGGAGTCTATTTTCAGGAACTCTATATGGGGCCATCTTGATCTTCCTGTAAGCCCTTCTAATGAGGAGCTCATATGCCAAGTGATTCGCAATGCTTGTACATCTGCTCTTTCTGGTTACAGTACCACCATCGAAGAGGTTAGTTTGTCCCTGGTCTCCCTTTTCGGATCAAAATTAGATTTTATATCCTCTTTTTCCTTCTATTAATTTTATTTCAGATTTAGTGAGGCCCTTTAATTGACTTCTCTCTTTAATTATGCCACAATAACAATAATTCATGATTGGTGTAGGATGAGAAGTTGTTGGCACAAGGGGATTTAGATATGAGGCTTGAGATTGCTATAACGATAAGATTGGGGGAAAAGAAGGTGTTGCAACAGATCGATGAGGTTTTCAAAGAAAGAGAGATGGAATTGAGTGGCTTTGAATACTACCAAGAGAGGAGGCTTAAGGATCTAGGTCTTGCCGGGGCACAGGGAGAGAAACTCCCTTGGATAGGAGAGGTTTAGTTATATTAGTTGATTGTACGTAATGCAGCCAATGAAAACACATTCATAGTTTTTATACTGGCTACTAGAGAAAATCACTTGCCTGAAATTGTATATGAAGAGATTGAATGCTATAGCATCTCCCGTTGTGTATCTTGCAGATCAGCTATTGGATGTAGTTACAGTGTATGGTGCATGGAATTTCACTTAAAATTTTCTCTTCTCACTTAATGTGTAGGCAAAGCTGATCCACTACATTAAACATGCATCTGAGGGTTAAACCAACATACTCCAGTTAGTTCGGAGATTTGACAGTGTGGTGCTGTACTTGAGATGCTGTAGTCACACAAGAGTACAAGACTATCTCCTGTTAACGCGAATAGCTTGTTGAAATTATTCAGCTTTTATTCATTTTCTCGGTTTCTCCTATGATTTTGGAAACTATAGTGCTGGATATTTTGCTACTCCGTATAATTGTCACCACTGGAAGGCAATAAAATATACAAGATAGTACCAACCTTCTCTCTTCTTTATGTTGTTTTATGTTCTTTCCCCTTTTTTTCTTCATAATGTTTAGTTCTATCTACTGGTCATATCCTCAAAAAGGAGGCTTTTGTGATGAACCTTACCTCATGATCATATAACACAAAATATACTTGCACACTGAATTGAGCAATTGACATACCACTTTGTGAACACAGTAAATTGAACTTTAACTTGCAATCTACCCATGTCAATCTTAGTGATAGGAACTTAATCACTTATGAAGATAGGATCGTATAGAGCATATCGAGAATCATGAACATATGTCCATGACCTAATTACACTTTATTAAAATTGACGATATTCTGTCAATAGGATTAGGGTACTCGATACCTTGTACATGTCTTTGACATAAACACAGAGAGTACCAATAAAACCTCCCCTTTGAAGATCATTTTCAATGTTGATTCATGGCAAAAGTTGCCACTAGTATGATCACATTCAAATGCACAGTTCACACAGACAAAACACTTCGTATTATACTACCGAGTCAAGAAGAAACTTACATTTCATAACTTATATTAACTTTTATGGAGTTTGATTCAGGTGAAAAATGAATTACACTTTACAAGTTAGGGAGAAAAGAAAATAGAAGTCGAAAATTCTAATGCTCTGCTGAGAGCTATGGTAAAAAAAAAAAGAGGCAGAAATGAGAACCAAACTGCTGCTTTTGCAGAATGATATCAGTTTATACCTCCTACTTATCACTCTTCATCATAAACAATCTCTCCTAAACTCATGGCAGAAATGTACCAAGTCGATCACGATTAAACTATAGTAACCTATCGAGGCAACCTCCTAATTTTAAAATTTGCTAAGAGACTATACTCAACCTTGAGTGCAAAGCATCGTTATACTCTGGTTTTGGTAAGACTAAATCAGCTTTAAGCAGACTGCAAGTACGAACGAGAATTCATGTTCACCTTCCACTTCCCTTGACTATTCACAAGACATCTTTGCATCCGAATTCATGGCCGCGCAAACCTCTCAGGATAAGCAGACCAAAGGCTTTCAAGGACTCACCCGTGATCACCTGATTATAGACAAATTAGCTCTAAGTATCAAACTTGTCAATTGAAACCTCGATGTAAAGCACTTGTGTTATTGGCTGCTATCACGTCATTGCAATGTAAATCTTTGCACAGGCACTCCTGCGGATTAGCATAAAAATAATCCTCCTCTTTTGGTCTATCAGGGATAACATTCCTCAATACAGGTTGTCCTGATCTGTTTACATGTGCCTCGTTAACAGCAACAACAAAACTGTCCCATGATAAAGTTCCATTCTGATGTAAATCGATTAATCCAACAAGCCTCTTCCGATACAATAATATGGTTTTCTTGAAACCAAGATACCTGAAATAAATTGATTATTAATAGTCAGCATCATAATTTTAGTTAGCGTGGATGATAGATACCTCCGTTACTTCAAAAAATGAATAGGAGAAACTCCCACTTTGTTCATATAGCTTCATTCAATATTCATTTCATTTTTTAGCAAGTTCAATCCCCAAGAGAAGTATGATAGATACCTGCGATGACCTTCAACTAGCCTTGCCATGTTTCCATCATACGTTGGAACAAATGTATTACTAGCAACTGAAACCATAAAATCTAAGGCTGCCATTTGAGAAGAATGATTCCGGAATTGCCTTAAATCATCTGGATCAAGCAGCATACCCTTCTTAATCTGCAATCATATAGAGTAGGTGAATATTGCGCACAAACTCATTGGATGAGTCAAGTACTGAAACACATTGATTTCAGACATTCAGGTCATGCCTAGCAAGTAAAGCAATTTTGCAGATAGCAGTAATACTACACCCTTATATATTCATATATATTCAACAAATCTCAAATTCACCTTCGTGCCCAAACAAAAACCAAGGGCAATGTTGGAATCCTTAGCATTCCTGGTGTTGCAACCAACATCAGCTATAGTAACACTCACAGAGGCCAAGAGAGTGGATTTAAGAACTACAAGGGCAGGAATTAAGATTGTCAATCATGATGGAGAGCATGAATGTAGTGAGCAAAGCCAAGTGCAGTTGTGAAACAGAGATATACGCCAGACACTCAGACTGGAATGCAAACAACAGATCAGCACATTGCAGAGATTGACGCTATCTTATTTAGATAAGCTATAAGCCTAAATACACCTAATGCATCTCTTTCCAAGCCAGTGAGACATACATCACTTTCCAAGCCAATGAGCCATACACATTACAATAATTTTTTTAAAAAAATTCAAGTCAAAGCTCAATAAGGTGTACTAGAATGGTCCCATAGTTGTAAAGCTATGTAATCTACGAAATCCAAAAGCCCTGTCAACCAGACATAAAAAGTCAAACATATTGCATTGCACCCTATTAAGCACTTTGACCCCCCCCCCCTAGACAGAGGGCCCGACAAACAGAGGACCCAACAAACGATCACAAAAATATATATATCTCAAAATATTTTGGAAACAAAGGAGGAAATTATATAACATCAGACAAGTACTAGATAGCCAAAAAAAATCACAATATAAAAGCAGCTGTCTGCCAAATCAGACAAAGTAGCAGATTGCAAATTTAGCAGTGTTCGACAATAATTTTTTGTCACTAACCGTATTAGGAAATGCAGCCCGTAAAGCTGCAAGTCTTCTTTCACTTCCATAAATTTCTCCGGAAGCAATATAGATCTGGGTAGTCTTATCAAAACCCAGCGACTGAAGAATTAAAGCAGTCTCCTCTGGCGTAAGAGGACATAAACCTTGAGCCCTCTTCTCTTCAGAATTGATCTCCTTGTCCCTCCACCACGGGTATGCATACCTAAATAAAATGCATATTTCAACCGAAGCTAAATAAATTTCTTCATACAGGAATACCAGATCACATCAGAGAAATCAGAAAATATAACAGGTGCACAAGGATGACTACATAACTTTTCAAAGCAGGATTAAATTATTTTCCGCACTAAAGCAAAAGATTCCGTTGAAGGGGAGAGAGCATACAAGAATGACAAGATGTCCTCATATCAGGAACCAGAAAATAACTAAACAATTGACATATCAAGCTGTCATACAATATATGAACTCTATATTTAAGGTGAATGACAGAACATGCCGAAAAATATAGGAGAAAAAATTAGGATATTTCGACAAGTCAAATCCCAAGTCCAAAGATTTTGCCCATATAAATTTCAAATTTGGCCGCAATGTGTTTACTCTATTCTCCCCATTCCTTCCCCTCTGGCCCCTCTCTCTCCTTGTATCAGGCACAAGAAAATAACAGAACAATTGACATATCAAGCCTTCATACAATATTAAAGGTGAATGACACACAACATGCCTAAAGAAAATAGGAGAAAAAATTAGGATATTTCGACAAGTTAAATCCCAAGTCCGAAGATTTTGCCCATATATATTTCAAATTTGGCCCCAATGTTTTAACACAGTTCTCCCCTCCGGCCCTTCTCTCCCACTATACTTCTCCCCCTTGCCCAGCACAACCACCAATGCTACTGAAAGTCTGAAACTCGAGGGTATCAATTATCAATCCTACACTCATTCTCACACCATTTCCATCAATGGCGGAATCTCTCAACAAAACCCATCCTTCGTCTCATTAACAGCTGAATCATTGAAAAGGTTCAAAACAACACCAGGGCCCAACGGTTTACATCCCTCCACAAAAATCATCAGAATTTATGATGAGAATCTTGAATTCTTGACATCCTTGAAGTTGATACGTTTAAGTGTCCTTAGTCCTTACCAGCCTCTACCTCTAAATCCTATGGGCACTTTGTGACACCAAGTAGAAGAATATCCTTCTTGAATTGGGTGGAGGAGAGCCTGACCTCAAATAGAAATGGGGGATGTCGGTCATTAGCCAAAGAGGAAGAAAAGGGAGTAAAAGAGGGGGGGGGGTATGGATGGCGAGTTAACTATTTTTTTAAAACAATAAAAAATGGAGAAGTTGATTAGAATGTGAGTTAGTAGGGATGTCAATGGGCAGCATGGATGCAAATGATGTTCACCCCCACCCCCATCCTTGCTTAAAATTTCCATCCTCATCCCAGTCCCATCACCTAGGGTAGGTACAAAATTCAAAACCATCCCTACTCCACCACCCACCCACTTGGCACTCAAACCCACCAAATACCCACCTTATCCACCCAAGATCCACCTTACACGCCCATTTTTAAAGTCTAAATTTTAATAAATTTTAACCTACTTTTGAACACATTAATTTAATTTTGTTATTTAAAAATAAAAATAATTCTTTAAACTCCAAACATATCTCTCATTTCTCTTGAGCACAAGTGTTTAAAGTGTAATGAAGTCATATTGATTAACAGAAAATAAATAAATAAATAAATAAAAAGTAGGGGCAGTCTACTCTTATATCATGCAGAGAGAGAAAGTAGGGTTTTCTTGATTAGAGTATAATGACTACAATCAATACACTATATAATAAAAATATTATATAAAACCCATGGCTATGCATGGGTATGGTCAGGGCAAGGTGGCTATAAGCTGTTATTCACAAAAGTAAGACTTTTTTTAACACATCTAAAGCTGAATGCATTCTTGTAACTTAATACTGTAGATAGAAAATCTTAAACCCAATTGGCAACTTCAAACTTAAAAGAGCACACCAGATTCAATATTCAAGTAAAGACAATTGTTGGCAACCAATAAGATAGCTCAAAAACTCAGGGATGGCTAAACTAAAATCTTATTCTATTTACCACAATTAAAACCAGTCTTTCACACACATCATACCATTTAATAAAAGGCAAACATTCTTTGCAGGAAATTTTATTAGAATGTCAGAAACCCACCTCATCTGCTTAAGTTCCTCAGCTTCCTCCTCAGTGCAGCCATGGTTACAACCAGAGAAAGCCAGCATGTCCATCTCATATCTCAGATGCAAAGCAACAAAAGGCCCCTTTGCTTGAAGTAGATGGATCAACTTGTATCCCAGCGCCTCTATCTCAGGAGTGAATTTTAGAGCCTTAAAATTAACACGGCACCTGAGTCTCTGAAATTCAAGGGGAAGTCCATTGTTCGCTAAACGTGCATCCGTTTTGTTAAAATGTATCACTTTATACTTCTCAAAAAGAGGCAGAACCTGTATAATGCCCATCAGGTGAGGAGAACTGTATCAATAGAAAGAAACGTTGAAAAAAAAAACAACAAAAAAGTCAAACTAATTTTTTCTTCAGCAAAAAGCATCCATTTTCATCAACCCACAAAACAGCCCACTAGCATGGACAGTTTGTATGAACTATGAAGTCACCATTAAGGCTATCAGAAGAAAGATATGGTCAAACAAGCAGATTAACAAGCTTCAACCAACATAATGACAGATAAAGTATCACTTTCAAGGCAAGCAAAAATAGGACACCCTTCAATTTCCTCTTACTGGCATTTCATACTGCCAAATAACAATCCAAGTCATAGAGATACATCCATTGAGTTAAGAATGTTACTAATGATTCCAAGTCCATTTTTCATAAACAATTTTAGCCTTCAAGCATTAAGGCACTAATAAAAGGAATCTACAAAGCTAGAACACTTAAGCAAAATCATCAAAATGCCCTAAGCACAAAGAATAAAATTTAAAATTACAAAAACCAACAATTACTATTTCATCACGCTCAACAGATTTGTGAAAACGTAAATTTGCATAATGAGCACTCAAAGTCCATGACAACTAAACAATCTATCAAGACAAACATTGCTACAGAAATCACTTTATATTTGGATTCCATCACTTCCATGTCAACAAAATAATAAAATGAAAATCCCATCTCCTATGTAATCCACAGATCATCCTTGAAATGTTCTTTAAAGTGAAGGAACAAACCTGTTGGAAATAATATTTATCACTGGACCAGCTAATTGGTTGCATAACCAGCGGCCGAAAACCATGCTTCCTATTATATCTCTTTGGTAACCTCCTAATTATCCGAACCTCATCCCTTAGGGAATCAATGAAATGTTTCACATCAAAGATGTCCTCAAAATCACTGCAATAAGATTTAAAGGGATTAGGAGTATCCAAAATTGCGTCAAAGAGAAATACTTTACCCCAACCGAACAAGTTATACCTTGTATCTGCCCAGAAGGATGTCTTATCAAGCTCTGGGACAACAAAAGTGAGATTTAAGAAACGAGCAACTGTCACCATGTCACATATCTGAAATACAAGAAACCTAAGATGAGTAGATGACAACCTATGATGTGAAGATGAGTAAGCTAACAAAAAACTTAGAACAAGAACACAAACCGCAGCACGCATTTGATTCAAACCTCCATTACATGTTACTCTTAGATAACCATTACTTGTGTAGTTTCCTGCAATCAGTAAATACAAAATTGATCAGCTAATTGGAACCTTTCAACATTTATATTTCCACATGAGAAAAGAGACTCTACCAATCAAAGAAAAAACTTACAAAGCAGGTCCATGAGTCATAAAGTAAGGTAAATTTTGATAAGTTTCAAAATCAAGATAAAATTTGATGCCAGAGTGAAACTCATTACAAATCATGAGTTTGACACAAGATTCAATAATAGAATGCAATGCATTACAAATTCAATACAAGCATATAAAGAACTCAATGCTATAACATTTTTAAGACATATATATTTTTTTTTTAATCCACTGAAGCAAAGAGATAAACAGAATTGCACCTCTAAACAAAAAAATCTCATATCTGCTTAAATGTAAATTGTCGTAGAAAAAGGATTTAAACTAGCTTGTAGGACAAACAAGTCACAACAAATACCACTGCCATCCACAAACAAAATTTGCACACGTGGCAGTGATACTAATGTTTCAAGTCTTGGTCTTGTGCCACAAATTTGGGAAAAATTATTCCCTATTAAAAGCAATGATCTCAGATATCAATGCAAAAAGGTTCAGCAGATGATCTTTTGTTACTATTTCTATAAATATACTTATCTCAACAGGAGAAAAGTACATTACCCACATCTTTCCTTGATGAAGAACTATGAATACAACCCTAAATATAGAAAACTTAAGCAATGCTTTTGAGGATAAAAGGAGAATCCAAACGAAATTTAAAGAGGATATAGATAATCTAGCTTGCCACTTACTTTTGTTGAAGCTAGTTGTGAAATCATAAACTCATAAAGAATATGTAACCATCGTTCTAGATTTTATCATATCTTGTAAATATTATCCGTTCCATTATACGTTGTATCCTTATTAGCAACTCTGTGACACTTCAAATATTGATCAATCCGAGAACCCTAAAGCAAGGAGAATCACACATTTCGACACTATACTCTAGTGTCCTTAGTACATAGCGGTAATAACACACGCTGTAAGAAATAATGATTAGAACCCATTATCTAAAAACCTACTAACTTCTGAGGCCCAAGGCTACTCCAATGAAGCCACTCAGGGATATTTCCTAAAGTGCCTATGTTATAGGTAGAAAAAATGATACCTCAACCCCTGTATCAGAGCCATGGTGTTCTATTAACATTAATCACAGCCAGCATGCGGAGTAAACTTTTCCATTTCTCTCCATCCACCACATTCCCCAAATCATTTTCAGACTAAAGCTTTATTGTTGTTATTATCTTCATCCATCACATTAATGATTCTGATGACTCCGCGCACTCTGCACAACCCCCTCCCCTACTTCCCAAACCCGAGGCATCAGTCTCCAATCCCTCGGCAGGTAAAGTTGCAATGCAAACTCAAATTCCGACCTAATCCATAAACCAAACATCCAGGATGCTCCACAGTTCAAAAAATACAATACCATCCACAAAACATTTTCATTTTTCGACAATAAAAATAACAACTAGCATCGCACCCATTTGCCCGAAAACTAATCAACATATACAGATTTCAAGAATAAGCACACCAAGCAAGCAAACCATCCAATTTAACAAACATTGTAGAATTCTTAACAGATTAAAAATAAATAAAAAAAATAATAATAATAAAAAATTAAAAAATTAAAAAAAAAAAAAAAAAAAAAAAAGGAAAAAAGATTGAACTCACTTAGAGGTAAGAGAGGAGGTGGAGGAGGAGCATTAGGAGAAAATGTGGAAACATGCGATAATCTATGGGAGAAACCAGCGAAGAAATGAGGATTCCATAGTTCACCAAATGCAACAAGCTGCACCAAAATAGTCCACAACAAAATGCTGGAACAAACCCTAATAAACCAAACTTTTAACCTAGTTCTCTCAAACATTGGACCCACCGGAACCTTATCATACCTCAGCGCCTGTAAACCGTCCGATCTAACCTCCATTTCTCTCTCCTCTTCCACCTCATCGCCGCCGATTCATCGGACGTCAATTTTCGACGGAAAACGAGCACAATGTCGGCAAATTACAGCTTCAGAATCGATGAATTGCGGATAATTTTGAATTTGAATTTGAAATTGAAATTGAATTGAAGCGAAGCTTTAGGTTGAGGTCTTCAATGGCGTCGGAAATTGAAACCCTAGAAAATGGTGATGAAGATCGAGGAAGTGGAAATGTGAGATTGGAATGATAAGCGCAGAAACTATGAGAGAGAAAGTAGAGAGAGAAAGAGGATTCACGAGAGAGAGAAGGAGAGGGAATTTGTATTTAATCATCCATTACCAACATGAAGAAACAACCGTCTAAAAGAGAATTTTCTTTTTTTCTTTTTTTCTTTTCTTTTATTTTTTTATTTTTTGAAAAGTCTTTGGATTAATTTTCAAATTAAATTAAATAGGTCAAAATGTTGAATATTTTGTACCTAATCCATTTTTTTGGATGGGTTGCAAGTCAAGCAACATTACATGCTTAACTTTACGTATATAAGTGTAGAATATAGAGAATGTGTGATTTGAATTTCAAAAGCATGTATGATATTCAATTATTCATCTTATATTTAGATGGAAAAGTAAAACAAAAAAAATATAAGGGCTAATAATGGAATTCAAAACAAGTGTTTCACTTCCTAAGCTATTCAAAACAAATAATGACAATAACATTTTATAGTATGAGAAGACTTCAGCCGAATAGTTTATTGAGCAGCATCGGTTAAGGTCTTTACTCAAAAGGACTAGCATGAGTCACCTTATGTCCTTATCATAGAATCCATCTCTTAGGGGCAGTGGTATGGGATGGTTCTTGCTAAGTTATCTCCCGCTCTTAGTCTCACTTGGAGATGACACCACAAACATCAATATGACACGTACTGTTGAGCCTAGGATCCACCTAAGTCAATCCACAGCTCATCAGAACGACTCCCACTCAGCTCCAATTCGCACAACTATAAATTGTATCCACTAGAGTACAACAGAATAGGGGTTAGACAATTTGTACTTTTAACCGCAACATAATCTCTTTCTATAACAAAAACTTTCTCTCACTAAGCTAAGACACATACAATTACTTAAGCATTGAAGGGGAGTTCCTCGAGCCACCCCTAAGGACAGTCACATGATTTGAGCTACTATATAGGTATCCCAACAGTCCCAAACTAGAGCCTAGCCACCCTCACTAATACTATACCTGGAACACCAATAATGCACTTAATCTTTATGATATAAGTGTGTAGTTTGATAGTAGTTGTTAGCTACTCCTGTATTTAAGTGGCATGTCTTGGGATCAAATTCCACTAATAAGGACGTTAACTATTAAATGATGAAGTTAAGTAGTTAAGCATATATCCAAAAAACAGGTAATCTTTTACAATATGCAATGTCCTTAAAAATCTCTCTCTATATATTTTTTTTTATTATAGATCTATGCAATAATTAACACGTCATTTTGCTACTTTTAACCTCAACATTTCAAACTCTTATTCTTGTACAAGCTTCACCACATCCTAAATTACACCCCTCATTCCTATGCATGCTAATAATAATCGCTTTTATGACTAACATGAATATGGGGCTAGTCTTTCTCTATCGAAGAGTTTTGTCTTATTAGAAATTTATATGTCAAATATGTGTGCCAAATAGGTTTGTAGTTTTGCTTTTACAATCAACATCAATTCTCCCACTACTTTCTAACAAAACAAGGAAATCACCATCAATATATGATTGTGGGATATTGCTTAACCCCATTTCATCAATAGTACATGAAGAAACAACTAAACAACAATTAAAGGGTAGAGAGTTGTCACTATTTCGAAAAATATGTTGCAACCATACACCCCATAGGCCATAGCATATTAGCATTCTTCCAGTCATCACCATCACTACCAATAACCTTCGCTAGTTCGTTTTCAAGTGGGAGAATGAGTGAAAGATTAAGGCAAGACACCAACATGTATCACATTCACTCAAGGACGGAATGTAAGTTTAGATATAAATTTTAAAATTACACAACAATTTAAACATCTGCATATCAAAAATTGAAAATTGACAATGATACCAAAAGACCCTAGTTTCTAGGATTACATGCTTCGATCTTCTACTTTCGGTAATAGAAAATTTGGAGTAGAAAATAAGTGGACGGCAATAAAATACTTAGCATGAGAATTTAAACTCACTCATTTCCAAATTAAATGTCTTACTTTGTCTTTTGTAATATTCGCATACATCACTGTGAGTCTGTGTGATCAATATTTGAGCATGTATATATAGATTAAACTTAGTCATATGAGTAATTAAAAGGGTTCTTCGCCTTGCCTAAAATTCCTACAAACCATTTCCTACAAGGGCTACAACATTTATGCTTAGGCAAACGACCACCAAAAGTCCAAAAGGAAGCATAGAAAAAATGATGTTGAAGACGTAAGTATGAAGTGATGAGTAATTGAGTGTGTTGTCCCCAAAGCACTCCACTCACTTAATCACTCACTCAACTCACTACGAGTATAATAATTGGATTTTCCAACGTTACAAATCTTAGAATTATCAATGCCGGGATCAGTGCATGTAACTAGATCTATGGACCACCTACCAGGTTACCCTTTAACTAATTGATTATGGGGTTTAAGAGTAATTACTATTTAATTAATGTTTATTTGCCCAACAAAAGGAGAAAATAAAGTCAGAATAGTGAGACACTACATGATGAGTACATTAATGCGCAATTAACTTCTGCTGTTTCACTAACTTCTACGTCTCTTTTTTTTTTATTTAAATATTTCAATGTGTACAATTGTCCATTATCGTACGGGTACCTTTGTTTTTGTGTATAGTACTCGTATTAAGGATTGAGAATCTGAGACGCGTTGTGTGTTACATTTTATACGCGTTTGATTTAGAAGCGGATTCAATTTATATTTTTATTTAGGTTATTTTTGATATAGATAAATGAAGTTTGTATTTAGATAATTGACAAAAGTTTTGACAATAGAACTTTAGGCTATATGTAGTTCACTCAATTCGTTGTATTTATTCAACAACTTGTATATTTTAAATAAGGCAAATGTTTACAAGTGTCTCGGAGGCACTCTTAAAGCTAATAACAAAGTTACAAGGGTATTTGAGATATTTTCTTAGAAAAAAACCTCAAAGACATTTGATGAATATCAAAAATAAAGAGGGGTACAAATTATTCACAAAAAAAAAGAGGGTTACAACGTAGGGTGGGCTAGAACAATATATATGGGGCAAAGGAGGTTAAGGACGGGCAAGGCCGGCGATGGTTGAATCGAGGGGTTACCACCCGAGGCCCTTGGTGGTAGGAGCCTAGGAGGGTCCAGAATCTCAATCCATAATTAGCAATATTATATTCGTAAAACATACTCCTTACACTACGTTAGCACATGAAAATGTAAATGACATAGTTTTATAGTTGGTTGCGGCGTATATGTTACTTGGCTTGGAGAGCATCTAACATACACTGGGTGCACCTATGCTCGCCTGCCTGGGTGCACCTTCCCTTTAAGGACAACCTCTTAGCAGCTTCCTATAAGAGATGAACACTTAGTTGAACAGCGGGTTGGGATAACATTGATATAAGAGATGGTAGTCGACTAGTGGTGAAGCAGATAGTTGGTGAATGTAGTTGGCAATGGAATAATGAAAAGGCTAGATGTGATGGTGGGTCACTATGGTGGTTCCAGTTGGGGTGATGAAACCCCAAAGTGAAAATTCAAATTGTAAACAACTAACAAGAGAGAGATTCTTGGAGTAAAACTATACTCTATACCATAGATTTAAAGTTGACAGTAGAGCTCACTCAAGTACTCAACAAGGTTCAAACTACAATGTAAGATGGTTAACGTTCAAATAATGTATTATACTGTTGGTGGTTGATGGGAATCATGGGTTACTGTCGGACTAGGATGACCTTGCTGACTCTCTTCACACACAGGCACCTCAAGGTCTGGTCTAGTGTCGACCACTTCCAAGGATTCATTAGGAAACGCATCAGGATAAGTAGCAAATATCTTGGACTTCATGCTTCTCAGCTTCAGAAATATGTAGTCAAGGTCAGTCTTCATTGATTTCAAAAGACGAGTGTTTTTTGAAAAGTCAGCCATGACATCTGCATAACAATTCTCTGAGTATTCGTTAAAATGTGAAAGCACTGCATTGCTGTCTTGCAATCTTCCTAATATGAGGTGTTGCATTTGCTTGAGCGAATCAATAGCCTCCGCATTCATCAGAGTATTGACTTCATGAGAAACCTCTTTAGAGGCAGCCCTTATTGCTGCCCTCTCCGATTCTTCCATTTCTATAAAGAGACATTAGATAGAAAGAGCACACATCATTTCAAAAGAGAAAACAGCAAGCTTCAAAAAATTCTTACCACAAAGCAGCCCTAATCTGTGATAAAGTCAAAGGCAAAAGCTAAATTCAAAAGTCATTCATGTTAGTGTTGCTGCTCTCCTAGTAGCATTATTTTTGTCAAGAGTATGGAGTTTCTACCTTAATAATTACAACATTCAAATCTGAGGTGCCAGCTTATCATACGAGGTTTGCAACATAGTCAGGTTAATAAGAATTAACCATTACAGAGCACCATCATCAAATGACAACCAAACGATCTTTTATTGACAGACATTATGCCCAATGAGCAAATCCATCTCCTGATGAAAAGGGTTGAAATCTAAACTATTTGCTAAATTACTTCAATCCTACATCAATATAACCACAAGGCCTCTGAAAAGCCCTGCCAGCACCAATATCGGGGAGGGGTTAAATGCACACAAAACTTACCCTATATATTGAAACAGATATACAGTTTCCACTCAGCGAGCATCCAGAAACCATAGACGGTCAGCTCGTTTGCAATAAGAAAACAAAAAATAAAAAGCTTGCAAAGCCATATTGATAAAATCCATAATACCTCAAAAAATAATGAATCTTTTGGGTCATTGGATATATGGTTGCTAAATCAGCTCACAATCATCAATAATTCCAATATAATAAACCTACACTTTCTTTGCAGCTATATACGAGTAGAAATCTATTCATCTTATTTGCACCAATAATGGCTACTTTTGTAGTAATATTGAGCATCTTTCACATCACTAGGTTCAGTTCCTTGAGTTTAATCTTCCTTATTACTTGATATTTGCATTTGAATTCTCTTCAGCTTTCAAACGACAGTGAGACGAACCCCACAAAAGCTATGAAAGACGGGGGAAGATATGATGGTCTTAGCATCCAATGGAGAAGTATTAAGGGGAAGCTAAACTCCTATATTGAGGGTAGACAATAAGAACCTAACAAAAAGAATTGGACTGATTAAATTACAAGTTACAACAAGTGATTAAGATAGGATTTTCTCACAAAAAAACCCTCACACATTTCTCCCTCTGATAAAGGTACCGCCTTATAAGATATTAGTAATGAAGCTAATTCATATGCTAAGCAGGGCTACATTCCTTCATGCATAAGTTTGAATTTCAAACTCATAAATGTACACAATGAGTTAAAAAAACGTTCAGCAACACAAATACTCATACATAGCCTGAACATAATCATCTCATCCATCAACCCCGGAAGTATTATTTTCAGTTCAGTTCAGCTCCTAATTTCCTTCTCTTATAAAATATTCATTTCAGTTCAACTGATTTCAGTCTATTAGAACAGGCCCTAAGAGCGCAATCAAGATGAACCTATATAAGCTAGTTGATGCTACAAATGGTGATCAAAACAGCGGATACAGCGTAACTAGTGTGCTACAAACACAAGCAAAACGATTTTGTTCATGTAGGGTCAATAGGGACATTGGCATACATCATAGATGGGAGGCAATCTTTTCTGAATATAATTTACAAAGTTGAGAAAAAGCTTGAAAAATTCAAAATGGACTTTCCTAAGTTGTAATCAGTCATTCTTTGATGAATGATTGAACACAGATTTCTGGAATTACTATTCTATAACAATTACTAGTTAGATTCAATCAATCGTACCACATAATAGTTTAATTGATTCTTGAACGAAAAATTGTACTAGTATAGGTTTATTTTCAAATGTAATTGGAACTTAAATTAACAGAAATATATGAGCAGTAAATTATTACTAATCGGAAACAAATAGAAAATTATGGGCATTGTTAATCATTCAACAATCTTTCCTTACATAGTAATCAGCCGAAATTGAAAATAAAAATCGATTATTGCAAAACAAAATTTTAAAATAATAAAAAAATAAAAATAAAATTAGAATTCTTACCTGAATGAATACTGAAGGTCTGCCTGAAATTTGAGTATAGTCTGTCTTCTCCAAATCTTGATTTTGGTATTTCTACTGTTGAGACTTGAGAGAGAGGAGAGAGAAAAAGGTGAAGGAAAAAAAAACGGGGTTACGGACTACTTACTTTTTTTACTTAAAAAAACAGCTAATTAAAGAGTCCAGTTGTGTTTGAGAACTGTTCTGTTAGGCCCAAGGCCCAAAAACAGGTAAAAGAACAATCAATTGAAGAGACCAGTTGTGTTTGAGAACTGGTCTCTTAGGACCATAAATAAAAAAAATAAAAAATACAAAGTCATTACTTCACAGATCTCACACACATGACTCTCTCTCTCCCAAAAACCCTCAAAACCGGCGGCTACCATTTCTCCGGCGCCGACTGCAAATCACGGTTAGTTTCATTCAACGCTATTTGTATTCAAGTTTCACTTTTTAATTTATATTGTTAGATTATTTAGCTACTTTAATTTATACTCCGTATTATAACTTAAATAAAGATTATATTTTTAGTTACTTGATCTAAAAATTGGAAGGCATGCCAATTTTTCCAATTTTTAGTCATTGCAATTTATTGTAAGTAAATTCATTCTACTTAACTCTTCATTATTTCATTTGAATTTAGTCATTTAATTTTCAAGTGCGGGTAATTTTATTTTATTCATTTCAATCATCAAGCATTTCTTTTAGTTTAATTACAATAGTCCTGAATCACGAGATTAGGCTGATTTATTTTAAACCCTTAGTAATTATAATTTGATTAATTCAGATACAGTTGATATCCACTGTAATTGCAAGTAATTTTAATTTAGTTTTTCCTAATTGAGCTGCAATCTTGCTTAACAAGATCCACCCCCTACCTAAAAGTGAGAATTAAGTACAATATAGATGAAATCGCGACCGGTTTAAAGAAATTGCAGTGGGAAATGATAGGCTTTAGGATGCTTAGTTTCTTGTGATTTTTTTAAAAAACATTCTAGGTGGAGATGTGTGATGTGTACTGTATTGATTATGGGATTTCGCATTGCTGTAATTTTTTTTTTTTTTTTTTGACGGGAAGAAAATATTATCATTCAAGAATAGCCATACGTTGTCTAAAATAATAGCATTGATATGTAACCCACAAATTTAGAGAAAATAACATAACTTTAACAATCAAAATCGTATTCCCTCTGTATTTACAATTGCTATGTAAAGTCTTTTGCCTGCATGTTGTCTCGTTGATTAAATTTATGTTCAAGTGTTCAACGTTGATCCATCATAAGATTTTATAGGTCTGTTACAATGAGCTAACTTGATCTGATTTGGAGACCCTTAGCCTGAACTAGGTTATTGTGTTTTTGCAACATCGGTGATAAATACAGCTATGGATGGTAGATTGGAGGCAGAGGTGTTGTTAACTTCTTTGCAAGGAATGAGTGATTCTGAGTTCTCTTCACAAGATTCTGCAGATGAAGAATTGTACAGTGAAGCAGGTTCCCAAACCAGATTGCAATTCAGGTTATGTATTCCAATATGCGAGGTTGGGAAATTTTGAATGTACTCAGAATTACTAAACAGCGTGTGATCTTTCTATTATAGGAGTGTTGTCTTTAAGGCTTGTTGGAAAGATGAATTGGGTATGGCTGAGATCATGAAACACAAGGGCAATTTGTTGAAATCGATGGGGATCAATCGTAATGGCAAGATATATCTATCAATTGAAGAGACATTGTAAGTTATCTGATGACCTTTTTTGGCCAAAGTTTATTTTTTTACCATTGTATATCCCTTACCTTAACAAAGATGCGTTTATTTTTCATTCCCTTTCACTGCTTTGCCAAATGTCAATTGGATTTTTGTGATGCCTTTTGATTTATTCCCGTTTATTCTATGAGATTGTTTTGCTAAATAATCTTGCCCCATTGACAGCTGAAGTTTCTTAATGATTTAAGGTAGATTATTTTTGGTGTGAGACTGAGTACCATGTGTATTATGCTAACTATAATATTCTCTCGAGGCATGTTGCTTTTGTTGATTTTCTGTTCCTGGCGTGCTTTTGACAAGAAAACTCTTAATTTATACATTCATATAATTAAATCCGTAATCTGTTTAAATCAAAGCTGACAATCTTCTTTTTTAAAATGTGCCTCTTGCACAGTCACTGATATTTATCGAAATTGCTTCTCGGACAATGATATGATCATCCTTCATATAGGCAAGCAATGTTCAATAAGCTTTGTTTTTTATAATAAATTTAATCCAGCTGACGTTTAGGAAAAGCTATTGACACATCAGATGTATGGAGTTGTCCTCATTAAAGATGTTTACCTGTATCTGTTTGTGTCTCTGATAAGTGTTCGATATGATAGGTTTTTAGTACAAATAGGGGCATTGCTTCTTGTTGATGATAAAAATACTGCACTTTCTTTAAGAGAGATCTATCCAAAAGTTGCAGAAGATAAGAGTGGTTGCAGTTGGGAAGGTTTCAAAATATATCAGCATCTTAAGTCTCTTGGCTACATTGTAGGGAGGCTTGGCACTCCATGGAGCCTGAAGAGCATAAAGAATTGCACACTGGTTCCTGATAATACATCTGAAAACAACAATGCGACACAAATGATAGTTGCTGGGACTTCCATTGTTCAGTCATTGAAAAATTTACAACTCGAGGAAGCAAGTCCTATTTCTGAAGATGCTCTTCCGAACTATTTTGAGAAGAGATTTCTTGAAGAATCAAAATTTATTGCCCATTTACCCGTTTATGAAGTTTATCTTCCAAACAGCCAGTTCAAGAAGACATGCCCTGGAGATCCAAATTTTGTTGTCTATCCTACCAGGTAATTGCTTCTGGACAATTATTCTGTTTTTTTTCATAGCTGGAATTTTCGCAATTTTTCTTATCGAGTCCAATGAAATTTCAAAAAGTGTGAAGCTTTGCAAAATTCTAGCTCATACTTGTCATATAATAGATGAGACCATATTATATTACATAGAAATCATGTACTTCTATCTCAAATACGTGAGGATCGTTAGGAATATTACATGTAGTCAAATTACGGTCAGAGAGTTTGGGATTCAGAGGGTTCTGAATTATTTGTTACTGCCTTATGGGCTTATGTTTCCTTATAATTATGTTGACATATGCTATTATGCTGTCATACCATATATGATGTAAGTTTTATAATGTTTTTGTAGATTATGTTAGCTTAATTGACCCCAAAATTACAAATCTTTTCTTTGTGACTGCTGAAAATAACAATTTTGTCTTCTTTATGAGTTATAAATGTTGCATTGGAAGATGATTAAATGATACACTCTGTAGAAGATAGGAAATCATAGTTGATAATATTACATGATTGCATAAGACATGAAGTGATCGAACTGTGGTATTTTCCAAATATGTTCACTTGATAATTCAATTTGATATTGTGATATTCAGTGGCCATCCACCTTCACTATCTGATATCAAAGTGCTGGAGAGACAAAGCAATGGACTTCCCATAAAAGTTGGTCATGTAGATGATGGACGAGTTAGTTTGTTCTCCTTTGACAAAATGGAGCTTCCTGTCCTACCGTGATGACACGAATTGTAGTTTCTAAGCACAAGGTAGAGGAAATGTTATAGAATTTTTGCCCTGATTTTATGATCTCAGAACATTTCCTCCTTTTTTCTTTGTTATATCGCAGAAGCCTTGGTGGAATCCACAAACCAACCCCTCTGCCATTCAGTGGTTAGTTGTAGGTTTTGGTGGAGCCGTGTTGGTGGTTTGGTTTAGGCGCTGTAGTGGTGGCCGTGGAGAGAAGAGGAAGTGCAGGAGAGGTCTAGTGGGGATGGCGAGGTGGCATGGCGGGCTGAAGGCAGTGGTGCATGTAGTGTTGGTGGTGGCTGGCAGTTGTGGTCAGATGCATGGGATGATGGTGACAAGATATCAATTCACCTCTCCTTGAAAGCCTAACAATGACAATTTAGATATAGGCAAATCTAAAGTTAGGCTAGGTTAATATGTAGTTCAATTGCAAATTAAATTTGTACTAGAGCTGACATTATGATGAATATAATGTGATTGCGCGTTTTAGTTTGGATAAATTATTAAGCTTCTTCCAGTTTATGTACTTAATAATTTTTTAGTGATAGTTTTAGAAAGTGGAGTACAATTATTAGATAATACGAGTTTGAAAGTTTTAATTTCAGCTTCGAACTTTTAATCAAAATCTTAATTGTTGCGATCTACTCCGTATTAACTGACATTTTATTACTCAAATATTGAAATCAATTAGTTTAACACTTAAAAAAAACAAAAAGAATACGGAGAATTAGATAACTCAAAGGAATTTTGGAGAAATTTTTTTAATAAATGTTTTTTTTAATAAGAATCCTTTTAATAAATTACGGTGTAGTATAATTAATTATAATTAGTTTATTACAATTTAAAAAAATTTCCCATCAAAAACTCAAAATAAGGTCAAAGTTTTTCATGGCTTTTGATTCTAAAAAAAATCCTCCATTGTCAAAAAAAAAAAAGTCCTCCAAAATAACGTATACCTTCCAATAAGAACACACCACGTAAGCTACAATTCCTCCAATCTCCAATCACATCTTCTCAGTTTACAACACAAATCTAATTTATTTTTTATTTAATTACTCAAAAAAAAAAAAAAAAAAAAAAAAAACAAAGAAAAGAGGCTCTCCCTTCCCTCGTACTCTCCTCCTTTGACTCTCTTTCCCCCAATTCATTCTCTCTCCTCTATATCGACTGCGAATTCGACGCAATTTTATGAGCTGCTGCAATTTCTAGAGAGAGAAATTCCTCAAATCAAATCCCTAGAATTCTGCGAAAATGATCCAAAGGTCATTACAAATTTTCGTAATTCTAGGGTTTTTGCTCACCATTACCCAATCCCTTAGATTTGATCTTCAATCTGGCCATACTAAATGCATTTCCGAAGATATCAAGAGCAATTCCATGACCGTCGGAAAGTATCACATCGTCAATCCCAATGAGGGTTATCCTTTGCCTGATACTCACAGAGTCACTGTTCGGGTAATTTTGGATTTTGATTTTTGATTTGGTGAATTGGAAACCCTAATTTTTGTGATTTGGAAACCCTAATTTGATTTGATTGTGTTTGTAGGTGACGTCGGCGTATGGGAATAACTATCACACTGCAGATCATGTGGAATCAGGGCAGTTTGCCTATACTGCTGTGGAGTCAGGGGATTATATGGCGTGTTTTTGGACGCCGGAGCATAACCCGCCTGTTACTGTAACTATTGATTTTGATTGGAAGACTGGTGTTGCTGCTAAGGATTGGGGTAGTGTTGCTAAGAAGGGCACCGTTGAGGTAAATTTTGTTTTCATAGTGCTCCAGTTGTGTTTAATTATATTGTATTTTCTGTTTGATGAGTTAGTTGTTTTAATTCGTGTTGCGAAAAGGGTATATTGGAATGAGGATGATGATGAATTGACTATGAATAAGGCTTATTATGTTGAATATGGGGCTTGGGACTCATATTTAATTATATTGTATTTTCTATTTGATGAGTTAGTTGTTGCAATTTGTGTGGCGAAAAGGGTAAATTGGAATGAGGATGATGATGAATTGACTATGAATAAGGCTTATTATGTTGAGTATGGGGCTTGGGACTCATATTCGGTATATCTAGATTTGTGAGTTTTCGATGCTTTGATCATTCTGGTTGCTTAGCCAAAGTAGCTAATGTTGTACTGTGGATGAGAGATTGAGGGTTATGCATTGCATTGTTACCTGATTACCAAAAATTCATCAAAATTTGGGTGGGAGAATTAGCTCTTAATGCAATTGTATAGCTCGAGTTGATTTACTCTGAGGTCATTATGTATTCAGATCTACCATCTAGCTCTTCAAGATTCTATCTTTGGTGGCAGTTAGGGTCATGATCATGGTTACTTAATTATCGTTGTAAATTGACAATTTTTATGTATGCTCTTGGTAAGAAGTTGATTTTTGTCCCGTAATTGGCTACATGTTCAAACATTAGGACATTTTCAACATTTATAAGTTCCCATGTAACCCTTATGTATGTTTGGATAGGAATAGTTGGATGGTAAAGGAGGGCAGGGAAAGAAAAGGATATAATTTTTCTTATTTGGATATGACATAGGGAAGGGAAAGGAAATGGAGGGATTCATTGTCCTTCCCCTCTAATAAACTAAATTCCTCTATTGTTGGAGAGATGAAGTAAAATGGAATGTCACTCTCTCCTTTCCCTAATCACCCTTTTAATTCCCTCCTTTTCCTTCCTCTCTCTTTCCCTTCACCATTGTTATTCAACCATAGTGTCAATGATACGTAATAAGACTTCCATAAATACTGCGGTGGTATTGTAGATATTTCTAAATTTTAGGGAGAGATGGTTTTTAAAATTGAGCTGCATTCCTTAAGAGTGATCCCAAATCAATTGTTATCATATAGGGATTGAGATATAATTTTCTATTTCCATTACATGCAAAGAGAATATGAGTTTCCAGTGTTGCTTCCTTGGATTTAGCTTGCACAAGTCTCCAACCCTTCTCTGGATGGATGTAGATAGATTGAGAGATGGTCTTCAGTTGCCTTAAAACACTTCTCTTTTGTTAGGAAACTGTAGGGGTTTGCTTATGGTGCTGCTGATTTAGATTTGAGCATTTGCTTGGAGTTTTGAGTAGTAGTGGTCAACGGCAATTGAGTTGGGACAAACATCAAAGGGCTTTACTCCTTTTGGACAGGGCCATTGGCTTTAAAAGTCATGGGTTAATATAGCTTTTATCGAGAAACCCAACAATCTTAAAGGATCATTCCTCATAGGGTCAAGACTGACTTCTTACTTACCTCATTATGGATTCTGTGTTTAGACTCTTTAGAGTATATATATCTATTGTTTGATTGTTGCCATTGCAAACAAGGATGATGCTAATCAATGCTTTGGATGATCTATATCTTGTATTTTGGGCTAAATAATGCTGAAATTTTTCGCCAATCAAAGTATTTGAGATTATCTAGGAATACACATTGAATGCTGAGATTACGCATTGAATTTCTGCTAGTCAATCCATGATCAAAAAAGTGTTTGTGATTGTTCCAGAATATATGAAACAAAAGATAGGGTAGAGCTAGGATAGTTATTGTATGAGGTCGACCCAATGCTAGATGCAGAGTGTATAATAGATCAATATGAACATCATGAGCTATGCCAAAATAAAACCAGTTGTTGTTGATACCTTCTTCTCCTTCTTCCATAATCTGAGTTCGTCTAAGGAAGATATCAGAGGGCCCTATGGAGAATGTGGTCAGAAATCCATAATAGAGTGCAATGAACTGGATTTTCTGCTAACTTAACTCACGCAAATAACAGGAAAAAAAGAGGAAAAGATTGATTCTTTGAGTGAACAATATAATCTGATTTTTGTATATTGATTTAATATGAAGAATTAATAAAGATGGAAGCTTTAATATTGGTTGATAATGGTGGAAGGGTTACAAAATGATAGGAGTAATAGCTTGAGGCTATTACACTTAAAATAGCTTGAGGCTATCACACTTAAAATAGCTTGAGGCTATCACACTCAAAATAGCTTGAGGCTATCACTCTGTTAAGGTTTCCCTTTAATACAAATTTCTGCCTCCTTTCTCCATATCTCTCTTCCCTTTTTATATTTACATCCTTCATCCCTAGGATGTTTCTAGACTAAATTTTTGTCTCATTTGCACAGGTGGCATCTTTGGTTCATTGCCTATTCTTCCTTATTATGCTAAATTTGATGACTACTAACATACTAAGTTACCTTTAATAACCTCCCCTAAGTCAGTTCATTACAGGGAGGGGAACCTGCTATGTTCTGTAGCAGGAACTGTTTGAGAATGTTGTGCTTTGCTTGATTGATACTTCCAACATCCTAGTGTTCTTGTTTAACTTTTAAGTTTATTAGATCCTTCCTAGTTATCTTATATTTGTCATTTTTTTTGAATGATCATGTGTCAAATAAAGGAAAGGAGGACATTTTTTAGGCGAGAGTTTTTTTTTTTTTCTGCAAGTTGTTATAGCTGCTTACTATCGTCCCTTGTTCTTTATACATTATTGTCTTTTTCTGTTTTTAGAGATATTGCTTTATATATGTATGTATACAAAGGGGGACGTGTTTGATTCTCCAAGTATTGTTTTGGCCTTTTATGCATGAACACAACAATTGTACATGTTGGGCTTGGTTGTTTTAATAGAGGAAAAAGCTTAAAACACTTGGCATCTTTGAAACTGATTTTTTTTTAAGGTCTTTGTTCATTAGAGGGGCAAGAGAAAGTGAGAAACTAATATACACCTTTGAATTAGTTTTTACACTTTCTTTTATTGTTTATTGCAGGTTGTTTTTACAGTGTTTTATTTAGAAAAGATCCACTTTTTAGAAATTAAAAAAAAAAAAAAATTCATTTGCTCTTTCCATAATCAGAAAGTTTGGGCCTCACCTCTCTCACATTCAATCAAAAAATGATTCAATCAATGTTATTTTGTTATCTTGATTTAAAAGGACTTGAAGTTACGTATCATGGTAAGAATTATGTGATTAAATTTCAGCAAAGAACCTTTTGTATGGAGTTGTTCTATATTGTAAAATTACTTGCCATGTCTTGTCAAAAGTTTCTTCACCAATTAAGTCTCTTTAAATGATGGAAATTGTAATTATCTCGTTCACTTTTGTTATATTTATTATTATTTTCTTATAAAAAAATGTGTAAAAATTAAACCTAAATTTATTCTTATCAGGTCATGGAATTGGAGTTAAAGAAGCTAATGGATACTGTAAATTCCATTCATGAAGAAATGTTCTACCTCCGTGATAGGTGAGTTTCCTTTTGAATTTACACGAATAACAAAGGTTTATGTAGATAGCTAAAAAAGATTTTATTTGATCTACAGGGAAGAAGAGATGCAAGCTTTGAATAGAACAACCAACTCTAGGATGTATTGGTTGGGTTTTCTTTCATTTCTTGTTTGTTCAACTGTGGCTGGTTTGCAATATTTTTACTTGAAGAATTTCTTCGAGAGGAAAAAGTTGTTATAAGTTAATTTTAAAGCATTACTGTAAAATTTTCGAGAATGTAATATTATCTATCGAATAGTCAATCCACTTGAATTTCACGGAGTATGTTTTTCAATGAATATTTTTGACATTTTTTTTGTCATTAGTATTTTTGTTAGTTTTTATTGGCATTTGTCGATATGATCTTATCATCGTATTAGGGGTTAATTGTTTTTAATTGATATTCATCTGTATATACCTTTTTTTGACGTGTTCATCAGTATATATTTAAACGTGTGTTTGAATGTTAAAATGACTTTGTCATACATAGACTTTTTGTAAATTAAATGCCGACAGTATGATCCTAGGACTTTTAGCCCTTTATACGTAAACCTTTCTTTATAGTGCATACTACCCTATGTTTAACAAGGAGTAGTTGATTACGTTTATGTTCAAACATGTGCATTGAAACAACTACAAGGGAAGATGGATGGGAGAACGAACGGAGGGAAGGAAGATTTTTTGCCCCTGCTTTGGTTTAGCAGTGTTTGTCCATATTAGTTGTTATCTTCCTTTTTTGGGAATTACTTTGGTCTGTAATTTTTGGTTCCACAGAACCTACATACATTATTATGGTTACTCTCACTGTGGTGGGATGTTAGCCGGGGATCGTTTTGCAAACTTTGGCAACTAGCCTAATATATGCTTCGTCTATTTGTGTAAAAAAAAAACAACTACAAAGGCAAATAGATGAAACAAGAATGGAGAGAGTGCCGTTAATCTCCCCTCTTTCTTTTTCCTTACGTATTAATACTCAATTTTAATTTGGAAATGGTAAATGAAATGAAATAGTGCTAAACAATTGTCATTTAACTAAACATTTGCTCCTTGTAAAAAAAAAATTAAATAAATAAATAAAATGCTCCCATTCTTTAGTAGGAGCTGCTTCTACACCTATTATGTAGAGGACTAGAGGTTTGCGCAACCAACCTTTAAATCAGAGGAAGTCATTTCTTACTTAAGAAAGGTTAAATTTTAATAATCGTCTGCCCTCAAACACTTGCTTTGATAGGTGTTCTCCACAGACATAAAATTCAATGCTTACACGATATTACCCCAACACCCCCGTCCACGATGACGAGCTGGATAGCCTCCAATGCAACAGTCTTATTCATCCTTACGCTTCTCCCAAAACACTAATCTTATGTTCCTAGGATTAAATAAAAGGAAAGGGAAAAGAAAACTGGCAGCTGGTTGAAGTTAAGAGGGGTTTAAACACTTGAAAATTAAAATAGATTATTTCTAAGCTTCTACAAAGATCAAACCCCTTCATTGAAACTCCAAAGTCAGAGCGAAATATAGTACGAGAGTAATTTACTTGGTAGCATGTTCAATCATTTTGGTAGTGAAAGACTAGATATCAAAACTTTTAGAAAATACAATGGGTCTTCTCGTAAAGTAGGTGTTTTATATTTACAAAAGAAACATTTATAGCTGTCCTTCAGACTAATATCATCTTTCAAAATGTCGATAACAGCAAGCGAAGGCAGAAAAATAAGAACTCTTATGCAATTGCACAACAGTCTAACAGCTGCTAACTTCCTACCAAAGAAGGCAGTTGTCATTTACAAGGCATATGAAAATGAAAATGAAAATAAAAAGTCAAATAGCAAATTACAAGTGTAGTACACAAATAATACAATATACAAAGAAAATAAAAATATTGTAATTTATAGGTATACACTTCCAGTCATACAATAAGCCCACCCAAGGCAGATATGAATCAGAATGAATAATTGGAGGCGGAAATCTATAATGTTTGAATAAGGTTGTGTTGGCTAGAATCTGATATAGCTAATGATTCGATTAAAAATAATTGAAGCTAATAAACAGGTGTAGCACTCTTCAAAATGAACAAGGAACTATTTATCTAGAAATGGCAATACCTTAAGCCAGAATTGGACATCAACAGTGTCGGCATGAATAACTAGCTAGTTGTCAGACCATGAGCGTCATAATGCAGAGTTTGTCATCCAGAAAAAAAGTGCCAGTGATGCTCTGCTGGAAGATTGTCCTTAATTTTCTCAAGTCTCTTAAGAATCTCCAGAAAGGTAGGCCTCTGGTTCATATCAGCAGCCCAACACTGTTCAGTTAACCTGTATAAACACCCAAAGACATTTAGCATCACAAGTAAAAAGCTCAAAATCTGCAAATTTCATTGTAGAAATACACAGCATCACCGTCTAAATCCAGATAAGAATCATGATTCATGACCACCCACCTTAGGTAAGAATATGTTCAATCCCACCCCAATCTCCACACACATACAGTCAAATATAAAATTCCAAGCGAAATTGTAAACAACAATGAAAAAAAAGGGTAAGACAACAGGATCATAACTTAGGAACAGAAGGACGAAGAAAATTAACATTTGGTTCATTGGACAGCAAAATATATGTAAACTTCCTCCAGCACCCCCCCCCCCTTCCTTCCCTCCAATAAGAATCATGATTCACGAGCACCCACCCTAGGTAAGAATGCCCATGTTCAATCCCCACACGCAGGGAAAAAAAAGAGGCCCCAACGAAATAGTGAAAAATAATGAAAAACAGAGTAAGACAACAGGAACATAATGTATGGACACAAGGATAGCAGACAATAAACATTTGGTTCAATGTACAGTAAGCAATAGCAAAATGAGAGCCCAAATATTAGATATGCGTAAACTTCCAAGACCCCCCCCCCCCCCCCAAAACACACACACACAAACTCTCTTTGAATAAAATAAGATTGCACTCACATGGTCTGACCACAGCAACCAAAAGGTCATTTAATTCAAACAATTGAAGTCAGAAAAAAAGACAAACTTGTAAGCTGAAAGCTCCTAGATTAAGCAATACGCAAATGGGTAGAAAAATGATAGATTTCAGGAAAATTGTACTTTAAGTTAAACTTACTCTTTCAAATCTGGGACAAACCCTTTGGATCTAATGGTAGGTCTATGTCCTTCAGCCACATATCTTGCTGCCTCATATGGTTCATAACTTGACAAGGGAGGCTCTCCCTCAATCATCTGAGAAAATACAAGTTTATGAGGAATACAGTTGAATATACTGTAACTTCCATTCAACATCAATATAATGAACTCACCTCATATAATATCATGCCGAAGGAGAAGACATCAACCTTTTTGTCATATTTCCGATGCTTGAAAACTTCTGGAGCCATATAACGGTCTGTATTTATTCAATCAAACCATTAAGAACGAGTATGCATAGATAATATACCATCAAATACAGAAGTGCAAATTACTCACAGCTTCCTGTCTCCCCAGTCAATTTATATACATCATGAGCATGTTGTACCCTGATGAGCTTGCTCAGTCCAAAGTCTCCGACTTTTAAATGGTCTGCATTAGAGTTGACTAAGAGAACATTCCTGAAAGCAAAAAAGGTTATCAAGAATTACAATGAGTGTCAACCACATCTTCTAGGGAGTTAAAGATAGGGGACATACAGAAGTATGCTACATGCACAATGTAAAATATTCCATAAGTGTGGCCAATTCAAGCCCTCACCCCTAATAGAGTGAAAAACACAACTGCACTAACCTTGGCTTTAAATCTCTGTGGATAATGACATTAGGTTCATTATGAAGATAAGCCATTCCTCTGCCAAAAAAAAAAAAAAAAAAAAAAAAAAAAAGAATTGAAGATGTGAGATTAACCAATTTCACAATTTAACCACAAGAAAAACAGCATAAGGTCTCCAAGATAAAGATCTCAGACTTAAATAATCGTTGTCCATTACTGACCATCGCAATTTAAGTTTTTGTAGTCTTAAAGGTTGATCCTAGACCATCAATAAGTTATACTTCATCAATTCTAAACATTTTCACCATTTACCATATGAGAAAACTTAAATATTGCATCATTTAGAAAATTGTATACCTCCATATACAAATCTACACTGCACACACCCAATATACTCTTGTTAATACTACTCGCTTTCCAATATACCCTTGTTAATACTTGATGCTTAACAAAATTCCAATATACCCTTGTCAATACTTGTTGCTTTCCAATGCTTGCAATCACATGGGTAACTGGACAATTCAGCCTTTCTTTCGATTCTTATTTATTTTCTAAATCTCCATGCACTCCACTCATGGTGTAATTTAATTAGAGTGAAGGAAATATAATTGCTACATATATAATAATAAAACATGTCTAATAATAATGATCATTTTTATTTGGTTATAATATATCATAATACTTATTCTACCAGTCTCAAAATATTACTTCTTTTGTTATTTTTTAGTTGATACATTTTGACTTTTGACACCATTCATAAACTTTACTTTGACTAGTTTTTGTGATTTATATTTATGATAAAACGTATTCATGTGGGATTTTACTTGAATCGTCTCAATGTATATTTTATCAATATAAACATTTTATAATTTTTACTTGACGATTAGAGATATTAATAGCTAAATTTGTGCATTGGAAAACGTGATAAAAGAAACATATCAACTAACAAAAACGGAGGAAGTTTAAGAAAAGTATTCCCTTTGATTCTAATTGATGGTCCTATTCAGAATCTTTAGAGATACAAATGCTTACAGAATCTAATATTTTAAGAATAAATATATACTCATGTGGGATCTTGTAAAAGGATAATGGCACCAAACAAAACTCTATAATACCTTGCAATGTCCAATGCAAAATTTATAGCTGTTGATGGACTAAGAGCTCCCTTTTCTTTAAGATACTGATGTAGATCACCCTAGAAGACAGATATATATAACAGCTAGTCAGTAGTACATTAAGGATGAAGCAGGTATAGATATAAAATACATTAAGGATGAAGCAGGTATAGATATATATTTGCAAGCAATATACCCCTCTCAAATATTCCGTGATCAACATCAAAGGCTTTTTCTCAGTCACAGCTCCAAGGAATTGTACAATGTTAGGATGACGAAGCTTCACCAGTAAAATGACTTCATGTCTAAAATCCTGACTAAAGAAGCAAAATGGAAGTAAAAACCAGTACGCATTTTTAATAATTATATACAATAATAGAGTTGTCTACATCACATGCTCATCTGAAAAGAACCCATCTTTGAAATTTGATCTTACATGACTAATCTATCATCTGAAAGAGATGGAAGTATGCGCTTAACTGCAACTGGAGTTCCTCGCCAGTAGGCTTTCAAAATCTCACCAAATGATCCCTGCAGGAGTCAAATATTATGAAAGGCAACAAAACAAAGAAAGTACTAGAAAATAACCGCCTTGATGCATATGCAGCATTGACTTGAAAATTTAATAACACAACCAAGAAGAGCCTAAGATTGGTACAATTGATTACCATCAAGTTGACAATATTCCTAAGGTTCAGATGATTTCTATCTTTAGGAGCTGTGAAGTGGTCAATTCTTTAAAGCTAAATTTCATCTTCAATCTTTCATGTCCATTGAGAATCACAATGGGTAATAATTAATTCAATCAGAACATAGACAGGAACAGCAAGAATAGAATTAAAGATAAGCTGGAAAAAATTTAACTTTTTAAAATCATAAACTAGACATTATTACAAGTGGTCTGAAGCTACTTATCACTAATGCAAAGATAGAGTCACACCTTTCCAATTATTGCTGAGTGCGAAAAATCCAGCTCAGAAGGGTCAATCTCCCAGTCACACTTGTTTGGTTGGGGTGGGGGCACAGCTTTTGGTTCAAAATGGCTCCCATTTTGTCCCTGAAAAATGAAATCACTCAGAGATCATGGAAATTACTAACTATTATGACATGAATCCAAACAAAGCAGAGCAGAGGCTCAGATTAGTAACACTGAAATGCTATAACAATCGACATCCATGCTTCTGTCCATGAATGCAGTCATGAGAAGAAACAATGAGTAACAAATTTGAGTCACAAAATATTATCACAATTTCTATACAGATAGACACAAGAAAAGCAATAATGTTGATGAAAAATATAGCTTCCAATAAGAGACACTATTGACATTTTAAGCAAAGGAGTTTTCTTCTCAATAGTCTACAATGCACAGGTAACAGTGATTACCGGCTAGTACCTATATAACATCCACATAAATGAGAAAATTTAACTTCAAAACATCTGTGTTTGGTACTTCAAACTACTTTAGGATAGACATAATTGAGTTTGTGAAAAATTCCAAAGCGAACTTAAAAATAAATTAAAATGACGCTTGTGAACCACATAATCCACTCTTACGGATTTCCATATTCAAGGTAGCTTCATTTCATACAGATCTATAGTCCATAATTTAAAAGAGTTCTAATTTGAGCTAATGACCTTTCAAAGAAAACAAGTTCATAAGTTCAAATTATTTCAGTCTCTAACGGCGGGCTAATGACTTTTTTGAGAAAAGGAATTCACAAACAGACATACTTTAAGCATGTAAATGGATAGGGAAGAACCAAAAAAGCATGTTACAATTCAGAGGATAACGTGCACAAGATAATTGAAATATATATGTTTCCATCTGAAGAGCACATACACCATGGCGTAGCTACAATTATAAAGCCAAATTCATAAAGAGGACATACAAATATGCCGGAATTAAACTTACATAAGATAAACCGCCATATGTTTTCAAAAGCTCAAGCATTCCATGTTTTTTTGCACCTTCGGCATCAGCTAGAGGCTGTCATGAAACAAGAATCTATTTTTAAATGCAATCCAGCTAGTTTTTTCTTGAAATAATAATTAAAAAAGAAAAACAACAAAGGAAACAGCAGCATCCAGATCACAATATGACATGTAATAAAAGTGACGCTTTAGTCTAGGCGTCAAGAATTTTACCCTTCAGAATCCAATTCAATGGCTCAAATTTCATCGTTCCCTGTACCATACTACACCATATCATTACAGATTTAAACCAATGCCAGTAACTAGGCTTCTGCCTAGAACAACTTAAGGTGGGAAGAAGCAAACTTTGTACAGCTTTAATCAAACAATTTTGAAAGAAGCACCAGAAGCAACTAAGGGGGAAGGGGCAAACTTATTACAGCTTTAACAAAATAATTTTGAAAGAAGCTATTTTAACCTTACAGCAACAATCACAAGCGGAATCAACAATGTTGCCTAGTTAAAATGTTCTTGAAGTAGGTCAAGTGCACATTGTGAAAGATAGCATTTCATAACATAACATAGCATTAAAACCTCAGAGAAAAAAGTTAACTTTAGGCCCGCAAATTAATATAATTAGTCAACATCTAAAGGTGAAAGAAGCAAATCGAATACATGACAAATTGGTCAATAAATCGCTGAGCAACAATTAAGAGACAAAGAAAAAGAATGTTGAGAGAGAATTTATGAGTAGCAAATCAGCTTTTAGAATTTATAATTTTTGTTCACTTAAAATAAATTTGGTACAAATATTTTCTAAAAAGCATTGACATTAGTAGTCATCTCATCAATCGAAGTTGACATTAACAAAAGAACCTTATCTCAAAATTCATCAATAATCCAACAATAATGGTATCTCATAATTTGCATTTATTCGAAAAGCAACCGCAATCCTTAAATCTTACTGCAATTTCATAAGTAGAAACAGAATCTGGCACAAATTATCTATGTTCTTCCAACATTCCAAAAAAGACAGCTAAAATTCCAAAATTAATATTCTATCAATACGATCAAGAAACTTCAACAAATTCCAAAAATCACAATCAAAATACCTAAATTCATACATTAACCAAAATTTCAAAAATCATACTACACAATCAAGAACACCAAATTTCAACATCAATAATTGCCAAATTAAGCATAATTACCAAATCAAAAACATTGAATTTCCGCAATAAAAAAGAGATAAAATTAAATAATAGAGATCGAATAATACGGTGTTCCTCCAGCGATCTTGAGCGTTGACATCAGCGCCAAAATCAATCAAACACTTAGCAACATCGATCCAACCATGAAGCGAAGCAACATGAAGAGGAGTTCGATTATCGTAATCCCTAGCATTAACAAGGGTAGGATCTTCTTCTAGAAGCTTCCGGACCGCAACGGCGTCGTTTTGATGAGCATGCCATAGAATTGCTGACGTCTTGCTTACCCTAGCTTTATCCTTATCCTTTTGCTTCTCCACTACTTTGGTCGCCGTCGACGGCGGTGCTCCGTCCATCGAAGATGATTCCGACGAACTTTCTCCGGCGTCGCTCATTCTCCGGTTGATCTGGAAGAATTGATTTCAAGGAAGAGAATGAGAAAGGAGAAAGGGGGGAAGTGGAAAATGTGTGTATCCGTTATTCTGTTTGTTGGTTTTGGTTTTTTGTTTTTCCCTTTTTTTTTTTTTATTATTATTATCTTTATTTAATGACTCGTATTTATGATACAAGTATTTTTTTTTCTAGTAAGAAAATTAAAAGGAAATTAAAATGATACAAGGTTTTTTTTTTTTTTCCCTAAATAATTTGTCAAATGGAATAATTACTAGATTAGATTTGATTCGTTCTATTTTTGTTATTAAATTAATTATCTTTTCATTTGCAACTTTTTGTTTAGTGGGGAGTGCATTTGACATTTTGACTCCATTTTAGTTTAGATTATTTAAAATTTTTAAATAAAACGGATGTTCAGTAAAATTACTGAACATCCGTTATAAAGTGACAATAAAATGTGCAAAAGTTACACTAAAACGCACAAAAGTTACCCTGACATATAAAAAAGTTTTTTATGCTTCATTGATAAATTTGACAAAAGTGACACTAAATTTGACAAAAGTGGCACTAAATCTGACAAAAGTGTACTCGATATACAGTAAATTATTGAAAACCGGGTGTATACAAAAGTTTTCCTTATTTATTATATAAAAGGTTATTTATTATTTATATATAAAAGGTGGATCATGAATACGAGTAATTGATAAGAAGTGTGATCTAATATGGAGTTTATGTTGAGGTATAATCTTTTAAACAGAGAGTGAGGGATAGCTCAAGTGATTAGAGCTTCTCTCTCAGTTCCTAGACCTTATCAATAGACAATACTTATATATTAGACATTATTTAGTTGCATATGTAGTTGAATAACTTTGTTATCCTTTCTCATATTTTTAAAGCGCAAGTCCTTTGTCTCAAAAAAAAAAAAAAAAAAAAAAAAAAAAAAAAAAAAAAACTCCTTAAACAAGTGATAAAAAGATAAATAGGATATTCAGATTGTATAGCAATACTTAGTGTACAACAAAAGCTGATTACAACGTTAAGCGTGTGTGGTTAAAGTTAATGACAACATGATTCATAATATATTCATAATTACAAATCCCTACTTGAACAGTTTGAAGACACTTTCAACTTGATTGAAAAAAGGACAATGAAATCATGGTTATCTTCTGCAACTAGCACATTCTTAGAATCTTAGCGAATTTTGTTGAATAAATTTACGAGTGAATTTGTGGCAAAAACAATTGACAATGACATTTTAGCTTGCTCCGTCCAAACAGTGCTTTCAGTGATGCATCCCACTTCAACTCTTATCTCACTGCATTACTGCAACTCTTTTATTAGGTTAATTTATTATGAATCTTTCGTAAGAAAAAATATAGTCATGTGACGATCTTGTTACTACGGAGTATTTTATTACTATGTGTTGTAATCCTACTACAGATCTCTCTATGTGGGAAAAGTCAACTTTGACAGTACAGCAACTCTTCAAAGCATATTTGACACCACCAGGGGAAGAGAATCAATGGCGAAATTGAAGATGAAGATTGCATTTAATATAATTACATTGATATATGACTTATAGTTGTGTAACTATATACATTATAATCACTATATACTACATCATGTTATATTGTTCTGTAGGATTCAGATGTGAAATCTGTGTATACATGTTTAATTTTCAAGTCTGTCTTTCTATACAATGCTGCAGAGATGAACCATGTTAGTCTTCGAGGGACCGCTTCCGAGCTCTCAATTTAAGTTGGAGGCTTTCAGGCTGAGGTGGAGTCCTGCCTCTGCGGAACAGAACAGCCAAAGCTCTAGACTTTCTGCAAAGCTCGAATACCTGTACAATAAATATTTGCTTCAGGTTTTAATGTCGGAAAGTGGTTAAGTAGAACAAGTACAATTGGAAGGACAGGGTTCGGTTTCTTACAGACGACGCTTCTATCTCAGCAACACCTTCACAACCTTGACCACCACCTTGCATTAGGTCACAGTATCTTACCGCTTCATTTTGGTCTTCAAATATCTGTAGTGGCACAACTGCTGATATTAGAAAGAACAAAATTCCATACAGACAATAAAGAAAACAAAAAGGGACATTGGAGACAAGTAGTAAGCTTCCCAGTCACAATTCATCCATGCCAGAGCCTACGGCGCATATGTTAAATTTTCTTCTCCTTAACTTGTTGGAGTGTCATATCCACAATGAGGTTACTTTCATGCATAGCCCAACGTTTGGGAGGTAAATTACTAAATTTCCAGCATTTGGATGCATACTTTATGAATTGAGAAAAAGACAACTGCCTAATTCTGTGTACCAAATTACCAAACAGTTTTGCTAACAATAGCCTTCTTGCATAGGGAGGTATATATCTTGCAAAGCATACCAGTAACTATCCACAGTCTCAATATGATGAGGATTCAGAAGCACGATACACCCAAACTAACCCCAAGTATAGCACACAAAACAAGACAAAATTTAAGAAGGTAGGAAAGAGTCTTACAAGTATTCCCTCCCTTACATCCTCAACGACCATTTGAAACTTCTTGCCGCTTCTTGACTGCTTGGTCTGACTGCCAAAGTCGGAGCTCAATTTGTGGCCCTTTGAAAACAATAACCCAAGCTCCCTTTCAACTTCACTGTAACAGGAAATCTAAACGTTAACATGGAAACAGCTAACTCATTTTGGAGGTAAAAGGGAAGGAGTCACAAACCTGCGATTCCTTCGAGTTTTCATTGTGCATAGTTGGTTTTCCTTCTGGGTTAGGACATACACAGGTTTTGTAGTTTCCCTCCATGGATTATCATCCAGCACTAAAGAAGAAAGAATGAACACATTATTTCAAGCAACAGAAAGCAATGTATGATACTTCGTATTAATCCACTAGCTATATTGCATTATTGCTGAATTCCACTGAATCACTTGCATTATGAAAAGCAGCATATACATTAACATCCAGATTCCAGAACACACTTTCATTGACTTAGCATTCTAACAGAAATTCATAGTTGGCAGTCTACCTCCGTTGCCTCTTTTCTAGTGTTCTAATGTCCTGTATGGCTCAATTCTAATTTAATAATCGACACACATGCATGTTATATCACCATAAATGCTTGACCACTGGAGCAAAGCAAAGTACATACTTCCTCTGTTTCTTTATAGTTGCAACACACATTTTATCACGGTATTTAAGAAAAGTGAACTTCACATCATGTAATACACTTAAAATGGGGTTAAGTAGTTGTTAAGAGTATAATCAAGTGGGCTATGAGTTTTAAATAAAAGAAATAGTAAAATTTTCATCATAAAAACCTTCCTTTTACAGTGTATTGTAACTAGTGTGACATTTCCATTTTAGGAAAGTATTGCAACTATAATAAAACAAAGGTAGTATAATACTGTACGAAAAATATACTTTAACTATGGGTGCCAGCTTAGGGCATATAACGGGCCACGAATTTGGGTCACGAGGCCAGGCCTCCACCAGCACCCCCTCCCTGGCTCCGCCCTTTGGTGCATCAGCTTGCCCTATAAAGGTATGGCAATGTTCAACTGAAAGACATCATGTAATGCATTAGATTAATGGGGAGAGGCACTATAGTTAGTACAATATGACTTGTATTGAGCACATTAAGTAGAAGGAAAATATGAACTGATGAGCGTTTTATTTACTTTGATTAGCTTTTAGTTGGGAGAGTTCAGCCAATCAAAGTTAAGCTGATAAATTCTATTAAGAAGATTACATAATTTGTCATTTAATGCCTCAAGTAGCCCTTCGAGGAACTAATTTACCAATTTGCCTTTAATATTCAACAAATTTACCAACAAAACACATAATACACTATACACCTTTGCTCGTATATAAAAAATATATACTCGGGCGTTATAAGACTTATGACAGACAAACTGAGGGAAAACCGTCTGTGTTGGTTTGGGTATGTTAGACGGGGAGGGTGCAACGGTTCGAAGAGTGAAAGGGTGGGACCATGGAGGGGTTAAACGAGAGAGAGGGAGACCGAAAATGACTTGGTTGGAAGGAGTTAGGAAGGATATGAAGTTTTTAGATTTGCATGAGAATCAGGCATTGGATCGTAAAGGATGGAGAAGGAGAATCTTTGTCGATGATTACACAAAATAATCAACTTTAGTTCATGTAGCCAACCCCACTTATGGGATTAAGGATTTGATTGATACTCGAACGCATTCATGCGAGACAAAAGGACTAATAGCTTGATTGCTCGCCACATGTAATTGAGTCATTAGGAATTGAATTGTTTTCTTAGGTTCCTTGGTCACACTGTCACAGTGTGTTTACCAAACTTGTGGGTTCTCTTTCTAAGAATCGTTGCTGCTCATGAATACACTTATTTTAAGTAGAGCTTTTGTGACTAGCTGATATACACAAAAACACTTACCAAGTAACCCCTAACTGAGTAAACCCTCACTGACAAAGTAACCCTTGACCGAGTAACCCCGAACACACGCCACATGAAAATTTATGTATATATGTCATATGCTACATGTACCTTCCTACCAGGTTGCCACTAAGTCCAAACCCACGCGGTCTTCTTGTCTTTCTCACAAGTAAGCATAAGAGTTTACTCATTCTTGCAATAAACCAAAACCTTTATATAGTAGCCCAAATACAACCACTTGGCCTTAGTATTCTTTCAAATATCAAGTCCATACCAACTCCACATCCTACTAGTCATAATTTCCATGTTATACCATGGCTGTCGCTTCATTGGTACATGTTTTACATAGTACTCCCCTTAAAAAGACTTAAACTTGAGTAAAGAATTCAAAGTAATATCATTCAGAATTTTTCAATAACCCCTCTACAACTTACTATAACAAGTACTAGAAAGACAAGGCAATGAGTGATAAGCTGATAACCATAAAAATACTTAATGAATGTAAAAAATGTTCACATTGGGACCTAGAGATAAGAAAAGATGTTGTAGCCTTTCTAGGTTGCAGAACATCATCATATCATCCGATTGAAGAAGTTCTGACTCCATGTCAAAAATGAAAGGATCATGGATGTAAGAGAGGGAATGAATTACATCACCCTGTTTAGGTAATAATTTTAAAAACATGGAACAAAGTCACAAGGGTAATGCAAAGATCCAGAACCCACACAAAGTGTGATATGCAGAAAGGATTAGGTTCTTCCCCTCAACTCACTTTTCTTCTCACCAGATATCCTTTTGAGACACACGGTTAGACTGAAGCAAGGATAAAGAGAACAAAGTAGACCCATTTATTGAGTGGATTCATGCGACCAGACAGAGTTATGTGTCCAACAGTCCTGCTCAAACTGAATTTTTTTAAGGAATGTTGTCGATCTCCAAGTGTCTAGGTAATCCTTGAACAAACTATTGTTTTTTTCAAAACAATGACTCAGGCACCCCTTGGAGGAACTAAACTCTACATAACAGTGAATCTGAAGTGACCAATGATTTATATACTTCAGTACTTCCCTTTGATTCTTCTACTAGTTTGTTTCAATAAAGTTACAAAGATTCTCTGCTTTATGGCAATTAAACCATAATTTGTCAATTTAGTAGCAACAAAAAAAAATGCCTTTCTCATTAGAAACTATGCTATGAATTGATTTTAAACATTCTCGGCTTCTTCTAGATCTATGTGCCTTAAGTCCATGATGAATATAACTCCATCGAAGTGCCTAATAGGCTACCGGCTCAAATCTCAGCATCGAGGACAATTTGTGCTCTTTGAAAAAAGTGATCTTATCACATAACAAATCTTACTATTGTGAATTATTCCAGAATTATAAAACTATTATCCCCATCTTTAACATCAAACTCGAGATAAACAACAAAGGCAACAATTCAGCCCAACTTCAAAAGTTTGCAATATGCAAATATCATAATAAAAGACCTAAACACCACAATACATGCCATTACCATATTCTTATCTTAATTCTGAAGATCAACAAATGAGCCATATTCATAGCTACTCACAATTCCCTGATCAAATGCTAATAAAACAGATGAAAAACAAAACCTAAAATTCAAAGAAATTCCCAAGTCCCCCAACAGCTAATAGTTCTACTAACCATATTGAACAACACACATGTACAATTATTGACCTTTTCAAATGGGTCTTGGCTGCACTTATCAAGAAAGAGGAGCATTATCCACTTTAGTCCAGAGTTCTTTTCTCAAAACCAAATTAGTAACGGGGGTAGCTCCTCGAGCTTATAAGCAAGTTATCATCTTGAATCATCTACTTTAGTCCAGATCTCTTTTCTCAAATCAATTAGTAATAGGAATAGCTCCTTGAGCTTATAAGCAAGATATTATCTTGAATTATCTACTTTAGTCCGAAGCTCTTTTCTCAAATCAATTAGTAATAGGAATAGCTAGCTCCTCGAGCTTATAAGCATCTTATCTTCTTGAATCATCTACTTTAGTCCAAAGCTCTTTTTCTCAAATCAATTACTAAATAGAAATAGCTCCTCGAGCTTATAAATAGGTTATTATCTCAAATTATCCACTTTATTCCACAGCTCTATTCTCAAGTGAATCAGCAATGGGAGTAGCTCTTTGAGCTTATAAGTTGGTTATTCACTAATTCGTCTTCTCCAGCAAATCATGATGAGAATTTTCAAAAGAGGTTTCAAAGATGATCAAATACTAATACTAACAAACATCTTAATACTTTTCAATTCCAATAATCACAATTATAAATATAACCCAAATCAAATCAAATCAAAACCTACTAAAACCTAAATTAAACCAAACCAAATCTTAATACTTTTCAATTCCAACAATCATAATAATAAATATAATCCAAATCAAATCAAAACCTACTAAAACCAAAATTAAACCAAATAAAACTAAATTGAACAAAAAATTAAAAAAAGGGTACCATCATAGCTGCTGGAATCGAGTGATTGGTGAAGATGGCGGCGAATATCATAAGCACGAGACGAAACCTGCTTAACAAACTCATCGGAAGTTCCGGGGATAGTTCCGTCCAACTGCAAAGCTTTATCAACCTCGACATCATCAGTATCAGCGTCACTACCATCACCGTTGAATCCGGATTGGGTATCGGAGTTGTCGGAAGATTTAGCTAGCAACACCCCAACATTCCGCCGCGAGGAATCGGAAGACAGAGGAGGAGAGAGAAAAGGGCGATTGTGAATGCGAGGAGGAAAGAGGTAGTGGAGAGGAAGTTTGAGAGTATGGGGTGGTGGTGGTAGCATGATTGACGGAGATACAGAGGACAGAGAATCCATTGTTTTTCTTGCTTTAGAGGTTTGAGGTTTCCCAATTCTTTGGAACAACTTCGTGCTGAAATTAGGGAGTGACAAGCAACTTCGAATGTAGATCCTTTATTTAGTTTAAGGGGCTTTTTCTGTGTTGTACGACGAGCTAATACTCGACTAACCCCTATCGAATAACCTCGGACTATACCCATTAAGTAACCCCTGATCGAATAACCACAAATAACCTCTGACTGAGTAACTTTGGACATTATTTATCTATCTATCTATTATACCTAAGTATTAGAGAGCTATTACAAATATTGTGGGACGTTTATTTATCAAGTTCTAGCTCTAAAGCTAGTGAAGCAGCAAATTCATATGTCATGGCAAGTACCTGAGGCGGGATAGTATGTCCTAATTAACTGTGATGGTGCTGCCGAAGGGAACCCAAGAGCTGCAAGTGGAGGGGGCATAAAGCTCTAAAGCTAGTGAAGCAGCAAATTCATGTCTCTTGGTAGGCACCTGGGTCGGGATAGTATGTCCTAATTAACTGTAATGTGACGGTGCAGCCGAAGGTAACCTATGAGCTGCAAGTGGAGGGGGCATAATAAGGGATCATGCAGGCCATTTTTGTGGCTGCTTTTCATGCTAATTTTGGCCATTATCGTTCGTCCTTTAAAGTTGAAACATTGGCACTTGTTCGTGGGATTGAACTAGCTAAATGCCTACGAATCCGGCCAGTAGTTGGAAATTCAACTTTATAATCTTGCGTGCGTTCATATTCTAAATAGGGAGGAAGAAAGCAAGGGAGAATGCATTCATGAGATAAATTTTTGTCGAAGCGTGCTCAAATATGCTAATTGGAAGATTAAGGTGGTTCATATCTTTAAGGAGGGCAATCGCACGGCGGATTGGTTGGCCAAATTCATTATATTATACTAGCTTAAGTCTCGTGCAATGACACTTGTTAATAAAATTAATATTATAGCAAATTACAATGTTAATTCAACAATAATTTACGTAAATAATACCAATGTTAAGGGTATTGACACATTTGAAAGTACTAAAAAAAAGTAAGGTTTATGGGTTTTTTTTTTTATTAATTGAAATAAACGGAATCACAAAAAATAGTGAAGTTGAAACAAAAAGAAAGAAAAAAAAAAACAATATTACAGGACTCTTGTATAATAATATTGTAATAACTAATAAATTGCATTTTTGTTGAAGAAATTTTGATAATTACTTATTCTATGTTCATTTTATAAAGACAACATATAATATAAAATATATGGTTGTATAAACGCAAAGAGTATATTATAGGTTATAAATAGCTTCGCAAAATTTTTAAAAAGGACATGATATGTGTCATTCCTAGTTTCGCTTGGAGGAGATAATTCTAAAATAGAAAATGACATGTATGTGTCAAAACTAATTTCTCTTTAATTATTTAACTATTTAAAAAAAAAAAAAAAAAAACTCTTTAACTATATTGTTACGCTCTATTCACCTCACCTTACAAAAATAATATTTAGTAAAACTAATTTCAATTCAGTAAAAATCATTTTAGTTCAATAAAAATTAGTAACTTTATAAAAGACATACAACAGAGAATCTAGAGAATCCATAAAAATAATTTCAATTCAGCAAAAAATTCAGTTTAGTAAAATTAATTTTAGTCCAGCAAAAATAATTTAAGTTTAGCAAAAATAATTTAAATTCAAAAGAATTTTAATTCAACAAAATAAGGTGAAGTGAACGGGCCTCATTGACAGGAGTAGTTACAAGCTAGCGGCTAGAGAATCTTGGAATAAGTCAATTTATTTATTTATTATTTTATTTTATTTTATTTATTTATTTATTTATTGTAAGGAAGGCAAGTATGAAGTATACGTATGTAAATTACCAAATTGATTCGGTTATTGCCTTTTAGGAATCAATTACAAAAATAATGGTCATTTTTTTTTTAATTAATCACATACACTCTTACGCAAATACGCAATACTCATTGCATAACTGCTACGTATGTAAATTACCAAATTGGTTCAGTTATGGCTGGCCTGGTCCACTTAATTAAAACTTAAAAGTATTTTCCCCATTTGTGTATTTGTTTTATTTAAAAAGACATTCTTAGTAGTATAAAATTTAAGTCAATTAAAATGATTTTGATAAACAAGTGTATGCCATAAGTAATACTCCCATATACACTATTTCTATTAGTCAAAATTGGTTAGAACAATACAAACTACTGCTTGGGTGCGCACAAAATCACAAACTTTATATGGAACAATAAATAACACAAAATTTGAGGATTAGATGATGTTAATGACATAAACTATTTCCGTTGCCGAAGATTTCACCGAATTCCAGCTACCATTTTTGTTCACATTGTTTTTCCCACTTTGATCAATTGTATCTCAGAAACAATTTTAAGTGAGAACAACAATATAAAATGAAGATTGTACACATCTTTGAAATAAAAAATCCAGACGTACGAATCTAGTAATCTCCTAGAAAAATATTTTCAAAGTACATAATTGCATTATTGAGAGATATTTCGAATGGAACATATTAATATAATTGACCATAAAAGTTGAGTGATTAAATAAAGTATTAAAGTCCTTAGTTCTATGGTTTCATTACGTTGAATCAATCACATACCTAAAACGGTACACGAACAAACTAGTGAAACTACTATAATGATAGAAAATCTTATAATGTCAACGCAAGTTTTTTTAAATATTTGCTGAAGCTAAAGAAGGATACGTTGATGTTTCATGCACTACTCATTACTCACTACGTAATTTTTTTTTTTTTTTTTTGAGGGGGGACTTACTACGTAATTATATATATGTGAATACATTAAAATTACCACTTCTTTTCAAAAAAAAAAAGAAAAAAAAGACCACTTACATTAAACTTCATATCTAATTGTTTCATAAATCACTATAAATATCGTTCATATTATTTCATGAACGATAATATACCTTAAGAAAAAAAATGCTACTTCTAATATTGACAGCATTTCTAGTCATATTTCTCTCGTTTCTTTTTCAAAAATTTGTAAAAAATAAAGTATTTCATATTCCTCCTGGACCAAGAGGGCTTCCCTTAGTAGGAAACCTCTTCCAGTATGATCCCTCAAATACTCACCTCTACCTTGCCAAGTTAGGCAAGACCTACGGCTCGATTTTCGCTCTCCGATTGATGGGTAAAACCATGGTTGTGGTTCAATCAGCCGAGTTGGCGAAAGAGGTGTTATTGACACAAGATAAGAACTTCTGTAATAGACCGGAAACGACCGGAAGAAAAAGGCTAAGTTACAATGGTTTAGACATAGCTTTAAGCCCTTATAGTAACTATTTGAAGGAAATAAAGAAGGTACTTATATTTAATCTCTTAAACACTAAGAATGTCGGTTCTTTTGCTTTAAATAGACAGGAAGAAGTATCAAGGTTGATTCAACAAGTTTCTTCTCTCTCTTTTGCTTCTAAAACTATCAACTTGAGCCAATTGGTTCTTAGTTATGCTAGCTCCAATTCTAGCAGGATCGCTTTTGGCAAGAGGTACGTATGTATGTACGAGTGTATATATTGTATATTTCATTTTTCGCCAATAGATAATTAGAGATATTTACGATTGAATTTATGTATTGATCTAGCAAATTAAAAGTGATAAAAGAAATATGCATGCATGTTAACTAAATTAGACAATTTTAATACGTGGGTACAATATAGGAATATCTCTAGGAGTAGTTAGGAATGCATCACAAATATTATAAAAAGTTTGTATTTGAAATTTAAAAATTGGGATGGATCTAATAAGATTTTGCATGTACTTGTCTTTGTATCACTTATTTACATTTGCTAATTAATATAAAAAATGCTACATTATTGGAACCATTCACACACCATTCTTAATGTATTGTGAACTCGAACTCGAACTCGACCTCGACCCGAACCAACCCAATTCCAAACCCGAGATACATATTGAGAGCGAATCCAATCCCGACCTAACCCAAACGATCCAAAATTAACTCGATTTGACCCATTTATCATATATGGTAATGACCTAAATGTTCCTAATCATCCAAACCAAACAACTTGCATGAAACTTGACCCGACCCATTAACCCAAATTGACAGGTCTTTTGTCCCCAACCCGTTGACCTGAATTGACAGGTCTTTATATTTGTGATTTATGCACACAAAAAAAAAAAAAAAAAAAAAAAAAAAAAAAAAGTCGTCATGTGGTTATTGGTCTTTAAATTCATCTTAGTTTGTACTCTCCATCATCATATTATATATTAACCTCAATCATAACCCTAGAGATCAGAGTAACTCAACTGGTTAGAACTTACCTCCTAGTTTTAGGAGATTATAGAATCGGCTCTCAGAGTAACTCAACTGGTTAGAACTTACCTCCTAGTTTTAGGAGATTATAGAATCGGCTCTCATCACCCGCTCTTGTAGCTTTCTAAACACCAAAAAAAAAATTATAAAAAAAAAAATCAATCATAACCATATATTGTTTTAAATGCATAGGTATGATGACGAAGAAGTACTAGGAAGCAGATACTACAGGCTTCTACATGAAGCGGAATACATGTTCACGGCATTCTTCTACAGTGATTATTTCTATCTCGGTGGTTGTATTGATAAGATCACAGGAAAACACTCTAAGCTTGAGAAGACATTTAAGGAGTTAGACGCAATTTATGAAAAAATCATTGACGACCACCTTCACACACTAAAGACTGAATCTGAGCGACAAGATATTGTTGATGTTTTGCTTCGTCTCATGGAAGATACTTCCTTTCCGTTTAAGCTCACAATGAACCACATCAAAGCAATTTTACTGGTACGAGTATTTTTTTTTTTTTTTGGAACGCAAATACATATCAAGACGATTCAATTCTAACGAAATCTTACTCTCATGTAGAGCTGTCAATTCGAGTAAACGGGTCGGGTTTGAGTCGGGTTAGTGTGAGTCGGGTCATCTCGGGTCGGGTCAATACGGGTTAATGTCATAACATATGCGGGTCGGGTTCAGGTTGGGTCATGCTTGAGTCGGGTCACGTCGGGTCATACATCTTATCGGGTTTAGGTCGGATTAGTAAAAGGTCGGGTTATATTTCGGTCGGGTGAAAAATAGGTCGGGTTAAATTCGGGTCTTTACGGGTTTAAACGAGTTAGGGTCGTTCTCGGGTTTGAGTCGGGTTCGGTTCAAATCAATAATTTACGGGTTATAATCAGGTCGGGTCATTCTCGGGTTCAAGTCGGGTTCGGTTCAAGTCAATAATTTGCGGGTTATAATCAAATTGGGTTATTTCCAAGTCGGGTCATTCACGGATTCGAATCGGGTTCGGTTCAAGTCAATAATTTGCGGAAAACATGTTTCATCCTTGAAATTCGTCCCTAAAAACATGTTGTGAAACTAACCTCTTAAAATTCAAAGTGAAATATTGAAGAAAAATAGTTATGATTCAATTTTCGTTCCAATACCAACATGAGATAACGACCTATACATATTGATTCAATGACAAGTCGGGTTGAATTTGGGCCGAGTCAATAACAAGTCGAGTTGATTCGGGTCGGGTTTGTAACAGGTTGGGTTGAAATTTGAGTCGGGTTTGTAGCAGGTCGGTTTAAATTCGGGTCGAGTTAGGAACAGGTCAGGTTGAATTCGGGTCGGGTTAGGAATAGGTCGGGTTGAATTCGGGTTTTGACGGGTTAAAACAGGTTTGGGTCAATTTCGGTTCAGGTCGGGTTCGGTTCAGGTTAATAATTTACGGGTTACATTCGGGTCGGGTCGGGTCAGGTCTCAAATACTTGGGTCTAGGGTTGGTTTCAGGTCGGGTTAGGTCGGGTTCGGGTCACCATTTTTTTCGGGTTCAGACGGGTCGGTAAATAGGTCGATCGGGTTAGGGTCGGTATTTTGGGTTGCGTCAGCTTTTGACAGCTCTACTCTCATGTCCCTATGTTTTATCATTAAAGAGTTTGTAAATATATCAAAAGTTAAAATGTGCTAACAAAGGATAAAATATAATACCTCTGTTTCTTTTTAGTTGACACGTAATCTTTTTTAGGAAGTTTTTTTAGTTGACACGTTTCCTTTTGAGGTAACTTTTTTACTTTGCATTTACAAGCTACCCCACTGACTTTTTCATTCTCTCTCACTTTCTCTCCTCTCCTTAATATATGTGCCTAAATCAAACGCGTCAATAAATAGAAACGGAGGAAATATATATTCATGTATAAATTGCATACTACAAGTAAGTACATATAATAAAGCATATTTGTACAAACAAGGCACAAAACAGATATACTCCCTCCATTACTGAAAGTTTGACACACTTTGCATTTACACGTTCGCCAATGAAAATCTTTGATCACTAATAACTTTGACTACATATAAGTAAAATTTTTAAAAAAGCTGATACTTGAAAAATTTACAATAAGGATATCTAGTAAGAACAAACTTGTTAATTTATTTTGTTTGTATAAATCATAGAATGTGGTCAAAGTTATTTTTTTTTAATTTTTTTTTTTACCACCACATAAATATTAAATAGTCAGTAAGTCGAACTTTCAGGAACGGAAGTAGTATATATATTTTGTAATTAATTAATTTGACCAGTAATGACATGCATTAAGCCACCAACAAATTAAACCTAGACTCCTAAAAACCGCCTATTTGGTACTTTAATTTATTATTATTATATTACAACAATTGAAATTTTGCACTCCTTATTATCCAGAATCAGATTTCAACAAACACCGCCAACTAATTGATGCACTGTACGCAATGATACTTTTTTTGTAGATTCAATTCCTACAACCTTTTCTAATTAATTTAATTATTAATTGCTTTTTCATTTTTATTTGTAGAATCTTTTTTCTGGAGGAGCAAATACCACTACGGCTGGAATAATTTGGACACTTACCGAGTTAGTGAAAAACCCCGTTTCAATGAAAAGAGTACAAGAAGAGTTAAGGAATGCCGCATTGAATAAAGGATGTATAGCAAGAGTTGATCTCTCAAAACTCGAATATTTCAAAGCAGTGATTAAGGAAGCATTTAGGTTGCACCCACCAGCGCCATTATGAATACCTCGCGAAACAGTTAAAAAAAAGTAAATTAAAAGGATACGATATCTTACCCAAAAATCTTGTGATTAACGCATGGGCTATTGGACGAGATCCAAAATACTGGAAGGACCCAGAAAAATTTATGCCGGAGAGGTTTTATGGGAGTTGAGTGGATATGATAGGGAGTGAAATCATGGCAATGATTCCTTTTGGGGGTGGAAGGAGAATGTGCCCAGCCTTTGCTTTTGGTTTAGCCAACCTTGAACTTGCACTTGCCAATTTGTTATACTCTTTTGATTGCTGGTTTAAAGAAGGAAGATATTGATAGCAATGTGCTACCTGGTTTGGTGACACACAAGAAGAATCGACTTTGCCTAGTAGCAAGAAAATTCGATTCTAATTTGCATGAAGAAAATTAATTAAACTTTATTACAAACTACGTAGTATATATAAATCAGAGGCATGCACTTTCCTCTCCCTAAAATTCTACCCGATATTGTTGAATATTTAAAGGGGCTATAATTTCATACCTGTGTGATTTTTTATTTTTAATGTTTTATAACTCATCCTCTTCCAAGAAAAGTCAAAGCTTATGTTTAGGCTAAGCCAAACAATTGGGTTTCGAGTTCTCCACTTTACATACCCGTGCCAACGCTTTGGTCAACTATATCTCGCCATCAAGAGTCTATTTCTCATCCCCGGTAGAAAACAAGTTCACGAGTGGTTCAAGCTAGTTCTTCCGCAAATTGCCAAACAAATAAAAATTGGGGATGATGGTATGAATTTGATTCATTGAAGACAATTTCACCCGTATTGGCATCAACTTGATTCTTATTGTTGGAAATAAGAAAGCAAAAATAGTAGAAAACACATTGAATATGAAACTGATGCTTTTTGACTAAAATAAAGCAACTAACTAGGATATACTCCAACTACTTAGTTAACAAGTCCACTAACATCCACTAACAATAGGTAACACATGACTAACGTACTTAGTTTGACTAATTCTAATTAACAAATTTAAACTAAGATATTTATCCTAAAACTAAGGAAACTAATTAACCACAAACTTGAAGCATTGACTTCAACACTTATTATGAAAATGTTAGATTATATTTATCAAATATACTTCCTTCAGAAAAGTATTCTTGCGATTCAAAAGAAATAAAATAAATATTTAATTTTGTCCTTTTTGCACGTGAATGCATGCATGTCTCCAAAAAAAAAAGTGAACATATTATTTTAGCAAATAATATGTTCAGATACCTTTGCGACCGAATTTTAGTAGTGATTCACTCTTCCTATCTAGCTTTCAGCTCTCTTCCTTTCTTTCTCTTCTTTGTACCTTTCCCATTTTTTTTTTTTAATAATTGTGAGATATAAAACTAATGGCTCATCGCGGGCCGTTAGTACTTTCTCCACATTCAAATATAAATACATACAAGTATTTGTATTTTAAACATGCATGTCTTATTATAAAACGATATGTAGAAACAACATATTGATGATAAATTAAACAAGATCGATTTCACATAACTATAGCTATGATGTCGTTCAAACATTGTTTAATTTATTTGAAATAATATTACACTATATTTCATATGCATTGCATGAAATCATAGAGAAATTTAAATAAGACATACAATTTAAAAGAAACAAAGGGAGTAAATTAAAAATTCCGTATTATGCAAGGTAAACCTCAATAACAGACCTCGGTCCTAAAATTGATAAAATCTTATAGTCATTGAAGCCGGCATTGATGAAGAGATATTTCCATTGTTGTTCGGTTCTTTCTTTTCCTCCCAAAATGGACAACATATGCACATTTGCAAGAGCTTGGTTTAAATTGTCACTTGGAATCCCAACCACCATATCTATAATCAACAACTTACCTCCTTTGTCTCTGCTCTGAATTGCTTCTTTACATTGCTTAAGCACCTTTATGCAATTCTCATCATTCCAATTATGCAATATCCACTGATAAGTAGTAAAATTTAAGGGACTAGTTAATAAAGCACCCATAAAAATATACAATATTTACAAGTTGATAATATAATACGAAGTATAAAGATAGAATATTAATAGTCCTAAAAGTTGGTTCAAATATTATTTTTCTCCTAATTTTGATCGAGCCACAAGAGCATTACGTACAAATAAGTTTAGTTTATGAATATTAATAGTCCTTAAAATTTATGGAAACTTCATTTAATGAATCATTTTAATAGGGTTTGAAAAAAAAAATAGTACTTATAATATGTAAAAATTAAATGATGCCGAATTATTGGATCACTTTAAACAAATATTTGCAATAACACTCATAAACATACTACCTCCGTTACATATTATTTGCAACGATTTGACATAATATTAAGTAAAGATGAAAAATGTCTAACTGTTGCAAATAATATGTAACGGAGGTAGTATACAGATTGTAAATTACCTTGAGTAAGATGAGTTGAGCATGAGGAATAGCTTCAAACATGTCACCTGCAACATATGTCAAGTTCCCTACCTTCTCATTTCGTTGTATCCCTTCGACTACGTTTGGTAGATCGAACACGGTACATTTGACATCAGGATAGGCCAAGGCAATGGAACTAGCCATAGTACCATCACCTCCACCAACGTCAACCAACGACTCAACACCGTGCATTACACCCTTGAACTCATTACTAGTTAATAGTACACGGGCGATCAATTGAGAATCGCTTGTCATAGCTTGTTGAAATAACTCATTAAATTTGGTATCACTAGGCGCATCATATCACAATTATACATTTTCCAATCCTATACATCATATCCGATTACATTCGAATGTCATCGTAGCTAATAAGTAATTGGCATACTACGAAGAACGATAGTTTCAACAGTAATGCCAGGACCAAAGGCAACAAGCACACCCCATTCACACCCTTCTCCAGTAGTTGCTTTACCCTCTTTCAATGACCTCTTCCTCATCTCATCCATTACGAACATCACACTCGCACCCCACATATTCCCATACTCACTCAGTGTGTGCCTACTACTACTCAGTTTACTCGTCTCGAGCCCGAGTTTAGCTTCAACCTGGTTCAATATTGCTGGTCCTCCAGGGTGAGCGACCCAAAAAATAGAATTCCAATCACTAATCCCAATATCCTCAAACGATTCACTTAACGAAGTTTGGATGTTTTTAGCTATGATTTTGGGGACATCCGGACTTAAGTGAATGGTCATCCCAATCTCACTAAGGCGAGATTGTATAGCATGTTCTGAATCTGGAAATGTATTCTGCCCCGTCGAAACAAGCTGAAAGAGGGGTCGCTCACTAGGCTAATCAGGATCAGTACCCACGATCATTGCCCCGGCGCCATCTCCGAATATTGCAAGTGGCACTAGGTGTGTCTCGGTTGGGGCATGGAAACTAATGGCAGTACTCTCCGAACAAATAACCAATACACGAGCGCCACGGTTGTTCTCAGCAATGTCCTTGGCTATAAGAAGGGCTGTACCGCCTGCGTGACAAGCACCTAGAGGCAGGATAAATCGCTTTATTGTTGGCTCGAGGCCGAGAAGCTTGGCTAGCCGGAAGTCGGCCCCGGGTAAATCGAAGTCCGAGTTTGTGCCAAAGATAAGATGGGTGATCATGGACTTGGGTTTTCCCCACTCTTTGATGGCCTTCTCAGCTGTCTCTTTCCCAAGTTTGGGAATCTCATTAGCTAATAGAACTTGACGAGTTTTAACCGAAGAAGCATTATTATCACCTATATGTGGATTTTCTTTCAAAATCTCTTCAGTTAAGTAGAAGTAACGTTTCGTTATCATTGATTTTTCGCCTGCATATATGCAATTTGAGATTAGGACTGTGTAGTCGTTAAAAAGTTTACAAACTTTTAAATAAGGCGGTAGAAGTGTACAGGAAACAGGATATTACTGTATTAAATAGCAAACTGAACCGCATCAAACCGTTTTAATGCGGACTGGTACATCGTACATGCTACTCCCTTCGTTTTAAAATGATATTTTCACTTTGAATTTTTACATGTTTGCCATCGCATTACTTTGACCATAAATAAGTTTAATAGCATAGGTAAATTATATAACAATTAAATATTAATAAACTACTCATTGAGAGATATGAATCAAATAGAATCCAATTCTCTCATCTTATGAATAGTGTCAAGATTTGAGATGGTAAGATTATTTTGAAATAAAGAGAATATGTTTTATACTCCATATTGTAACTAAGTAATTCAAAAGATTCTTTAATCCTATAAATTGTGTCAAGATTCCACATAAATCTTTGAATGAAAGGATTATAATAAGTATATAATTAATTAATTACAAGATTTAAGTCATGATCAGTCAGTAAAAAATTGTTTGTTTTTGCTTTCTTTATGGTGTGTAGTATGTTTTTGCTCTTTGGTTCGTAAGGAGTCCCTTATCTGCGACAAGTCCGGTCAACTCAGGTTTATTTGTATTTTTAATGTCAAAAGTTGTTGTAAAGGCTTAAGTGTTAAAAGCCATGCTTTAGGTTTTAGTTCTTATTCTGTATTTTGTAAATTCTGATTTTATAAATATATTTGCTTTTGTCAAAAAAAAATATATATATAGAGAACAAAAGTAAAAAATAAATATAAATAATACTCCCTCGGTTTTTAAATACATGCTCAATTTCATCATGCGCGGAGTTTTAGTAGAAACTGGAGAAAATAAAAATATGGAGGTAATGGGGTTGGTGAAAGAATAAAAAATTGTAAAAAACCAAAATTAGTGGAGAGAATTAAAAGAGAGAGAATATGGAATTATATTGTTGGGTTCATTTGATGAGAGAAATTAATTAATTATTGTAAAAGGTTTTCAAATAAGGAAGTGGAGCAAGTATTTTAAAACAAAGGGAATACTATTTAAGTATTTAGCTATAAACACGGAAATTAAAGTTGCTTGATTGCCTACTCCTCTACCATACTACCGCCAAGCAGACTGGCAACCACCATCTAGATATTGTTGTCATCGGTTGGCCACCACCACAATAAAAAATAAAAAATAAAAAAAAGGTATTTTTTATCTGTTGTTTTTTTCTTAATTATATTTCTAGTTAAAATTGATCAACTTATTTTTCATGTTGTTAAAATTGATCAACTTAATTATATTCCAAGAAGGGACCAAGACGATAGGCGTACTCTAAGCTTTTACATCTACTAGTGGTTCCAACGGGCATGATGCACCTGATATGACTTTTGCAAATTCAAATAAGAACAAATATGTAAAAGAACATTTTCAGGTATATAACTGTTGTCCATGCACTATGCAAAAGAGTTTTGTAAAACATTTTAAGGTATATATGGAGGGAATTGAAGTGCCATATTTGTGATAGTTGAAAATTTCGTCATACAATGAGGTGCATCATTTTATACATACTAAGCTTCAAAATATCGCGTCGTACAAAACGTTGTATACTAAAATAAACTTACAAAGCACACAGAAAAAAAAAAAAATCCAATTTCTTCCTCGATTTATAAGGGAATGATTTGTTATTTATATTTCATTTTAGAATAATAAAATTATGCAGGATAGACTTCAATAACAGATCTCGGCCCTAAGATTGGTAAAATCCTATAGTCATCACTAAAGCCGGCATTGATGAAGAGATATTTCCATTGTTGTTCACTTCTTTCTTTACCTCCCAAAAGTGACATCATGTGCACATCTGCGAGAAGTTGGTTTAAATTGTCGCTTGGAATCCCAACCACCATATCTATGATCAACAACTTGCCTCCTTTGTCCCTTCTTGGAATTGCTTCTTTACATTGCTTAAGCACCTTTATGCAATTCTCGTCGCTCCAATTGTGCAATATCCACTACCATAATATAAAATTAAAAGGAGCTAATTAGTAAACTACTCCAATTATAAAATTATATATTAATACTTCATTTGTTTCGTATTAGGTGACACATTTTCTTTAACCACGCTTGTCCCTGCATACTTTTTTATCCAAATATTCTTGATTACATATAAGTAAAAATTTGATGTTTAAAAAATAGATGTTGAGTTGAATCTAACAAGATCACACATGACTATATTTTATCTCAAATTAAAATAATATCTCAAAACAAAGTATAATCAAGTTATGTGAATAGTGCACAAATTCCAATTATGTCATTTAATTTGAAACGGAGAAAGTATATACTAAACAATATCTCAATGTATATACTGCATAATTTATTAATTTAAATGCTTAATGTTTAATTTTGAAATTGAAAAATGAATTTAATAAAATATCATATGACTATTGTTTAATTTATATACGTAGTATAAGTTCTCATTTGCTTTATAATAATTACAATAATACAGCTAAAAGTATTAGCTAGCTAGGGTAATTAACTTACCTTGAGTAAGATGACTTGAGCGCGAGGAATAGCTTCAAACATGTCACCTGCAACATATGTCAAGTTTTCTACCTTCTCGTTTCGTTGTATCCCTTCGACGACGTTTGGTAGATCGAACACGGTACATTTGACCTCAGGATAGGCCACGGCAATGGAACTAGCCATAGTACCATCACCTCCACCAACGTCGACCAACGACTCAACACCGTGCATTACACCCTTGAACTCATTACTAGTTAATAGTACACGGGCGATCAATTGAGAATCACTTGTCATAGCTTGTTGAAATAAATCATCGAATTTTGTATCATCACTAGGCACGCCTTCGTATAGATGTCTTCCGTAAGTAAAATAAAAAGGGGATTCAGATGTTTTAACATCATGGTTTTGAAACCACGTGGCAAAATTATGCGACGGCTTAGTTACTAGTGGATCGGCTCCCATAAGAGTCAAGGGTGCTTGAGTTAAAGGGTGATCTTTTAAAAGAAGTTGCGAGTTTAGGGTAAGATCAAATAATAATGTTTCGTCTCCATTAATATTATTATTGGTTAAAGTTTTGGTAGCGAAGAATTTGGAGTGAACAAGAAGACGCATTAACTGATGCAAGGATGGAGCCTTGTTAGGATGGATTGAAAGAGCTTTGGCGAGCTCATCGATAGTCACGGGTTTGCCGTGTTTGTGAATGGCTTCGGGGATGCCTAGTTGAATGGCACATTTTAAGGCCATGGAATTTAGGTAAGCTATATTATGGTTGGATATGTGTGTTACTGCCTCTAATAGCTCTTTGGCCTCTTCGTTTGAAGATTTATTATTTGGTTCCATTTTTGTGTTACTGCTTCTAATAGCTCTTTGGCCTCCTATATATATAGTTGAATTAGGTTTTTTTTGACAATGAGAGTTGAATTAGTTGGTGATGTACTTTTTGACGTGTTGGTGTTTCATTTGAAGAGATTATTGAAACTCGAGTGGTATCACGTCTTAGAGAATATATATATATATATATATATATGAAATCTTAAACTTATTTTAAATTTATAAACTATGAAATAGTCCGTATGTTATTTTAGGGGATGGGTTAACCGACAGTCGGCTGGGCTGGTTTTGTCGTCCAGGGTGGTTGCCTGGGTTTGCGTGACGGTAGTGGGAGCTGGTGTCATTGTCGGGGTGGTGGCTGGTATAGTAATTTAGGGTCTTTCCTTTTTTAAATCCAATAAATAATTGATACGTGTAAAGTGTGAGTTCCACTAATTGATTCTAAAGTCACAAAATTTCCTCCAAAACCTCTAAAGAACATGTTTTTGGCACGAAAATCGAAGAATTTTAAAAAAATTCCGTCAGGTTTACCAGATTTTTTTTACTGTAGGTGGTAAAAAAATAATTTTAATTATTTTTTATGGTAAAATAAAAGTTTTAGAATTTTTGATGAAAAAAAAACAATTTTTTTTGGTGGTAACAGTAAAAAAAAACCTAATAAAAGTTTTAAAAAGTGATTAAATTTGTGTGATTTTCTAAAAAAAAAAAAAAGAAAAATGTTGCAATATTTATAAAATATTTTGAATTAATATTGTAATTGTATCCCGTCAAAAATATATATACTACTTCCGTTAATTATTATGTGCAACTTTAGGCTATTACGGAGTATTTGAAAGATATAAAAAATTCCAAAGTTGTACATAATATTTAACATGAGTAATATATAACTATATATTACGTATATAGCAATTAGCAATATTAAGGGGAAGAATGCCGTCAAAAAAAAATATATTAAGGGAAAGAAGGAAGTGATCCGCGTATGTTTTGATCCCTGTTATTTTAATTTTGTAAATAAGGTCAATGGTTATGTTCTTTACACTACAACTCTCTATGTCATAGATGTGTGTTGTTTTGTGCATGAATATTAAATAATTCGTATATCATTTGGGTTCAAACTTCAAACTATATGTCCCTTTTTTTCCATTTTTTAAAAAGTTTATGCTCTTTGAGAGAATATGAGAATATTTGTCGTGCCTTTCTCATTGATCATGAAACAATATATAATACAAGCGTAAGCTAGGTTAGGGTTAAGGCTAAACTAGTAATTTACAAACTAATTACATACTAGATTATTTACATAATCTAACACTCCCCCGCAGTCAAAGCGGGAGGACCATGAACGCTTAGACTGTCCCGAAAATCATCAAATAAAACCTTAGGCAGACCTTTGGTGAAGATATCTGCAATCTGGTATCGGGAAGGCACATGTAGGACACGTACTTCGCCCCTTTGAACTTTCTCACGAACAAAGTGAATGTCCATCTCAATGTGTTTAGTGCGCTGATGCTGAACCGGATTACTAGAGAGATAAATCGCACTAACATTGTCACAATAAACCAATGTTGCTTTCGAAATAGGAAGAAATAGCTCGAGCAACAAATTGCGAATCCAGCAAGATTCTGAGACCACATTGGCAACCCCTCTGTACTCTGCTTCACAACTAGACTTAGACAAAGTGGGTTGGCATTTTGAAGACCAAGAAATCAGATTGTCACCAAGGTATACACAATACCCCGATGTGGAACGACGAGTATCCGGACACCCGCCCCAATCTGCATCCGTGTATGACACAAGGGTAGAAATAGGAGATTTATGCAGTTGTAAACCAAAATCTGTCGTACCCTTAATGTATTGTAGAATGCGTTTCAACGCATTCATGTGCTCAACACGGGGCGAGTGCATAAATAAGCAAACCTGTTGAACTGCATAAGAGATATCTGGTCGGGTGAATGTCAAGTACTGCAAAGCACCACAGAGGCGCCGATAAGAAGTAGGATCATCATACAAAGCACCCTCCTGAGTACTCAATTTGCCTTTGGTGTCAACAGGAGTAGTTGAAGGCTTGCAATTTGCCATTTCTGCTTTTTCTAAAATTTCCTGCGCATACTTCTTTTGAGATAAAAATAGACCACTTTTACCTCTAGTAACAGCAATACCCAAAAAATAACTCAGAGGACCCAAATCCTTCATTGCAAATTCAGAGCTGAGCCGAGAAATAATATGTCGGCGGAGAGATTCCGATGAAGCAGTAAGCACAATATCATCAACATATAGAAGTAGATAAGCAGTATCATTACCATGGCGATAGATGAACAAAGAGGTATCAGATTTGCTATTAGCAAAGCCAATAGTAGCCACAAAATCTGCAAACCGTTTGTACCACGCACGGGGTGCCTGTTTGAGACCATAAAGTGACTTGTCTAATAAGCAGACATGATCAGGTTTATTAGGATCTCTGAATCCCATAGGTTGATACATGTAAACCATTTCATTCAAATTACCATGTAAGAAAGCATTTTTGACGTCCAATTGATGAATTTGCCAACACTTAGCCAAAGCAATGCTAAGAACCACCCGAATAGTAGCCGGTTTAACAACCGGACTAAAAGTCTCATCACAATCAATGCCTTCCCTTTGAGTTTTACCATCACCAACAAGGCGAGCCTTATGCCTCTCAAAAGACCCATCAGACTTAGTCTTATGCCGAAAAATCCACAATGACCGAATTATGTTCACATTCGGTGGTCGCGGAACCAATTTCCAAGTACCATTTTCAATAAGAGCATCATATTCTTCCTGCATAGCAATTTTCCAATTATGGTCACGAAGAGCGATAACCGGGTTCTTTGGAATGGGTGATATGGAGGTGGTAGTATGATGTGTTTGGTCTTGGTATTTGGGATTTGGTTTCACAATTCTATGCTTGCTACGAGTAGCCATGGAGTGTGTGGGCATTGGGGATGGTGCGGGAACATGAGTAGGAGGGGAAAGATGCGGCTGTGATGATGGGGAAGAAGTGGCAGCAAGCTGCCGTGGTGACACAGGGGTGGCAGCAAGAGGAGAAGGGGGTGATAAGGGTGAGGCAGCAGTGGGAGAACGTGGTGAGGAGGGTTCGTGTTGCTGCTGCACTACCTCGCTCACCGCGCTGTGTGGGGCAGGGGGTTGTGCGGGCTGAGCAGACGCAGCAGCTTATTGTACCCTCCCCACTCCAGCGCCTGCTGGATCCCGTGTGGGTGAGGTAGCAGTAGGCTGCTCCTGATGCTGCCGCAAGATAGGTAGAGGAAGGGGACCTAAGGCATCACCCAAAAAATCATAAGTGTGTTCATTTGGGGTATGAATTCTAGAAAATGGGAAAACCGACTCATCAAACCAAACATGCCTAGCTATTATAATTTTACGACTCGAGATATCAAAACACTTGTAGCCCCTATGATTAGACGGATAACCAATAAAAACACAAGGAGTAGAACGAGATTGAAGCTTGTGAATTTTAGTGGAAGGAAATAGAGGGTAACAAAGACAACCAAACACCCTAAGATGAGAATAAGCGGGATGTTTTTGATATAGAATTTGAGTCGGAGATTTATAGCCTAGGAGTTTGGTAGGAATGATGTTATGAAGGTATGTGGCCATTTCTAAAGCATGATGCCAAAAGGTAGGAGGCATGACTAAGAAGAGTACGAACAACATTGTTGATCGTTTTGATTTTTCTTTCGGCTTTGCCATTTTGAGGAGAAGAATATGGACAAGAGAAGCGAAAGGTCATGCCATGTTGTTCACAAAATTTTTGAAATGGAGTGTTGGTAAATTCCGTGCCATTGTCACATTGAAAAGCTTTTATTTCTTTTTCAAATTGAGTCTTAATATATGTTCGTATACGAAGAAACAAGTTGTGAACTTGGGATTTGGATGAGATAGGAAAAGTCCAAAGAAAATTCGTGTAATTGTCAAGGAATAGAACATAAAATTTGTGACCAAGAGAGCTAACAATGGGAGAAGTCCATAAATCACTGTGAACAATATCAAAGGGCATAGTAGTAAAAGACATAGAATCATAAAATGGCAATTTCATTAATTTTCCCAAAGGACAAGAATGACAAACGTGATTTGTAGCCTTATTACAATTTATGAGTTTACTACTACGTAAAGAGCTAAGAATTGCATTTCCCGGATGACCTAAACGGGAATGCCACACACTAGGAGAAACAACTGCAAAAGCTGACGGAATAGAATTGGAAATGACTTGACGATCATTGAAGAAGGGATAAAGATCGCCATGGCTATTACATCTACATATTTTGCTCCCCGTCTGCAAATCCTTCACAGAAAACCCAAACGGATCAAATTCAATTGACACATGATTATCAATAGTGAATTTTCTAACAGAAATTAGATTTTTGACAAGTTTAGGCACGTGTAGGACATTTTTGAGTTGAAGTGTGTTTCGGTTTAAGGATTTGTGACCATAACCATGAATTGGAACTTTGCTACCATCACCAACAATAATATTATTATTATTATTTTTGCTCAAATGAAAATATGACGACAAGTTACCTTGAGAGTTTGTCATATGTGAAGTAGCACCGGTATCCATGTAGTAATTCAGGTCGGCAAGAGACATTGTATGCATAGCTTGCTCGATGTTAGTTAGCACATATCCCGAGGAAGAAGGAGGAGGAGAAGACATGAAATATGCTTGCTATGGACGAGCACCGAGAAGATCGGGCTGCTGTGATTGAGGCCTCCCACCCCACTGCATTGGGCCTTGACCCTGTGAAGGGTACGGACATGGGGGAGTGGCCCATGGTGGCTGAGACCAATAAGCCCAAGGGGGGGGATACATCCACCCCTGCTGCCCCGAGTGAGAATGCTGCGCTGAGGGCTGAGCTTGCGGTGCTGACTGTTGGGACTGGTTGTGCCGGCCACCGGAGCCAGTGCTGCTCTTCTTACCACCCTTCCCTTTAATTTTTTGACCACCGCGAGCAGGTGGCGCACCTCCACGAGCAGAGTCAGTCGCGGAAATACCCCTCCCCTGTTGCGGAAACGACGCTGGTTGCGAGGTTTGAGAGAGGAGAGCTTCCTCACCGGAATCTGGAATATCAGATGCATTGCTCTGCTCTTCCAATTCAAGCATGGAGCACAATGCCTCAAAGAAAGGCAACGGATCAAGGTGTCGAACAGAGGATCGAAAGGATTTGTAGTCATCGGTGAGACCCTTCAATAATTGCAGAGCCATTTCATGACCAGAGACCGTATCTCCAACGTTCCTCAGATTATCCGCAAGGGTTTTCAGATGTGAGCAGTACGGTTTAACACCATCAAACTGTTCAAGCTTGGTGTTTGTGAATTGTGCATCAAGGGTCATAGCACGAGCAGCCTTGTTATTTAGAAAGAAATTCTCCAAACGTTTCCAAGCGTCGACCGCTTTGTCATCGGGGTCGGCAATGGTGTTAAGCAAATCAATGGATATTGTCCCATATATCCATTGACGGACAAGGTCATCAAGACGTTGCGAGAAAGCCAATTCAGCAGCAGAAGGTTCGGGTTTCTTAGTAGAGGGATCAACCAGTGGAGGAATGATAATATCAATTACCATATTTGCGCGACAGTGAAGTTGAAAGAGAGTTCTCCAAAGGTTGTATTGAGTGCCCTTGTAATCCAAAGTAACCGGAATACATGTCTTGATGTTGCTAACAAGTGTGGCCGGATGTAGCTTGCTAGAATCAGCCATTAGAGAAGAAAAGAAGAAGAAGATTAGATGAGCGGAAGAGAGTTAGGGTTTCGGATTGAAAAACCTAGACTCGTGATACCATGAGAGAATATGAGAATATTTGCCGTGTCTTTCTCATTGATCATGAAACAATATATAATACAAGCGTAAGCTAGGTTAGGGTTAAGGCTAAACTAGTAATTTACAAACTAATTACATACTAGATTATTTACATAATCTAACACTCTTTTGGTTTATCTTTTATGCATGCTTGTTGATTTTTCTTCACGGTTTTAAAATTTTAGCTTTTATGTTTTTCTATGGCGTAAAACCATAATTAAACACAAAGCAATAACATACAAACTTAGTTATTTCAAAGTCTTTATATTGATGGCTTGAGAATGAACCTCAATTATTGCTTCAACTGTAATAATAATTATAATTTGATTACTGACATGGCCACATTACCTACTCCATCTAGAGTCCAAACTTCTAGAGGGTCCATATCAGAGGTGGGGATACAAATGCTAACGCTGAAAGTGACCCGGTTTAATTTTGTTAATTAGAACCTAAAATCAATTTTTTGAGGAAAAGTATGTTACTAATTTAAAAAACCGGGGCCCTTTTATAATAGTTTCACTTAGGGGCCCTATGCAGTTGATCACCTTGTACATGCTCAGAACCACCCCTGGTCCAGATATTAGTATTAATGGGTGTAACCGTGTAAGCAGAGGTGTCAATTCAATGTTTGGATCGGGTTCGGCAACGTCAGGTGAATTTTAATTTTAAAGTTGAATCCTACTAAATTATTGCGTCCACGTGAGTCAAAATCTGAATTAGATAAGAATGGTTTAAAATTTGCAAATCATCCAAATCAATTCAAATCACCTTGTCGATTTAAATCGATTAGATCGATTATTCACAAACAAATATTTACAAGAATATAATACATTATCACTTGTTCTTTACTCACCAGTCACCACCCATTACACGATGTTTTGACATTAATTGACCCTTTAATGCAAGTATGCTACTTCCTTGAAAACCAAGTGTCTTTTGTATCTATTCTTTACATGCGAATTGATCACACCATGAACTAATAATATGACCAGCTATATATAAGAAGAATTAAGAATTTGTGTTATTATTATTATTATTATTATTATTATTATTATTATATTTCAAAAACAAATATTAAAAACAAAATTCATACAACCTACAGTAAATTAATGGGAAGCCAAGATATAATCTAAGCCTCCACTCCTCTAGCTATAAAAAAGCCTACTATAGTGAAGATATGAGTTGCAGCATGAGCTCCAATGTCTTGCGTCGTCGAGAACCTCTGAATCCGTTTCAGCAACGAAACAGCCTCCTTTCCTAATTCCCCAAGCGAAAAAAAGGAGAAGGGAATGAAACCATATTACTATACTTTTAAAGCAAGTACTATGAATACAAATACTCTTAGGGGTCGTTTGGTTCGCACGAGGGAATCGGAATGGAATGAACAGAGGGAAAGAAGAAGAATGGAATGAAAATACCCTTTTTTTGCTTTGTTGTTTGTTTTTAAAACAAGGGAATCAATCCCACCACCACACCACCACAGCCACCACCACCACAGCCACCACACCACCACACAATTCATATGGTTTTCATCATTCCCAGCCACGAAACCCCTCGCCGGCCCTCCCTCTCCCCTCGCCGGCTCTCCCCCTCCCCTCGCCACCCTTCGCAAACTCTCCCCCACCACTCGCTGGGCCCAAATCGATGAATCTCACCCTCGAAAAACCTCCCTTAGGGTTTTCGGAGGTTTTTCGAGGTAGGGGAGGGGTTTTTGGGCGGCGAGGGGAGGGGGTTTTGAGCGGCGCGCGTTTATCGGTGGGCGGCGAGGGGAGGGGAAGGGGTGGCTAGGGTTTTGCGGGTGGTGGGAGAGAGATCGGGGCTATGGGTTTTGCGGGGCTAGGGGTGGTTTTTGCGTGGGAGGGGAGGGCGGCGAGGCTTGGGGGAGGGGTGGCGGTGGTCGGGGTAGTGGCGGCGGTGGTCGGGGTAGGGGCGGCGGTGGTCGGGCTGGTTTTCCGATGGTATTGGTAGGTGTGAAGGTGGTGATGGGGTGGTGTGAAGGTGGGTAGGGAAAGGGAATGGGAAAGTCTAGGGGGGGTGGGGAATGGAGTTGGAAGGAATTGGGGTAATGGGGAGGGTAATGGGAATGATTAAAAGTGCTAAACAAACATCAACAAAGGGAATGGGGTCAGTTGATTCCCATTCCCTTTTCTGATTACCCCCAACCAAACGGCCCCTTAGCTTTTACATTTACTAGAGATTCCAACGGGCACGACGCACACGATATGACTTTTGAAATCAAATGAGGGCAAATGCGTAAAAAAATATTTTCATGCATATAACTATCCAAGCACTAAGAATAAGGGTTTTGATAAACTTTTTAAGGTAGAGAAGGAAGTGACATATTTGATACTTGAAAATTTCATCATCATACACCGCTGCGGTGTACGCAGTATTGTATAATATAAGCTTTTAATTTAATTAAAAACACGCGTAAATTAGGACAACCCTTGGCGCATAGCACCTATGCAAACATTGCATATAGGATGACAATGTAGTAATAAAGTTGAAGTTGTAGTGGGGATAGAGTGCAACTAGGCGCATAACTCCTATATGTTTACAAAACATATAGGAGGGGAAAATTGTAAATTTGACAAGCTTTTGGAAAAATTCCACTCTACAACGGTACATTATAATGTACCATTATATATGCATGTATAATATACTATTAAAATATAAATTGTCTGAAAATTATTTTTTATACTATTATGCATGTAGTGGTACTTTTACCATCATATACGTTGAATATTTTCCCCCAAAATATTTACAATTAAATAAAGTTGTTGGTTTATTTACGAAAATGTCATGTGAGAAAAAAAATTTATTTCTCACCATGAGAAATTGGGGCATCCTCGTTTGATATTATCTAACACTATCTATAAGTAATTGGCATATTATGAACAATATTTTCAACAGTGATGCCAGGAGCAAAGGCAACTAGCACACCCCATTATTTAGAACCTCAATTCCCCAATATATATCACAACTTGATTTTGCCAAATGGATATAATCTATATACTACGTAATATATCTTTTGAAATCCTATTTGTTCCAATTAAGACGTTTAATAACTCTTTTTTTCATAACCATATCTGTTATTTTCATTTTAATTTTTATACATAGTACTTCACTTTTTTTTCTACAAGTAAAAAGCTTCAAGGGAAGTAATTGTTTAAATTACCGCACATACTAGTACGAGTTCAATTGCAAACGAGCATGTTAAATCTTAGGACCATTTTATAAAATTAGTCTTCGTTGAGTGCACTAGAAAATTAAATCCACCTGCAGGATTCGTACAAATTTTCTCAAAAATTCAAAAATTTTAGTTTTTTCTTTCAATTCTATTTTGACTACACCTATCTTTTATTTTTTGCTATGATTCTTTCAGTTAATTTGTACTTTGTGAATTGGTGTTGGCCAAATAGAGTTGATGGACTCGAGGCATTGCTTTACTTATTGCTACAAGTAGGATTTGAGGAAGACCTCTTGGAGCAATGGTCTGAAGGTCACCTTGCATCTATGAGGTGCCAGGTTCGATTCTCATCAGGCACAAATCAAATTCCCCTAACCCCATTTGGGCATTATTGCCAGGAGGAAAACCAGGTTAACATTGTTGGGATATGATTTGATGTACTTCTCTATCTCCCAAATAAACCTTTAGATATTATTCAGTGGCATTATATTCCTACTTCTAACATATATTCCTCACATAATACAGAGAAGTAGGAATGTAATTTAGGGACGGAGGGATGAACTTGTATTTTTTTCCTTCTTTCACAACTCAAAGATAGGCATCACACTACTTCAGGTAATAATTTGATTACCCACACACCTACTTCAGCCCTCATAGGCCGGTCCAAATATTGCTATTGATGGGTAGATGGAATTAGGGGCCGTTTGGTTTACACGGGGTAAACGGAATAGAATGAACAAAGGGAAAGAAAGAGAATGGAATGAAATTACCCAAATTTTTCTATGTTGTTTGTTTTAAAAACGAAGGAAAACACTATCACCAATCCCACCACCACACAACCACCACACCACCATCTAAGTTCTTTACTTCCCATCTTTTCCAGCCACCACCCTACCCGCACCACCACTCGCCGCACATCCCCAACCACTCATCGCCCTTCGCCGCCGCTCCCCTACTCATCGCCGCTGCCCTCCGCCCCCATAAAACCTTCCCCAACCCCTCAAAAAAACCCTAGAATCAACTCCCTTTCTCCCCGTATAACCGTGCACCAGCTCTACCCCCATCCTCGAGGGTGGCCGGCGGTTTTTACATGGAGGAGGAGATCGAGATTCTAGGGTTTTTGAGGTAAAGGAGAGATTTCTGGGCAGCGAAGAAGGACTACGAGAGGTAGGTTTTTGGACGGCAAAGAAGGGCGGCGACTCGGCGAGGGTAACTGGGTGGTGGCTGGGCGGTGGGATGGTCGAGTGGTGGCCGGAAAGTTTAAGAAATTAGCTATTTATGTGGTGGGGGAAGGGGCGGCGGTGGTCGGGGAAGGGGCGGCGGTAGCCGAGGAAGGGGCGGTGGTGGTCGGGGAAGGGGCAGCGGTGGCGGTGGAGGTGTGACTGGTGGCAGTTGGGTGGTGGATAGTGTGGGTGTGGTGGTAGAGGAGTGGCTAAGGAAAGGGAATGGAAAAGTCTAGGGGGAGGTGGGGAATGAAGTTGGAAGGATTTGGGGTAATGGAGGGGGTAAAGGGAATGAAAAAAAATGTCTAACAAACAACAACAAAGGGAATCGGGTCCTTTGATTCCCATTCCCTTTGATGAATACCCCCAACCAAACGACCCCTTAGTGTATGCCAATTATGACATGACAGTACGAAAGATCAATAATACTCGTACTACTTTAGAGGTAACGACTTCCGCCTCTTCGTTTATTGAAGAATTATTATTTGGTTCCATTTTTAACAATCTACTCAGTCCTACTTTAGGTAATGATACTTATACAAGGTCTTATATCCTTTTACCATTTGACTGTGGAGAGTCGGATCAGTTGATGATTGTTATTTAGATGATATACTAAAAGAGGGGGGATGAATTGTAGTAAGTTTATATTACCTAATTTTCGCGGAATATAAAACAGTTATAGTTAGGAACTTAAAGATTGCAAAGCGGATTTTACGAGGAAACCTTCCAGGGCCCAATTGGAAGTAAAACCTCGACCCATCAAGGGATTTTCAACACAAACATTTCACTATAATAGGGCAACTCCTAGTTACCACCTATTACACACTGACGTTTCTCACAAGTTCCCCCGCGGACACTTGCTATATGATAGGACCCTATCCTACCCAACTTAAGTCTCACTTAGGTTCACTCAGTACTCTCGGAGTGCCTACACTCGACTTCTCAGCAGAAGCTCACTCACTGTGCTCTCACAGCTACAACTCGAATTTTTCCGATAGAATTTTTCCGTCAGAAATGAGTTGTTTTTTAGTAGTGATCATCCAAACAAGGAAATTTAATAAGGATAGAAATAAGGCCTAATCATACATGAAAAGGCTCACAACCAAACTTCATCTTTCAATGCAAAGCATATAATTGAATACACGAGCAATAAGTGGTCATCCAATTACAGTACACATGAAAACAACCAGTTTTATAACAATCAATCATCAACCCAAAATGAACATGCAAGCACAAATATTAATCAATACACGGCTTGGTCGAGTCTTTACCCAACCCCTGGCTAACTAATAAACTACTCACTAATCATGGTGTTTAACGTCCTAATAACAACAATATCTGAATTCAACATTAATCTAACAATTTGAGAGAAGTAGTAAGAGCAAAATAGCTAGATTGAACATGCAACAATAAATAATCAAGATTTAGAGAGAAATTAACAACTCACATGCAATTAAAAATAGAAAATAAAGAGTAAGAGATACAGGAAAGAGATTACTAATGAAACTTTAAAGTTGAGAAATACTTGAAATCAATAACAAAATAATCTTCAATTAAAGTAATATAAATGATTAAGTTTGAGAGTAACTAAGCTAATTAATAAGGATTTTAAGCACCAGGGGCGAAGCCAGGATTTGAAATCTAACGGGGCCGAAACTTATATTAAGTAAAATAATATTGTATTTTATACACGTAGTATATGTTTTTCATCGCAAAATTTTTTCTTTTGCACAAATTATAATTATCTTTGTCCACAATTTTAACTAATACGAATTTTTTTGTAAAAAAATATACTAATATATAACAAAATAAATGTTATTAGTTGTACTATGATTAAACTCAATGTATATTTTTAAATAACCCATTTTTATAACTAATACGAATTATTATCAAAGATATGAATGGTAAAATCAGTACAATATGTTAATATATACTTTAGATCGAATGGGTGATTACTCGATTATAATTAAAGAAAGAAAGGAGAAAATATTAGTTTATTTCAACAAAATATCTTTAACCCATAGTTTTGTTATTCATCAAAATAATCACACATTACATAGAAAACCAACAAAAAAAAATGTTGAAGGAGATAATAGCAAACAACATAAATCGAACCCAAACTTATTTGTAAGTATGCAAGTTTCAAATTCTTGTTCAGCAACTGGGCTAACATTTACCTTGTTCAGCCACTCGGATAACATTTACGATGTTGTATTACCACACAAATTTATTTTATGTTTCAATATTTTAAGGGGGCCAGTGTTAACAATTAAAAGATTTTCAGTTGGGCCAGGGGGGCCGGGCCTCCACCAGCCCCCCTTGGCTTCGCCCTTGCTTAGCACTAAGTAGGAGAGAAGAGCCGGAAAGAAGATATGTAAAATGAAGCCCAGGGTTGTATATATACTTCCCAAAATTACATAGTAAAATCTGTCAAGAAACCGGATTTATAGTGAGGAGTGTCCGCTCCTTATGATAGGAGCGGCCGCTCCACTGGTAGGAATGCCTGATCCTACTTCTATTGTGTGCCCACTTCTACTTCTACAACTAAGGCTGATTGTTGGAACCCGTTTAGGAGAACCAGCTCCTTGCAGGGTGCACACCCGCTCCACTAAGAACATGTTCAAGACAGTTCGTGGTGCTTGGATTAGAAGCGATCGTTCCATGATGTGCACACCTGCTTCTAAGCTTGTTGGGTTTCCTTGAATGTGCTTTTGAGCCTAAGCAAAATCTTCACCTTGTCTTTGTACCTATAGACACGAGCAAACACACAAGAGGGGCAGAAATACCAAAAGCTACAATTATACAAAAAAGAGTTAAAAAGGGATTAAAAAAAAAAGAAATGACTACAAAATCATGTTAAAAAGACCATGATAAGAACACGATTTTGTTCACTTAGCACAAAAGAAACCGATAGATTAGTTCGCTCAAAGAAATGCACATGTAAAGATAAAAGAATTCTTGTGTGTTTGGCGGGTCAGTGGGTGCGGGTAAAAAAGTTGGGGTGGCTTGGCTATGTGGGTGGGTGAATAGTGACGGAGTCAAGATCTTAACGTTGGTAGGTACCACCAACTAATACTAACCGACAATAATTTAATCTAATATAATCACATTAAAGAATTAAAAAAAAAATAGAATAGCCAATTAATATAGAGTACCATTACTAAAGAAATATGATTGATAACCAATTGAGTGTTGGTGTGGTGGTGATTGTGACATGTGTTTGATCCCCCGCAACAACAAGTGGGAGGGGACTGTAACCTAACCACCTAAAAATTCAGAACTAATCCCCAAATCCGGATTAGCCCAAGGGTGAACCATAAAAAAAAAAAATACTACATATATATAATTGGTAAAATAATTATCCGTTACTATTAAAAAGAACCAAAAGTGAGCACAAAATTGGAATAAGGACAATCAACATTTCAATACAAGGGGAAATCAATTCAAACCCATATTCATGTATTCTCTCTGCTAAAGGGCAAACTTCCACCAGCGACGATAGGATAGGAGTTTCCTCTGTTTAAGTTGTTAGTTTTCCGTGGTTTGGCAGTTGCTACTTCAGGTAACTGGATGTAAATATTCATGTATTCTTCTTCTTCTTCTTCTTCTTCTTCTTCTTCTTCTTCTTCTTCTTCTTATTGGAAGCATGGAACATGGAAATCACAAGGTCTATCTTCTATTTCCATTTTTGTATTTTTAATTTTCATTCTTTCAATCAATAATTTTATTTTTTATTTCTGTTAATTAGAATTGATAATTTGAGGAAAGAGAGTAAAGAATGAACAACACTTCAACAATGTTGCTAAGACGCAGCTTCTGTTGCGCAACCTTGAGCAATCCTCGTTGTTCATCATCCTTGAATAACAAAAAGAAGCCTCTTGTTTTCTTGGGTTCTCCTCAGGTTTCTGCCAAGGTTCTAGATGCTCTTTTTAATGCATCCCACTCTCAAGACTCTTCTTTTGAGGTTGCTTTTCCAATTTCATTTCTGGGCTTTTTTGTAAACATTTTTATTTACTATGTTATGGCTTGATTGGTTTATTTTGTGGGAAATTACTGATTTTGTATATTTCTGATTAAAATTGGAGTTGGGGTTATGATTGTTGTAGCAATTGAGCATTTGGTGGAAAACATGGAAATGTTTGCATTGAGATTTCTACATTAATTCATAAGCTGTTGTGTGATTATGTTCCCTAAATTTAACTTCCTAATTTGATTAGTTCATTATGTTTTTTGCAATCAGCATTATTAAAACATTCTTGAAAACTGAAACCCTTAATCAAAGACTCCAAGTTGGTGCTAATCACCTTCCTTAAATTAGTCACGTTTAGTATGAGAAGCATCCTCGTTAACATAGGACTAGTATAAGGGTATAGAAGAATGAAGTTCTAAGTGGTAATGATTTACATATGTTTTTTGATACGACGAATTCTCTTGCCAGAGCAGTGGCGTTTTCTGATTTTCTTGTGGTGATAGAAGAGTGGGGAATGCTGAACCTTCTATCACATGCTTGGTCCTAATCTCCTGTCTCTTATGTAATGAACTGACTTAAGGGAGGGCATTATGAGTAGTTTAGGTGTTAGTCGAAGTTGTAACCTTAGTATAAATAGAGTGAGGGTAGAAAGAAGAAGGTAGGCAAAAAATTGGATGAAACTTGTTGAGAGTTGACCTCAAGTCACTCCTTGGAGAGTTGTGAGCTCAACTCACTATTAAGAGTAATAGCCTTAAGCTATTAAACCTATCCTTTGTAATCTTTCACCATTATCAATCCTTAGTAAAGCTTCCATCTTTCTCATTTCTTCTTTATAAATCTATTTACCAAAAATCAGATTATTTAGCTAATTAAACAACCTATCTTTTTTCTATATTTTGCTGTTATTAGTATGAGTTATAACAGTCCATTACATCTTAGAATTAAGAAAAGGGAAGAGGGGGCTCTAAGGAAGACCCTAATCCTAATATTTGTATGAACCCGAGACTTGATACCCCCAATTAAAGCTGGTCATTGTTTCAAACATGGATTTTCACACACTGATTGCTTTGATGCATGAGTGGGGCAATAAGTCTTGACTGCACTATAAGCCTTGGTGTGTGAATTATATTTTATCTTATTATGATTGGGCTTGGTATATCTAGGAGAATCAATAAAGACTTGATTCTTTCCTCAGTATGTACACTTTCCAGTTTCCACATTCTCTCCCTGTGAAAAAGCTACTGACTTTTTATCTTTCTTCCCCATAATTAAGGACCCATAGTGTGGTATGTCGTCTTAGATACTCCCTCATGACAAATTGACAATCATTGGCTAGATAATTCATCCTTATACTACGTTGTTCCAAATACACGAGTCTTTTCAAAATTAGTATTGTTATTTCTATGGATTTTTAAATACATTATTGGGCTAGGATAGGACCTTGACATATTTCCCATGCTAGTTTTTCCATGCCAATTTTGTTTAGAGGAAGATGGATTTTTTTTTTTAAATTCCCCAATCTCCCCTTCCCTTTAAGGAGAAAAGTTATTTTTGTGTAATCAGTTGAAGACTTTGCCCCCTTTCTTTTACCCCAACTGGTCTTATTGATCTATAATTGAAATAGGTATGAAATTTTCTTAATTAAGGACTGGTTTTGAAGTGGGGTGATTGGGTGAAATAAGATATAACCTACTTGCCTTTGAATGGAATTAGGAAATCCATTGTGCAAATTTCTTCCTTACTTTCTTGACAACATTGTATATGTCCCTTCCTAAGCAGAAGTTGTGAACAATGTAAACATGTATTTTCTTAAAATTATTTGTTATTCCTCTATTTTTAATGACTAGAAGCTTCAAAAATGTCTTTGCTATAGCTGGCTAAGCCACTAAGGTCATAATTCTATGCAGCATGATCCCTTTGGGTGTACTTTAGCTGTGGTTTAAGCAATCTGTGCTGGAAGTTGATGTTGTCTTTCATTGTTTTATTATAACACATTTGCTTTTGAGAGCATGTACTGTATATTAGATTCATAAAACTTTAAGAAGAAAATTGCCTGGAAATGAGGCTAATGAATCATCCTTTATGTAATTATGTCCTTGAGAATGTGTTGCCATTACATTTCAATTCATTTATTGTCATGCTGGTTGGATCATTGATTCAAATTACTTGTGAATATTTCTGATTTAGGTTGCAGCTATTGTCACCCAACCTCCATCTCAGAGAAATAGAGGCAGAAAAGTCTTGCCTTCTGCTGTTGCACAACATGCCCTTGAAAGAGGTTTCTCTTCTGATCTCATTTTCACACCTGAGCGTGCAAATGAGGTGATTACTGTGGCTTGATCACTCCAAATTATGCTTTTATTGTAAAATATTATGTTGATATTATTGTGCTGTATATGATGACTTTGGAGTTACTAGGGAACTATAATTGTCCCCTAGATGAAGCTTGTGTAGGATTTTGCAATAGTTTGTTTCAAGATTTAAATTGTATGCCTTGGTTTCTAATAACGAATGAAATATGCAAGAAATATGCTGTAGCATGTGTTTATTCAACAGCTGTGAGCCTATCATATCTATGATAGACTGCACCATAAGGGAGATCATGTCCCATACTCCCATGTGCTACCTTGGAACATGATAAACAAATGTTGTGCTTTGATTGCCTTTGTTGGGGCATAAGTACTTATACATTGTGAAATTTGTTTTATACTGTTGAATTCGATCCATATCCATCATAGGTGGACTGCAAATTGGTATACGCTGAGATTCTAGAAGCTTCAATCTCAACAAGTATTCGGTACAAAATTCATAGTTCTGAAAAAGAAAAGGCTACAGGATTTTCAAGAGTAGCTTCTTTCGTATTATATTGGTTAGTGTCAAGGTGCTAGGATTTCTTGTAGACCTCCCCAGACCTTGCCTCAGGAACCATAACTGGTCCATTGTCAATGCTGTTGGATTCCAGAAAGGCTAGTTCTTGTAGATGCTTATTAAATTATCTTAAGCAGTGACGATTTCTGTAATATCCTCTTTTGTAGTTCTAATATTGAAAGCAATGATTGAGTTGATCATTTTATGTACTCATATTACCCAGGAATGGTTTTTGGCCAATCTTAAAGCCTTGGAACCTGAACTTTGTATTACAGCAGCGTATGGGAATATTCTATCCAACAAGTTCCTAAACATTCCAAAGCAAGGTTGGTATGTCAATCCCCTTACAGTCCCTCAAATATTTGTATCCCATTGATTCTGTGACCATAGCAATAGAGCACCTTACTCAAAGGATAGCATCAGTTTCCTAATTAATACGTAGTAGATTAGAATGGAATCTGTTTATCTTTTCTTTTCCTTTATTTATTTATTTATTTTTAATATCCACTCGTTTTCCCCTCTCCAGTTCTCAACCCAATGCTTTCTCTGTTGTTTCTGCACATTTATAGGCACGGTAAATATACACCCAAGTTTGCTGCCCCTTTATCGTGGTGCTGCTCCTGTTCAAAGAGCATTGCAGGTTAAAATGATTCATCAGATCTTTACTATTTACTTTCATGCACGCATATTTTAATATATATATGTTGGGGTGTTTCAATTTTATTTAGGATGGTGTTAGGGAAACTGGAGTTTCATTAGCCTTCACTGTTAAAGCACTGGATGCTGGACCTATCATTGCATCTCAAAAAGTTGGTGTGGATGACAATATTAAGGTACATATACTAATCATGAAACTCAATTATTAATTTGGTGTTGATTGTAGAACCTGAGTCTATATATAGATTATTAATTACTAAGAAGTGGATGTATCGCTCTGAAGTCTTGTTAGACAAAATGGTTTGTTGTAGATTCCACAATGTTTTTCTGTTTGCTCTAACTTCAGTAATTACCTGTATGATGGCTAGGTGTAGATACGTTCTATGGAGCATGGTGTATATAATTTTCAATTAAATGTAGGTCGCAGTGAAAAAAATAGTCTAACTAATATACTTTTCACCAATTTGCATGCAGGCACCAGAGATACTGGATTTTCTCTTTGATATTGGTGTGTCAGCTGTCAACTTCTTTTATGTATCAACTACTTGCTGCAAAATTTCTGTTTTCTTGCTTAGATAGCTGATATATGTTAAGTCTTGACTTGAGCTGTTATAGATCTCAGCTGCCTTTGATGCTACTTCTATATATTGTACATATATGCGTAATGTAAAGTTGTACTGTGAAATAGGTGCTTCATTTCTGCACAAGTAGCTTATATGGAAGTATGGAATTATAACTTGAATTTGAATGGATGTTGATTGGGATATTGTTGTTCCCAAATCCTACTTTTTTTCACATTTAACTTTTCAACATCTAGCAGACATATTATTACAATGCTAATCCAGGACTAACTTTAATGTTTTTGACAGAGTGGATGGTATCTTAAATTATTTTACTGTGTATATTATGCTTATGTTGCCTCTATCCTTTTAGTACAGAGTAAACTAATCTTCCTCAACCCAAAAGCAAGTCCATTTCTGATGATGTGGTATTATGCTTTACAGGCTCAAAACTTTTGTTGCATGAGCTTCCTTCAATAATTGACGGAACAGCAAGAACTAAAGCACAACCTCAAGATGATTCTAAAGCTACCTTAGCTCCAAAGGTATCTATTTGATTACTTTATGATATTCCATGCTGGGGATCTTTTCTCCATGGAATCTGAGTTAAGAGGTGATAACTTTGTGCAGATTACTCCCGAAGAATCATGGCTATCGTTTGATCAAGACGCTACTGTTCTGCATAATAAGGTAGTACTCTTTTCTACTCTTTATGTGATTTGAGTCAATCATGACGATATTTTTAGGTACGGGCATTTGCAGGTTGGCCTGGAACTCGAGCTAGAGTTCTAGTTGAGGATGCAGCACATGCTCAAGAGAACGTTTTAGAGTTAAAAATAATTTCAACAAAAGTTTCCAGCACTTTCAACGCTCAGAATGCTGAGGCAGATTGTGTCGCTTTCAGAAATGGTGCATTGGTCTTTACTTGTGATGGAGGCACAGCTTTGGAGGTCAGAATCCTTAATTCTGTTGTTTTTTAGAAATTGCTATGCTTTTTTCCTTTCCGTTGGTTGCAGTCTTGCAGGAGGTATCTATTGTGGGGTATGTCAAATTGCCAATTAAGAGTTATTGAATATTGGTCAAGATGAGATTCTCTGATGCTATAACTGTCAAATTATTTATGAAAGAATGGGTTGAATTGTATTGATGATCTTGGCTGATATTTATAGACTACACAATATAAAACTCTATCATATATACACGAATGTTACGATTGGAAATTCGCACTTTGTTGAAGTCGATCGAGTTGCACTACTCTGTTGATGTCGCCTTCAATTTTTTTTATTTTTAAAAAAACAAACTTTTGCAACCACGGCCCTTTGCTGGTGTCCGTGGTCTTCTGCCACGGCCCTTTGCTGGTGTCCGCGGTCTTCTGTCACGGCCCTTTGCTGGTGTCCATGGTCTTCTTTGTTGGTGTCCGTGATCTTCTCTGCCACGACCCTTTGCTGGTGTCCGTGATCTTCTCTGCCACGACCCTTTGCTGGTGTCAGTGATCTTCTCTGCCACGGCCCTTTGCTGGTGTCCGTAATCTTCTCCTGCCACGGCCCTTTGCTGGTGTGCGTGGTCTTCTGCAAAACTAATGGTTGAAGTGTGTATGCCCTGTAATCTTCTTTTGTACTCCCCTCGTATAAATATTTGTATAGTCATGTATATGAATTTGGGTCGACGGGAAATACTGTCAAATTTCCTAAAATATAGTATTGGATTTAATAAATTCTTTTTTAACATTTTCATTGATAATTTTTTAACATTTTCATTGATAATTTTTTAACATTTTCATTGATAATTAAAGCAGAGAACATTATGGTTATGCAGGTTCTAGAAGTTCAGCTCCCGGGCAAGAAAGTGGTGAATGCAGCTGCATTTTGGAATGGCTTGCGAGGTCAAAAGCTAAAAGTTTCTGCAAACAAGGGAGCTGCAATGTCACAAGCGTAAAAAGTACTCCGTAAGTGAGTAATTTCTTCGTTTTTTCATCAGAACTTCCTAGTGAGAAGAGGATAGGCTGCCGTAGCTAGCTTGCTTTAACTGAAGACTTGAAACTTGAGAGCAGCAGAGGCACTACATGAAGTGCCTTCCATAGCTATATCACCATGCCTGATTTTTGTTCAATACTGACTTCTCTTAGCAGCATTTTCTGCCCGTAATGACTTCCCTTGCCAGTAACGTATTCTTTCACTTATCTGTCATTTTACTATTCTCCAAACAAACATCATCATGTAGTAACATGATATTGTATATGAGACATCATACTTCTGCTGCCAAGTGCCAACAGATTTATTGTAACATGACTGGGGTTTAATTTTATTTCAAATCAAAATCAGTTTTGATCAGCAATGATAGGAATTAAGTTTGGTAGCTGCCTAGCTGGTTACAAGGAGTGATAATGAGAATGAATTGAAATGTACTCGTATTTGGCAAGCAAAGTTATATTCTAATCTCTTTGGTGATGCAAACTCATCCCCAGACCTGTGTTTTTCTTCATAAATGTTCATTATCACCCAATACCTCCCCCAAGTGGCCATGAAAATTGCTCGGGAATGAATATTGATTTTTCTTACAACATTTATATTTATATACATGTTAATTCTTATTACCATCGATCAAATAGGCTGTTACATAGTTTATAATTGATGATTAACCCAATGACCCTAACATGCTAATAAATGGCTACTAAGTACTAAGGGTTGCTTTCTTGAAAGTACTAAGGGTTGATATTATTTTTTCATTTAATTCTCATATACTTTTAGTGGTTTTTATGATACTCGTAGACATCCTAGTACTTTACTACTTTCGTCTTTCAAAAGCTAGACAATTTTTTCCCGCAAAATGTTTTAAAAGTAGGTAAAATTTTTGGTGGATTTTGAAAGCTAAATTAAAGACTTGCTCGAATGAGTTTGGGCGTTATGAGTGGTTCGTATCCTATCCTCAAACCTGGTAGTCAGAGGTTGATCAATTAATAGGAGGGGAGGCCAGCCATGATGCTACTCTAATGTACACTATGCGAGTATACAACAAACAACATTGCTTTAAACTTACAACCCTTCACTAGAAGCAACACACTGTTAAATGAATCTATACAATAAAACATAACGTTGTTGGTTTACATACATAAACAATTGTGCTAGATATACATAGCAATGGCAGTACAAATGAGTCTCAATCATTTCTGGTTGTTGATTTGCGGTATCAAAAGCAAGCAGAGAAAAGAGTCATCAACTATAGTGCCAAAGGAGGATCACTAATGAGTAAGCTTAAAATAAATAATGAAAATGATCGCAATGAGGAGAGCACCGATTACTCCACCAAAAATCCATTTGTTTTTGCTTATTCTTCGTGACATAGCAGTCAGGATCTTCTTACTTTTGTCAATGGCATTGTCTACCTCGTGAAGCTGCAAAAAAATAAGGTGGTGGTTTTCAAGACTGAGGTTTACTGAGTAGCTTAGCATTAAGAATATCAATCTTCTTATCACATGTTTGCATTCTAATGTAAGAGGGAATTCATGTTGTTGAATTTGAGCTCAAGCTCGTAGAATATTAAACCCACCGTTCAAAGTGACCACTAAGCTCTTTTCATTCCATATTTTTAGTTAACATAAACATGGACCATTATTTGTTTTGTTAAAAATGTACTATAACTTGTCATTTTTACATACCAATGTAGTTAACTTTTTTAACATTGGACATTTAAAAAAAAAAAACTCTTTTAACTGCTAAAAATCACTTCAAAAGTTAATAACATAGCCCTCGTTTGTCTTGTTTAGCTTCCATGCCCCTCCATCCAACATGATTTACATTTAAAAGAATGAAATGCGGTTAAGAAGGCATAAAAAAGATACCTTTGTGTGTGAATGTAGGAGGGTTTCACGCTGATTATTCAAATCTTGAAGAATTGAAACGCCCAACTCTTCGGTCTCCATTATGGTTCTCCTACTCTCCCTAATTCTGTCACTTGATTGATTTAATCTTTCGGTTGAAAATGCCAATCTTTCTCTCTGGTCTGAAGATGTCTGCACAACAGATGATCAATGTAGCTATTTTTTTTTTTTTTTTTTTTTTTTTTTTGAGGAAAGATCAATGTAGCTATTGCATGCTCCTCAATAGTATAAAGAGTAAAATGAAATTGCAGAAATAGGAGACAGAAGATCAACTCAGCAAGTCAAAGGCACGAAATATATAAGTAATGCTGCACGGCTTGACAGTTGTCTGGGTATGCAAGAGAAATAAATCTGTTAATGAAGACAACAATCTGGCAATCTCAATAATCGTAGCAATTTTAAGCTTCCATAGCCAGAAGTTGCACCTTTCCACGTCAGATACATGTAAAGTTACATTTGTTGGTAAATCATAAACGCTGAAGCTACAAGTACAAATGACTAAAACTTCAGTCAGCTATGTAAAAAACAAGCTCAAAGGACTCTTCAGAAAAGTTTATTATTGTATGCCAAGAAAACCCCTAATATATTTTGTTCAAATTGATAAATAATTACATACAAATGTTGAAAACAAAAGAATTCAGAACTAAAAGAGTACAAGTAATTGAGGTCGAACATAAATGAATCCTGATGCACAGTCATTTACCAGCATTGATGGGTATAATCATTGTTCTCCTTAACAGGGTATGATTACATTCAGAACTTTTGCAGAACCAACTGCTAGGGCATTTAGAACTTTTGCAGAGAGAGAAGACTTCTGGCCTGGGTAAGCTATATGAATAAGAATATATACTCCCTCCATCCCAAAAAACCTTGTTACTCTAGGGCACATGGGTTTAGAAGAATTGTTGCGGTGGGATTTTTTGAGAAAAGTATGAATAATAAAAACAAAGTAGGGAGTTGTCAAAACTTACTAATTTTTATCGAGAAAAGAGACAGGATATTCATTCAATATAATATGGTTTTAAGAGGTTACAGAACCAAAATTATATTAGGTGGACTCATACCGTAAGTAGGACAGACTAAAATAGAGAAATGGGTAAGGTTTGGAGAGAGAATTATGTAGAGAGTTATGCAAATGTACCTTGTATGCATCTGCCATTCCAGCTTCTAGTAACTCTTCACGGGCAGACTGATCATGATTGGGTGAACTGATTCTCTTTGCTTCTCTTTTCAAATTATTTAAGTCAGATTTATACTCCCTCAGCTTCGCAAGAAGCATGGCTTTCATGTTAGGTTGCAAGCTTCTCGCTTCAAGATCCATTTTCCGTATCTGAATAAATCCAGAGAATGGTTACAGCAAAAGATAATACCGACAAAAAACCCAAATCAATAAAATAGCAACTAGATAATTACCAATATATCAGCCTCATCCAGACCTGTCTTAATTTCAGTCAGCTTCTGCTGTTTCTGTTCTGTAATTTTTGCAATCAATATATGAAAAATCAGAGCTCCATGCATTACAGATTGAAGAATTCCATGTTAATATGAATGACAGATCCTTCAGAAATGGAAGGAGATTCACCAAGTTATACAGGATCAAGGCCAGCAAAGTAACAAGACTTGATACCAGAAAAATTAAGATTCTAACAGTGCTTAGAAACAAATACTACATGCTTACTTCCTAAGATAAAAAGGATATGGCCTTTTTACACTAAAATTTCCCTTGGCTACTAAGTGATGTTAATATGAAAAGGAAAAACTATGGACAAGATCTCTTTCTATCATTGCAGAAAGACTAACAGCATGTCTTACATTTCGACATATTGAAACATGTCAATCTGCAGAGAAAGTGTAGCAATTTTTAAGAACCTGCAGTATAAGTGAACTAAAATTCACACAAAAGCTCGAGACAATCTCCTCAAAACATTTTTTGGGCCTACCCACTGACATCAGGTTCTATAAGAGAGATTGAGTCACAAAAGATCCATCAACTATACCCCTTAAAGGCACTAAATTCCATAAACATCATAAAGGAAAAATCACATAAATATCTTGTTATCATAATACAACTTAACTATTCTTACAAAGGATAATCCTATGAGGACCAATAAATCTTTAGACAATTATAGTGATTTGTTCGTGATTACACTCACATAGGAGGTCACTACATCAGCATGATGATACCTAACAATTAATTGCAACACAATTTATGCATCGTTGCCCAATGAACTTTATACGAGTATTACCAAAGAGAAAAAATTGCCTCATAAATACCAAATTAACATAACGAAAATCTAAATAACTCTCTAGTCTCAATTAAGTCAGACCTCTCTAGGAAGTCAACACTAATTCATCACATAACCACAAATGAGTTCCAATATCATAACGTCGTTACAAAATTATGCAAAACCAATCACTTCCCTTAAGATACCACTTGCATCGTCTCACTGGAATTATGAAATCATCTGTATCTACTATTCTACTCACTCGAAAATGATATTCATCAAAGCCGACTAGATCACACATGTCATAATTCTGCTACAATAGTATATGATCCTTAACACCCCCACCCCGGCCCTCCTGAGTTCCTCCCACTAGCTAGAACACCAACAACAGAGTCTAGAATGGATCTTACCAAAGATCAGAGACTACGAAATTAAAGGAAACATTACTCATCACTAACTCAAATCCACAAATTTCAAAACACATGAAACTTTCCAAAAATTCAAACCCTCCACCAAAATCTCACAAATCCAGAGCCAACACAATAACAGGAAGCAATTCATCATCATCAATTACACTCTTCAAACCCTATTTTAGTTTTCAATTACACTCTTCAAACCCTAATCGTATAAACAATCCAATTCCCACAAATCAAAGCAACAGAAGAACAAATAAAAAAAAATACAATTGCACGCAATTCGATCGAATCCAAACATGACTGAATCAAAAATAAATCCTAGAAAAAAAAAATACCTTGATCTGAGAGAAGAGAAGCGGAGGAACATTTATTGGAGAGATTGGCAGAAAGCTCACAGTACTGACGCTCGTAGGCATCAAAGACCTCACTCATTTTAGAGGAGAGAGAAAGTGAGAAGCTTTCGTTAATGGCGAATCCAAGAAGAAGAGTTGGTCCGTTAGGTGAAGGAAGAATTCAGACAAAGGCCTATTTCTCCTGCTGCTTGCTTTGTGAATGACGGTTAAGTTTTGCATAACAAACATTGGAAATAAAGGATCAAGAAGGTTTTTTTTTATTTTTATTATTTTTTTTATAATTTTTTATTTTTTTGAGAAGGTAAGAAGAAATAAACATTAGGAAAGAGATCAAGGAGATTGATTGAGATAATTAAGATTTTTACGTGGAGATAAAAATTACACTCGTTCGCATAAATTATGGTTCGGGTAGTACAGCAATTTTTTTTTTTTTAATAAACAATTATTAGTTTAGGGTCTTCATATACGTAGTAGCCAGTAGGTAATAAGATATATTTTGAATTTTGATATTATTATACGGAGTATTAAATTAGAATTATATGGGAAAATTCAATAACTGAAAATAATGGTTAGCAATCAAGAATTTTATCAAGGGGTAGAGATACAAGATGACACTTAACAAGTTAACATTGAATGGACTAAAACTTTCAGGATGAATATCTATACATCAATTACACAAAAATATAATGCTCTAAGTCTAACTTGTAAGTTGTAACTATCTAAATCGAAGACCAGCAAATTTCCTCTTTTACTGACTTAATCAACATATTCCAGGTACATTCATTTTGTTCTATACCTAGGAAAACTGCAGAACCTTAAGAAACCCCAGTCCAAGAAAATTCTGTCTTCAACACCATCTGGCTAACTGAACAAAACACATGACAGAATTGTGTACATACCTTTCTCATTCTCTCCTCTACAACCTACATATCATATCAACCACCCTACGTATAAACCAGCAATCACTCAAATACACACTTCAGCCGTTAGGCAGAACATCATCTCACTCATAGTATGCAGAAATGAGAACAATTTCCCCATTGAGATTAAGCTCGAGAATGGATCACATTATCAGCTTTCTGAGGCCACAGGTTCAGCAGAGGTTTCATTACTGCTGTCTTCAAATCCTGCGATTGGGAATACTTCAGATTGCAAAGATGGAGAGATATTGTTAACATGTAACCATGTTAATTCCCACAAACTATCTCCACCTAATGCACTCCTCTGAGCAAGGACTTCCCTGTTCTTCATCTCTACTAGTGTGTTCTTCAATAGTTCTAACACTAGCTCTTGGAGCTTTTCACTCTTCTTTCCTCTAATTTTGACTTTCATGTATTTTTCCATCCGACTAAGAACGCCCAGCCATAGTTTGCAAAATGCTGTCAATTGAGAGAGTTCAGGGAGTAATTGCAGAAAAACCTTAGGGAGGAGCTTTATGGCAATAATTTGTGTCCCTTCCATGTTACGATAGTCCTTCTGAGAATGCCCCTGGGAAATTTCAAGCAAATCATCAAGCATTGTGAAGATAACCAAATCGAAACATTGCAACCAGAGACTGTGTGCAAGGTGGACTTCATTTATTTCAGTCAAGCACTTCTCCAAGGATGAAACAGCATGATTTCTGACTTCTTCTCTCTGGTCCAAACAAACTTTTCTTAGGGCCTGCACAAGTCTCAGCCACATCTCCCCAATGTCCTGAGACATTTTTACAGCATCCTCCTCCACAGCTTCCTTGGTTTCACGAACCCACTTCACTAGACAACCCACAGAATCAGCCATAAGATCCAGAGCACGAATGGATCGGTCAGATTGTCCAACACGAGACTCTGCAAATTGTCTAGCAGAATCTATACACAAACTGAAATTAGAAGGAAACAAATGGGCCCCCTCAGACATCATAAACACCAAAGCATCAAATCCTGATTCAGAAGCTTCTGGGTGTCGGGCGGTGACAGAAAGAAGAGAAGTAATGGTGCGCCAACCCATTTGTGATCGGATGTGAGTGGCATTTGCTTTGACTAAGCGAGTTACCTCTTGGGTGATCGGCTCACAGTATGCATCAGCAACTCGAGCATCGAGCTTGAGAACCAACTGCAGAGATCTAAGAAGCTCATCAGCTAGGTTTTCTTTATAAGGAAGAAGTCGCTGGCATATACGAAGAAGTCCAAATACAGCTTTCTCAACCAAGGCACAGGGCATGACAGTGGACTGTACAATATTTGCAATATGCTCATAAACCCCCTGCCAGAGAAGAACAATCCTATCTCGGTTGTTCAACGTAATAGCAATTAATAATTCAAGACAGAAAACAGCAGTGTCTTCATCTTCTGGTGAACCAGCCCCTTTCTGAGGCCTACCAGCAGCCCATATGAGTGCTCGTGCAAGCTGCAATAGAGATTCGGCTTGAAGAAACTTGCTTTCTGTAAATATATTATCAATGTGACACTTCTGGATTGTCTGGAGCGTACGCTGATGAGCAGCAAGTTGTTGCTCAGTGGGCTGTGACCTGGGCTCCTCTGTTTCCAGAGATAACAATTGGCTGAACCGGCCCATCAGCCCAGAAGACCTCCTAGGAGTACCCATGGATGCCAAATGAGGTGCAGATACTGAGTTTGAGAGGGGCTTCCCTTGCCCAGGATCAGAAGATAGCTCTGAGTCATCCGCAGCATCACTAGCAACACGGGCAGGAAGAAGACCAAGCTTGTGCAACCTTAATATGCAGTCCAGGATATTTCTCCACCCTGTGCGAATATAGTCCCCATAGCGATTTGCAATGGTGAACACCGTAACAGTGGCCATCCTAGCTTTCATGTCATCACCAAATGCCAAAACAGGTTCTTCGACAGAAGATGAATTTAAAAGGGATGTAAACTTGCAAAGAGAAACAACTAAATCATCAAGAACATCTTCAAGGTGGTGGCAGGCGGATATCTTTGCGACAGCTAAGAAGCCATCAATGCAAGTTCGATAAACATCAACATGTTCTGCATGATCAAAAACCACAGAAATGGCAGCAATTGTAGGACCGGACATTATAGCAAACATATCATGATCAAGATAAGCCCTTGTATCTGCCACAATATATGGTGCAGTCTTCTTACATTTGTGCATTAGATCGATCCAACGGCTTGGATTCATCTCAGCAAATCCGGCACCCTGTTCAGGTGTCGTGCGAATCTCATTTTTGCAGATAGAATGGTATAATTCTGACAGATATTCACGTGGGAGATCCTCACCATCATTTATATGACGGTTATTGCGAATAAAGTCCTCTTCAGTCATTTTTTTCTTAACTTGTACATTGTGCAGATCCGTGTTCAGCATTATGATGGAATATGATAGTAAAAATGCAGCATCTTTGTTGGCCAAAACATGCGACGATTGTTCATAGTATCGTTCTGAGAATGCCTCAAGCACTCTCTGTATCTTTTGTGACTCTCCAGGAAGTCTGAAAGTTTCCAAAAATAGTCTCAGAGCTGTGTCCAAATTCATATCTTGGAAATCAAAAGTCTGAGCAAATTCGTGAAGAACTTGAACACAAAATTCATCATGATTACCTAGAAAGTCCCCCACAAGATTTTTATCTAACCCAGCAGTATATCTGAAGAAGCAAGCCACACTCTGCGGATCAAGTTTTTCAGGCAACAAGTGTGTCCCTTGAAGAAACTCTAACCCTTTTTTAGGATCCCGATTAAAGTGATCAGCACCAATCATCAATCTTCTCTTGATATATTTCCTACGACGGACAAATGGAACCCAGTGATTAGGATCACTATAATTGTCACATTTCACCATCCAAAATGGAGCATACTCCTCAAGACTCACAGGTGCCTGCTCCAAGCCAAGAGATCCATTGCCAATCCTTTCAGCCATCCCCTGAATAACAGCTATCAGCCCATCAAGAGCAAGAATGTGCATAGAAGACAGAGGAGAGTTCACAGGAAAAGCACTCTTTGACAACAAATTAGCAAGATCTTCAAACACATTGCTGCATGTTATGTCGCAATCTAAGTTAGCATACATCTCTACCATAAATGTCTTTTGCCTGCAGAAGTCAACAAGGGCCTCCATTGCAGCCTCTTGCTGCTGGTAAGAAGCACCATATCTGCTCTGTGCGAGTCTTAAGATCACGCAAGAAAAGAAAGCCTCGAGTTGTAGTTTAAGCTCCATTCGTAAATGATGGTATAGATTCAGAGCTATACTACAAACCATAGAGAGAATCAGAGGACTTGGTGACAGACCAAAAAGCATCAAGTTGCGGAAGAGGTCGTCCTGTATCAAGTTTAGTAAGCTGGGATGACTGAGAAAAGAAGCCCCACCTAACTCAATAGCTGAATTTATGAGACCCAAGGCAAAGAGAGGTGCATCCTCATCAACGGCCAAGCCATTAGATCTAGGACCAATTCCAACGTGGTCGACAACATTAAGCAGTGAACACAGAAAATTAAAGATCTCAAACATAGAAGGTACTCCATACGGCTCCGTCATCACATGTAAATCATATGCCTTTGACTCCTTCCCATTCTCAGCACCATTTTCATCCACAGCACCAGCACCCACACCCACTGGAGCTACTGAACCAAAATTAGCAGTGGGATCATCATATTCAGAATTACCATTTCCATTATTGAACGGCACAGCTGAAAAATTGAATTCGTTATCAAGGCCAACAATCTGCATGAGGATAAAAGATTCAATTACATGACCTATCAGTAAAGTTGTAATAGGTTAACTCGATGTATAAAAAGTAATACCATTCACCATAATTCAACCCACTTTAATATAATTAAAAGAATAAAGAGTTTTTTAAGCATAACATTTAATATATAGTCATATGATTGAGCATTAATTGACATGAGGAATATTTTGCTGGATAAAAACTTTATCCCAACATATAAGGCAAAAGGAAATCGCCAACATAGCAAGACATGCATCTCCAACATAATCAAAGAACCTTACGCTTTGTTTGGATAGCAAAGAAGGAAGGAAAAGAAGGGGAGGGAAAATGGAGGAAGGGAAGGGAAAAGAAAGGGAGGGGGAGGTGAGCTCCATTTTCCCTCCAAATCTCTCCAATTTTGGAGAGATTATGGTTATTATAGAGAGAGGGAAAATGGATCCCTCTCTCTCCTTCCCCTTCCTTCCCCCAATCTTTTACCAAAACAAGAGATTTTGTCCCCCTCCATTTCTCTTCTCTTCTTTTCCTTCCATTTCTTCCTATCCAAACAAAGTGTTAAGGTAAAATGAAGGTCTCCAAAAGATCCTGCAATGTTGGTCATGATGATCTTATGAATTTTTGTGATAGAATTGGAGATGGGTTATCAACTTGGTTCAACAACCTAAAATGGATAATGAACAATAGATTACAAGTACACCACTGTAATACTGTATGCAGTGGTGCGTTCCACCTGGCGCAAACAACAAAAGATCTCCTTTCCCTATCACAATCAGCCACCTGCCCTTTCTCCAAAGTAGTCATCACCTTTGAATGGGTAGTTACTAGCCAACAAACCCTAGCTGGAATATTGTGAGTGTGATCTTCCTTGCCTGTGCCCATTCAAAGGATGTATGTACACAATACACCTAAGCAGCACTGAAACTTTTAGAATCTGGCATTCCAGTGTAATGTAAAATCATTCAGAGATTGAAACAACCAAATGCACTAGAACGTCTCATAAAGAAAAGGGAATCTCCCAAAACATAGTCCAAATGTCCAAATCATAGCACTGACAGCAACAGTTTATCATTGACTTCCCAGCAAGTGAGCAAGGTGCATCTTTTCCCTTAGTGTTGATAATATATGTGATGGTATTGTTGACTTTATTTGCTAATGGAGCCTTAGCTTCAGTGATCACTATATGTAAGTGAGCAAGGACAAAGAAATATGGTTTCAGAAATTATTTCATGTCTCATTTTATCTAGTTTTGGACATAGTTTCCCGCTTTTTAATTCTTCTTTTCCCGAATTCCATATCCATTTCTGCTTCTGCTCCTTGTGATTCCTAGATACACACTCACATAGTCAAATTAAGAGTAGGATAGACCTTCTTGCCCGCAATGGAAGGAAGTATTACTACCGCATCAAGAAAAGAGGAAACCAAGAAAGAAATAACCAAACATTTTCTAAAAGACTTAATATATAGACCCATATACTTGGCCTTTGTTGTTGTTTTAAGTGGAGATGGAGACAAGATGTAAAGAACTAGTGGGAAAATGAAAAGAGGGCTACCAACTGATGATGTATCCAGATCCATGGCAAGACCCGCAAGAGGAAAATCAAAACAAGAGACACCTGATCTATGGTATCAGTGAACAGTGAGGAGGGAAACTTTGTTAGAATTACCATGCTAAAAGAGACAAACATGTCCTTAAACCAAATCAAGCATGAGCTTAAAGTGTGACTCTGCTTTGTCCTACAGACAGTATGTCGGAAAACCGATAAAAATCCTAAAAGCTGTTAAAACATAACACATAACAGCCATTAGAATGGCGATATGACTGATAGGCTTTCTTCCCCTAGGCTACATTTAACATTAGAACTTTTTTAATACGTGGTAATCTTGTATAAACTAGGCAATTTCAAACCTAAATTTGGAAGAACAAGAAAGCATACAAGGAAACAAAACTTGTAAAAATGAATGACATAACTGTTTTTAAGCCAAAGAGATTAGAAAGGCGGGGATGAGCTGTACCTCTGAATTTATTGAGCCTCTGTTGACCACAGAATTCTCTATGCCCTCAACTTCAGGAAGATGTGAAAAGATACTCCTAACAAGTTCACGCATTGTATGTGCTGCCATTCCTTGCAACAATTCACCTTTTGTTGTGGCTTGATGAACAATTCGGAAACAGGTATTAACAATAGTACAAACATGCTGATTACTCAATACAACAGATGCTTTACATTTCATACAAGCCAGCAGAACCTGAAGAATCTTGGTCAAAACAACCTCTTCTGATGCAGGATCAGTCACCTCAAACCGACAACTGGTAACAGCATCAACAACCAAATGCATGGCATCTTCAATATTTGTGGTGTTAAGATCAAGCACGTCAAGAGTTAAGATCTTGTACACAGATGACAAAGCAACACTGGTAATGGGAGCGCCAGTTTCATCAGAACGAATAACATCTAAAAATGGTTGGAGGTACAAAACAGGATTGATATTATGCCACTGTTGTTGCCACACAAAGACTTGCTTACGCAAAGCTTTCAAAGATTGGATAAGAGAATGTTCTAACTGGTCATCCCCTGACATGTAGCGACCACCCCATCTCACATTCCTTCTCATGATTGCCAATACAGCACCAATTTCTGAGTTAATCATACATGATAAAGCAGCTTTGTCAGATGATGCAACTTCAGATTCTTCAGGTTCTTCTTCAATAGCCTTTATACCAGATTGCATCTTTAGACGACCCATGTTCACACTACGTGTTTGCAAAATGCAAACCAAAAAGTTCACAGAAATGCACAGCCAATATCTGAAATAAGCAACACAAGGTGCCAAATCATATTACTAGAACCTAACAGGAGTGACAGCTAAGCAATTAATCAATGAATGTTGAGGAACTAGTATACAGAAAGATACCTACTGGAACCAATAAAAATACTCCATCTAATTCTGTTCGCATCAAGAATTCAGTTCAATCTACTTAAATTTGCAATGGTAATCATATTGTAAAATGCAAAATGGCACTTAACATTGCATTGTTAAAATAAGATGACCTGTTAAGGCTGTAATCCTACAATGACTTGTACATTAAATTTGTAGGAGTACTAAATAAATTTCCAAACTCTATTTAAGTTTATTTTACGGACGGAGGGATTATAAGTGACTTGTGATTCCAATGGCTGATAATTCTAGAAATCCGCTCATTTCCTTGTTAAAAATCTAACACCTAAAACAACAATCTCTATAATACTGATACAAACCTCTACATATCCTACATTGCAAAAACTACAACTCAATGAAACTCCATAACATAATGACACAAAACACCATTAAAGCCTTCCTTCGATCACCATATATACAGGCCTGTCCCTGAGCTAATTTCATAGTTCAATTCTAACATTAAACAATTCTGCAACAAATTAACAACCAGATTTGATTCAATAATCACATAAATAATTTTAGGGAGGAAAGGCATATTTGATTCAATCATCAATTTTCTAGCAACATAATCGCTGGTTATGATCTTTGATATAATCTTAGTAATTAGAACAAATAGCTCAAAATTTCGAACCCTAAACTTACTACACTGACAATTACATTAAACTATATCAACGATAAACCCTAGATTGTGAAATTGACATGATGATTACAAAAAAGAAACAACAAATTACCTAAGAAGCTGCTGCAATGGCGGATACAAGTATCAGAAGGCGCTTCAATGGAGAACGTTGACTGCACTTCAATGGCGAGCTGAGAGAGAGAGGAGCAGGAGGAAGAAGAAGAGGAGGTAGGGGGCTACGCTGATCAGTTTTTTTTTTTTTTTTTTTTTTTTTTTTTTTCTTATTGGCAATTACTGTTCAATGGGTTCAAGTGGCCAAGTGGGGCCACTTTCATTTTTCTTTTTTTTTTTGGGTTTTTCTAAGCTATACTCCTAAGGTATTTGAGTTTCTAAGGTGTATTCATGTTTTTTCAAGTTTCTAAGTTATGCCCCTCAATTCACTACCATTAATGAATGGTACCCTGTTTGGGATTTCCATGTCACCTAAAGTTAACTATAAATTTAATAAAAAGATGATAAAAGGTAAGGAAATGGTAGGAGAAAGAAATCTTAGCCACCGCAACCCTAATAATGAAATCTGAAGCCACGAAATCACTCTCTCAAATAACTTTTAAACAACTTATAAGGGTACATTTTAGTATTGATAAAGAGTTGAAGGGCACAACTTAGAAACTTGAAAAAGTATGGGTACACCTTAAAAACTCGAATACCTTAGGGGTATAGTTTAGAAGTGGCCATGGGAAGTTTTTTTTCTTTCTTTTTTTTTTTTCTTATTGGCAATTACTGTTCAATGGGTTCAAGTGGCCAAGTGGGGCCACTTTCATTTTTCTTTTTTTTTTTTGGGTTTTTTCTAAGCTATACTCCTAAGGTATTTGAGTTTCTAAGGTGTATCCATGTTTTTTCAAGTTTCTAAGTTATGCCCCTCAATTCACTACCATTAATGAATGGTACCCTGTTTGGGACTTCCATGTCACCTAAAGCTAACTATAAATTTAATAAAAAGATGATAAAAGGTAAGGAAATGGTAGGAGAAAGAAATCTTAGCCACCGCAACCCTAATAATGAAATCTGAAGCCACGAAATCACTCTCTCAAATAACTTTTAAACAACTAATAAGGGTACATTTTAGTATTGATAAAGAGTTGAAGGGCACAACTTAGAAACTTGAAAAAGTATGGGTACACCTTAAAAACTCGAATACCTTAGGGGTATAGCTTAGAAGTGGCCAAGCTGGGAAGTTTTTTTTCTTTCTTTTTTTTTTTCTTATTGGCAATTACTGTTCAATGGGTTCAAGTGGCCAAGTGGGGCCACTTTCATTTTTCTTTTTTTTTTCACATTGAAATTCTTCATTTTCAAATTCCTCAAATAAAAATTCTCCATTTCCAAAGAAAATTTTATACTCCCTTCATATTTTAATACTCTACGCTCAAATTATTGAGAGGAGAAGTTTGGATTTTATTTTACGGACGGATATTAAATTTGTACAAGTTCGGATTTTATTTTACGGGCGGATAGGAGAGAGATAGAGATAATTCATTAACTAAAAGGAAAAGTGATGCATCAAAATCAAAACTTTTATTTTTTAAAAAGTGTGCATCTATAACAGTATGAAGGAAGTATGATAGTTGAGAGACAATCGAGTGACGAATTGGTTGGTCCACCGCGGGATTACCCAACACATTTGTCGCATTATTTATAATTTTTGTTCTCGTTTATCTTTAATGGTAGAGTTCTAGAGGAGGATAATAGGAGCTTGACTTTTCCACGACTTGTCCCTCCTTAGGTAGTTTTTTTTTCTTAGCTTCTTCGTTGTTTTGTTTTACCTTTGCTTTTTTAAAAAAAAAAAATCATTGGAACTCCTTTCCTCATTCGAATAAAAAAAATTGCATGTATAACATAAGAGCCCTAAGTTAACATTGGATATTGATAGAATTTTATTGAAATAAGCAATTTGGTTCAAGAAAAATTATAAAGAGTACTAGGGAAATCGAGGTAGAGTTGAAGGAATTGAGAAATAATCAATAGACTCCACTAAGACGGAAAAAAAATTCGGAGTTTGTACATGTTTTTTCTCTATCTCTCCTCATCACATGAATCAGTATGTTTATTACTCTCTATCTCTCCTCTTTTTAAAGTTTCTATTCTATTCGTATGTTGCAATATTTAAATAACCGAATATAACAAGGAGTAATCTTTCTGGTTGCTCTATTCATCTATTGTTATGCTTTAGTTTTGGAATATCCAATTTTGCAAAAATGAGTGGCTTCCAAAAATGAAAGGAAATAGGACACGTGGAGGCACATGATAGACCAAAATTCATAGAAGAGATATAGTAGCCACAAACAAACGGGCCCTCGTAATCCCAACTCGTCATTGTGAGTGAGTGTTAACAACCATTTCTTTTCTTTCTTTCTATCTTCCTCTTGTAGTCCAACTTATTTTGGTGGTTTTGTTTAGATTTTGTATACCACATTCAAAGTTCCTTAGGAAAATCGACCTCGTAGGACGACTGCGAGCACTTGATACCACAATTGGGTTGCAATAGACTGTGATCAGCTCCTGCAGCGTGCAGAAACTATATCATCTGCTAGGAAAAATAATGATGGCCACAAGTAACAGTTGCGGGTACTCGCAGTTGTACCATTACCATGTTCTTAATAATCATGTTAATGTTAATGTGATAAGGTCTCCTACCCAAAATTTGAAAACTAAGCACTTTGCAAATAATGGAACATCATTGTCATCACTATCCGGCGGCCTGTCAGTATCTCGTGCAATGATCAGCTACTGCTGCTGCAGGAGCAATGACAGTAGCAATTCTAACAGCACCAGGTGCTGCAGGTTTGTAGTCAGAGCCACAGGAACTGATTCGTCGTCAGCCTCAGGCCAACAGCAAGAAGAAAAAGAAGACGAAGCAGAAGCAGAAGAAGAAAAGTATGAAGAGTATGAGGTGGAATTAGAGCAGCCTCTTGGATTGAAATTTGCCAAAGGAAGAGATGGCGGTACCTATATTGATGCCATTGCCCCAGGGTATTCTGCTGATAAAACAGGACAGTTCAGTGTAGGGGACAAAGTTATCTCCACTAGTGCAGTGTTCGGGACTGAAATCTGGCCTGCTGCTGAGTATGGTAGAACGATGTACACTATCCGTCAGAGGATTGGCCCTCTCTACATGAAAATGCAGAGACGCTTTGGTAATCTTGATTATGCTGGCGAGATGTCTGAGAAGGAAATTATCCGTGCTGAAAGAAATTCTGGTGTTATCAGTGACCGTGTCAGAGAGATTCAAGTAAGCTAGACCCTGTCAGGCTAACTACACCACTTTCAGGCATATAAATCATATCATTCTAGGAGTTCTGACAGTATGTATTTGTTTGCAGCGCCAAAATTACCAGAGGAAAATAGAGCAGAAAGAGCGCAGAGAAAGGGAACTTCGGGAAGGCCTCCAACTTTACAAGTATGTATCAACAATCTTTCCATTCTTCTGTTGCCTGTTAGTGTACTGTTTGATTGTGTTTAGTTCTGTTTCCTCTAATTTTCCTTTACTTTGCCACTTCATTCATCAAAGGAGTGGAAATTATGAGGAAGCTCGTGAGAAGTTTGAATCAGTTCTAGGATCTAGGCCAACTACAACAGAAGCTTCAGTAGCTAGTTACAATGTTGCTTGCTGTTATTCAAAGCTTAATCAGGTACTGTAATACTTTTCTTCTCAGTCCTTAACTCTTAACTATTCCTAAGCTACTGAAGCTATTAAGTGATAGGCATTTATGCAATTAATATAAACTCGTTCTGATATCTGAGTTGCTTCCATTCCAAACTGAGATTTTATATTTGACTTCTGCTGGAGCTTTGTGTGTGTTTCATATTGAAGTCTGAACAACTGAGATCAGATTATATAATTTATGCAATGTTCAAATAGTAGTGTGCCATTAACCAGATAGAGTTGGCTCAATTCTTATATACTCGAACATTATTGCTTGCAAATCATGTTCAACCACACCCTATGATACCACTCTACTAGACACCAGTACATTATCTAGGACCATCCTTAATACTAAAGATGCAGACTGTAGAACCCTCTCGAAAGAGAGTGATCAATAAGTAACTGGCCAATAACAGAAATACCCAGAAAACCATGGACACAGGACACAGCCGTGGCCAACTTTGAAAAAATCTAATAACCAAATCTTGTAGCAACAGGAAATTTTGCATAATAACAGAACAGGCAAACAATATAAAATTTCAAAGGTTAAAACAACAAATAAGCAAAGTAGGATTGTATGAAGAAGATACCTATTAAAGTATGACACATAAAGATCATAAAGAGAGAAGTTATCAAGTGCTATCAGAAATATTGTCTCAAAATGCTAATTAGATCAAACATAATAACCTATATTATATGAAATACGACTTGACTGAGTTGATTTCAGGTTCTAAAATAGATACATGAGTAGATAGGAAGAAGCTTCCAAGTAAAAATTTAGAAGGCAGCGCACTTCCATGGACCACAATATGCCCCAGCAAAAGGTTATCCTTATGCTTTTTAAAAAACATATTAACCCCAGCAGCAACACCATTTCATATACTGGTATGTCAGTCTATGCTACTCAAGGTGGCATGGTCAGCAGTTCTGTTAAATTTCCAGAATCAAACAATCAAGTTAAAGCAGCATGCATAATGAATCCTTAAATAACTAATATACACCTTCAACATTCGTTTAACAATTAGAAAAAATAGCTGTTAATATAGTTTGAGGATCGGGGAAGTGTAATTATATAAGTATAAAACTATTGCATAGGTCTGAAGTACTCAGTAAAGACTAAGTGTCTCGTAAAGGCCTTAAAAACTATAATTTTTTATTGCTGTATCTTTGCATAGGCAAGATTCATTGGAAAGAATATTATTGTAAGATTCAGACTATGTAATTTTCATTTAGGCAACCAGATGCCCTTCTGTGTGATTATGCAAACTAATGCACTAGATTTTTATGGTGGTCTACTTCCAATTAGACAATGTTGTAGCCTTGCCAGTTCTTTTGATCATAGAGAAAATACGAAAAGTAGGTGGCAGGAAATTTTGCAAGAAACTCAAACAACAAAGAAAGAAATAATAACATTAGGGGCTCATTAGTTATTAAGACCATCAGTATTGAGCTACAACCACCAGCTTCAAACTGTAAGGTTCATTTCAATGCATATGGGAATCATGCAGCAAGCCTGCAAGACGTAAAGAAAATGATCAATAGAGCCAAAGAAAACAGTATCATTGATGTTGATGAAAGGAACCATCAGCATTTAAAACACACACCAATACACCATACCATGTTCATAACGCCCTTATATATCACAAATACGATTCAAATATACAACATAACCAAGGCTTGCTATTATATACTAGCATTTATAAGTTAACCTTATTTTAATACTATAGTCATTTAATTGCCTTCTAAATCTGTTCACAAATATGCCATTTAAGATAACTGATCCATCATACTACGTATCATGCAAACAAATCATCAAGGCAAACAGATCTACATCAAGAAAGGTGTGACAAACAGTTTTCCAGTGGTGGAAAAAATATTTTTCATTGAAAATGTTTTTTTTTCCAAAACCAAACGAATCCTTAATGCTGCAACTTAGCCTCACATCTTAATCTATCAAGCATGTTTGAAATAGACAATCAGTGACATGATTGACATCCATAAAGCTTAATCTATCTTAAGTCAAACACTGGGATATATGTGATAAATTTCAGTTTCTTACTCCATAGACTATTAAAGGAATATTACCTTCCTCGTTTATTAAATGTGCCATTAATTTAATCAACAGATACAAGCTGGTCTATCTGCACTCGAAGATGCTTTGGAAGAAGGATATGAAGATTTCAAGGTAAATTCAACTAAACATGACCACTTTTTACATGTCCTCTTCATTGTCATTTCTATCCTTAATTACAAGGTAAAAATGCATATACACTTCAATTAATGATTTTTTCATTTTCTGAATATTGTACAGAGAATTCGAACTGATCCAGACCTTGCAAACCTCAGAGCAACTGCTGAGTTTGACACTCTATTGAAAAGATTTGATGAATCATTCATCAACGAAAATGCAATCAATGCCATTAAATCTCTATTTGGATTCAACAAGAAGTAGAGAGATAATTTTATAACACTATATTTTCTTTGAGGTTATCATGTGTTAACACTGTTTGAGCACATACATGTTCCATATCATATAGAAAGAAGATTGTCCTCCTACATTCATTTAACGAAGAGATACTTGCTTTGTCAAATTTTCATAGCATGCATAATACATCACACTTTCTATTCTTTACACCTTTGTTACAGGAATTGTCTACAAACTTAACTACTACATAACCATTCAACCAGAGAAAAACAGAACAGTAATTTTTATTTTATTTCTTCAGTTTCATTTATTTGCTCATATATCAATTTGGTTTCAGAAATTATCATTAAGAAGTCCATTTTTCTGTGGAGCATTGCTTTCATGACAGATTTTAATTTGCAGTCAGAATCATATGCATTAAACTTTGACAAATCAATACCAGCTAAGACAATATCTAAATCTTTAATAGGTGCTCATAATTGAAGAATGACCATTAAAAGACCTCAAATTTACGATGATTCGTGTTATTGAACTAAGGAACAAAAATCTTTATCAGCAAATAATGTGCAAGTTCTACTAATAGTAACACGTAATTTCGAAAAACTCTTAACTAGTTCGTCTTGAATGGATCAAGGCATGCTTAATTCCTTATATTTTTTGGTTTTAATAGAACTCCTTACAAAAGATCATATTATACATCAAAATTTGGCATGTGCTACAATCCTAAACTTGTACACGTTATACACATAGCTGTTATTTTAGTAATAGATTAGCCAACTGCCAACCTACGTTGGTGTTTGATATCGTGCAATATAATGCTGACCTTGCTAAGTTGAGCCGCTGATCTGAGCATATACTAATATAAGATCCTGTATCTTGTTTTTCTTGAGGACTAAACACCAGTTTGAAACCTCTCATAGGTCAATCTGGCAAAGGAGGTAAGGGAATCGATCCCCCTCTCAAACATATATAGTTGGCGAGATACGAAGTGAGTTCTCTACCAACTCCACTAAACTAACTTAGTTGCTACAAACATGTTGGTGATGTATTTAAAGAGGTATTCAGGTGACCTACCTTCAAAATAATTTTACTACTAACAAAATGCAACAACATGCATTGAGAAATGCTCTCTCTTTAGTTTACAACCAACAAAATGCAATATGTATTATGAAATTTTCTCTAAATCTAAAGAAAATTGTGTCCCTGAAGATGGTCCATGATTTTTAGAGTCACACTCAATATCAAGTTTTGTTATTACTAATCTTACTAAGCTTTGTAGGCTTGTAGCTGGCAAAGTAGTGGCAACTGGCAAGCATAAATCAATCCTATGATAATATTAACGTGTGAAATCCTTAACTAAAATTAAGATAATTACACCCAAAACATTAAGCTAATACTACATTTTTTCTTTTAAACGATGTTTACCTAATGACCTAATCATATCACTTTAGTGATGCGGGATACCCCTAAACATTCCTTCTTCTTTTTTTTTTTTCCGTTTATACTATTCATTACTCGTTTTTCTTGATTTTGATAGCATTGACAATACTTTTATAATGAATCAAATGAAAAATTCCACTTTCAAGGAAATGTGGTTGGTGGGACTCGAACTTGGTGAATTTTCCACCAACTTCACTAAGCTTACTTGTTAAAATATATTGCGTATACATACAAAATGAATCGATCAAACCTAAGATTATCTGATACTTATATAGATTTAAACTCGATATAACTTAGCTTGAAATATCTAAAGGTTGATAAATTCAATAACCACCCATTTCAGATTAACCTCGTAACAGTGTTACCTATCCAACATTACACCCAATCTCCCTTAAGCCATTCATTCAATAACAGAAACACTCAAAACTCGAATTAATTAGATCTCAACTAAACCTATCTAAATATTAAACCGACATTGTAATAAAAATCCCACAAAAATTTAAAATCCGATTCAAATGACCCAATCGCCCTATCTAATGATAGGTATGCTGTATGCATATGTATACATGTATATTTAATCTTTCAATTAGTGAATCACCTTGACTTTTACCCCAAAACAAAATCAAAAACAAATTTTTAAACCTAAACAAAAACTAACAAAAAAATTAAGGAAATTTTGTTTTAAAAAAAAAAAAAAGACAAAGAGTGGACAATCTTACCGTCGGTGCTGACTGTTGCCTCCTTCCTTCCTCCCTCTTTCTCTTTCTCTCTCTTCTTTCTCTCTCTTACACCCCACCACGTTTCCCTCAAATCCCATAATTTTTCACTCCATTTTCAAACTTTCTCAAATACCCATTTCTCCATTACTTTCTTACAACTTTCCCTCTCTTCATTTCCCACTTCCTCTCTCCTCAAAGATTCCACCTTTTTCCAATCATGGGTCAAGAGGGCTTCACCGCCCAGAAACGGGCTACCGGCGGCGGTGGTACTCTTCCGACCACCACACTCTCCTCCTTCAGCGGCGGCGGTAACCGGTCAAGGGTGTTACCCCGTGGCCGGCAAATCGCCAAAACAATGAATAACATCAAGATCACTATTTTATGTGGGTTTGTGACCATCTTGGTCCTTCGAGGCACCATAGGGCTGAATCTCGGTACATCGAAAGTCGATGCGGAGAGACAACATCTTGAAGAGGAAGCGAGGCGGGTGATCGAGGAGATTCGATCCGATGGGGCGGAACCAGATGATGAGCCTGATATGAACCCTAATACTACTACTTTCAGTTTTGGGCCGAAGATTGGAAATTGGGATCAACAGAGAAAAGAATGGCTTGAATTGAATAAGGAATACCCGAATTTTGTCAAGGGAAAACCTCGGATTTTGCTGGTAAGTGGGTCACCTCCTAATCCTTGTGATAACCCAATTGGGGATCATTATTTGCTTAAGAGTATTAAGAATAAGATTGATTATTGTCGACTTCATGGGATTGAAATTGTGTATAATATGGCTCATTTGGATAAAGATCTTTCTGGGTATTGGTCAAAATTGCCATTGATTAGGAGGTTGATGTTATCGCATCCTGAAATTGAGTGGATTTGGTGGATGGATAGTGATGCATTGTTTACTGATATGGTTTTTGAGATTCCTGTTAGTAAGTATGAGAATCATAATTTGGTTATTCATGGATATCCTGATTTGTTAGAGAAGAAATCTTGGATTGCTTTGAATACTGGAAGTGTTTTGTTTAGGAATTGTCAGTGGACTTTGGATTTGATGGATACTTGGGCTCCTATGGGTCCTAAAGGGCCTACTAGAAATGAAGCAGGTAAGGTAGTCACTGCTTTTTTGAGTGGGAGGCCGTCTTTCGAGGCTGATGATCAATCGGCTTTGATCTATTTGTTGATCTCTCAGAAGGATGTTTGGATGAATAAGGTGTTTGTGGAGAATTCGTACTATTTGCACGGGTTTTGGACCGGATTGGTGGATAAGTATGAGGAGATGGTGGAGAAGTATCACCCGGGTTTGGGTGATGAGAGGTGGCCGTTTGTGACCCATTTCGTGGGTTGTAAACCTTGTGGGAGTTACGCGGATTATCCTGTGGAGAAGTGTTTGAAGAGTATGGAGAGAGCATTCAATTTTGCAGATAATCAGGTGTTGAAGTTGTATGGTTTTAGGCATAGGGGTTTGTTGAGTCCCAACATCAAGAGGATGAGGAACGAGACGACCACACCTTTGGTGTATGTAGATCAGTTTGACATTCGACATGGTGGATCAAAGTCATGAGATCATACAAGGTTTTAACCACAAGGGTAATACTGTATAAGCTAACCTTATTGGTTCTGCTGATTGTAACATGATTAGAGTGGTCATGTATGAGGCTATTCTTTTCTGTTTTACTTGTTAAGCTCACACATCTCTCCAGGATTCCGAAGAGCCCTTTACAAAACAGAAGAAAGTTTTGTGATTACAGAGTTACAGACCATGTTCTGCTCTCTGTCTGGGATATGTGGAAGGGAAAATCCATGGTTTTGACTCGAAATCAATATTTATTCTTAGTTTCTTATTCTTTACTCAAATTGTATTCATATGTCATGAAACGAAACATTTTGTCACACATTCTTGTAGTCTGTTTATTACATTTTCAGGAAACAAATTTATGACTTACAGTACTTGTTACTTTACTGGGTTTATGACTTGCTGTTTTCTTTTTTCTTTACTGGGTTTGCAATGTATTGGTAGAAACAATTGCTTCCATTGGGAACTATGACCAGCATTAATCATTTGGTGTCGGGAATTACTATGCAATTAGCTGAATTTCATATAGCTCTGTGCTGATCATTGCACAAATTGTTTTTACTTTGTATCATTTGTTGATGGGATCAACTGCCTGGTGCTATGTTGATATATTATGCCTGCTGGTTTTTTTTCTTTGGTGAAATTTGTGTGACTGCTGTTAATGTAAGATACAAAGTAATATTTCGTGAGCTGGTATACTTTGCCCAGCAGGTTGATACATGCTTAATTGCCTCAAGTCTCAATTTTTGCTGGTAAGTGGGTCACCTCCTAATCCTTGTGATAACCCAATTGGGGATCATTATTTGCTTAAGAGTATTAAGAATAAGATTGATTATTGTCGACTTCATGGGATTGAAATTGTGTATAATATGGCTCATTTGGATAAAGATCTTTCTGGGTATTGGTCAAAATTGCCATTGATTAGGAGGTTGATGTTATCGCATCCTGAAATTGAGTGGATTTGGTGGATGGATAGTGATGCATTGTTTACTGATATGGTTTTTGAGATTCCTGTTAGTAAGTATGAGAATCATAATTTGGTTATTCATGGATATCCTGATTTGTTAGAGAAGAAATCTTGGATTGCTTTGAATACTGGAAGTGTTTTGTTTAGGAATTGTCAGTGGACTTTGGATTTGATGGATACTTGGGCTCCTATGGGTCCTAAAGGGCCTACTAGAAATGAAGCAGGTAAGGTAGTCACTGCTTTTTTGAGTGGGAGGCCGTCTTTCGAGGCTGATGATCAATCGGCTTTGATCTATTTGTTGATCTCTCAGAAGGATGTTTGGATGAATAAGGTGTTTGTGGAGAATTCGTACTATTTGCACGGGTTTTGGACCGGATTGGTGGATAAGTATGAGGAGATGGTGGAGAAGTATCACCCGGGTTTGGGTGATGAGAGGTGGCCGTTTGTGACCCATTTCGTGGGTTGTAAACCTTGTGGGAGTTACGCGGATTATCCTGTGGAGAAGTGTTTGAAGAGTATGGAGAGAGCATTCAATTTTGCAGATAATCAGGTGTTGAAGTTGTATGGTTTTAGGCATAGGGGTTTGTTGAGTCCCAACATCAAGAGGATGAGGAACGAGACGACCACACCTTTGGTGTATGTAGATCAGTTTGACATTCGACATGGTGGATCAAAGTCATGAGATCATACAAGGTTTTAACCACAAGGGTAATACTGTATAAGCTAACCTTATTGGTTCTGCTGATTGTAACATGATTAGAGTGGTCATGTATGAGGCTATTCTTTTCTGTTTTACTTGTTAAGCTCACACATCTCTCCAGGATTCCGAAGAGCCCTTTACAAAACAGAAGAAAGTTTTGTGATTACAGAGTTACAGACCATGTTCTGCTCTCTGTCTGGGATATGTGGAAGGGAAAATCCATGGTTTTGACTCGAAATCAATATTTATTCTTAGTTTCTTATTCTTTACTCAAATTGTATTCATATGTCATGAAACGAAACATTTTGTCACACATTCTTGTAGTCTGTTTATTACATTTTCAGGAAACAAATTTATGACTTACAGTACTTGTTACTTTACTGGGTTTATGACTTGCTGTTTTCTTTTTTCTTTACTGGGTTTGCAATGTATTGGTAGAAACAATTGCTTCCATTGGGAACTATGACCAGCATTAATCATTTGGTGTCGGGAATTACTATGCAATTAGCTGAATTTCATATAGCTCTGTGCTGATCATTGCACAAATTGTTTTTACTTTGTATCATTTGTTGATGGGATCAACTGCCTGGTGCTATGTTGATATATTATGCCTGCTGGTTTTTTTTCTTTGGTGAAATTTGTGTGACTGCTGTTAATGTAAGATACAAAGTAATATTTCGTGAGCTGGTATACTTTGCCCAGCAGGTTGATACATGCTTAATTGCCTCAAGTCTCAATTTTTGCTCTAGGCAACATTATGTGATTATATTTTCATTCTTGAACTGTGAACTTAGCAACTTTTCAATGCTCATTTGCCCGCTGCAAATAACTTGCTTCAGGGCAACTTTTTAGTTGTTCCTCTCAACCACCTGTATGAGTAATTCTGTTTCCCCAATAGATGTGTGAAGGATTGTATGCAGATGGAGTATCCCTGATTTATTGGGAGTGTTTTGTGGACGAGATCTGCAAAAACATTGCTTTGTTTATTCCTTTTCGTGAGTGTTGTCGTATTGAAGCTCGGTGTGGAGATCTATTCTACAATATTTTCCAGTGTATAAATGTAAAACTGTTGTCGTATTGAAGCTCGGTGTGGAGATCTATTCTACAATATTTTTCAGTATATAAATGGAAAAACGGTTCTCTGGACACTAGAAATCTCAATTCCAGAGAGGTTTCGCTTGCATTCTGCAGCATTACAATATACCATTAACTAATTACTCATTAAACTATTTGCAGCAATATTTTGATGCTCTTGTAGTCACATTGGTCTAATTAAATTCGCAAGACTGGAACCTTCCGTCGTGCTGACAAGATCTCGTTCATGTGAGCTATCTGATGCAAGAGCTGGCTGATTCTCTGCAGCAAATTCATTGTGAAAGGTTTCAGTATAAACAACCAAGTGAACTTCACTCCCAATATTATTCATTAGTCATGTAAGAAAAGAAGGAAGTGACTGCCATAATTACTACCTAAGTTCCAATTTTAACTTTCTTTTCGTTTCTTTAAGGATTAACTTAATATGAAGTATGTGTATATAAATCTAGTCAATAAAATTCAACAAGGAATGAATGGAATTTACCTGGTCTTTCTCTCTTATGAGGAGCAGAAGGCGGTTTCGCCACTGCAGAATCTTCACGCAAGCAAGTAATGCTACCAATATCGCGGTAGCAGGAAAAATAGAGTAACACCTCCTGCTGCCACTGGTGCAAAGAAAAACCTGAAACACTTTTCTTCCAAATGTGTACATTCTAGTCCCAATGACATTCATCATGATAGAAAGCCTTGTATCTGATTTTATCTGCTGCTCTTTCGGCGAACCTATGTCTGAGCATGCAGATGACAACGATAACTGTCGTGGTGATGTATTTCTCGGTGAACCAGAGTCTTCTCCTAAAAGGGGCAAGTCTTCATGCTCACTTGGTGGGAAGATAGAATTATCACCATAGAAGTTGTCTCTTATTACCATTTCATATCCGAGTAGCTGCCCTTGTGGTGGCGGCGAAGATGGCTGATCAGATGAGTGTTGGACTAATTCCCAGTCACTGGATTCACCTGAACTCTCTGAAGTCTCAACCATCTTTCAGATTTTTTCTTTTTCTTTTTTTATTTTTTATTTTTTTACTTCTGTGGATAGAAAAGATTTTTCTTTGCATATAATGAAGAATGATTCTCAGGATTCAGATAGCATTTTGTACAATAAAAAGCTTTGACTAGGGTGGAGAAGGTTCAAGACTGGTGAAGAACATGCTGCCAATTTTAGGGTGTCCTCTTTTGCAAAGATCATATCATCTTATCTAAAATATCTTTGGTCACTCTACCATTGTCACTTTCTAAATGTCATTACCAGGGCCCCTTAACACCCCAAAAAATCTGGCAAATTCTTTGCAAGCCTCTGAACATATGGTTCAAGGTTTTAGTACATGAGAGGCGGCAACACGTTTTCGCCTGCTTATCTAGTTCATAGTATCAATTAGGATCATCTTGTTCCAATTTCAATTACTGTAATACTGTTTGGTAAGCTAAGTTACAAGCAAGGTTGAACATAGAGGACTGAAAGAGCTGTGCTTTGGTAGTTAAGGAAGCATTTAGATTTTCTTTTGTGGCTCTGGTGGCAGCTAGATCGGATCCCAATCGTACCAGGATCGTTTCTTAGCTTCTCACATGGTCCATCGACACATTAATGAGGTTTGAACCCACCTTTTTTTATTAAATGTGCCGACATTTTGAGAGGAAAAGTAAGTCTTGGGTGAGACTGTCTCACACTAATTTATTGTGAGACATTAAAAGTTATCCAAAGGAAATGTTGTCATGTCTTACAATACATCATTGTAAGTTAGTTTCATACAAACTATAAGAATACCAAACATATGATAAAAGGAAACCAAAAATGAGATTTCTGATTACTCTACCATATGAGGCCTTATGAAGTTATGAGTCCATTAATATAATCAATTGAATAGATAAGGGGTTTTTTTTCCCTTCTTTTTTTATTCTAGTAAGTTTGTAATTTATAATCAACTAAAAATGTAACTAATATAGATAAATCCCATGAATTAAGGAATGGATTGATTTGATTTTTTTTTTTTTAATAAAAGGATCAATTTTACCCGGGTGCACTACATGGGAGTAGTGTAAACGTATGTAACTAGAAAACTTATTTTTGATGACCAAACTTTTGAACTTAATGATGGTCCGAAACTGTAAGTTATCAAGTACTTCATATTTTATGACTTTTACTACACGTAATTACAACGTCTTACAAAAATTAGAAACAACAAGAATGATTACCCCCCCTCCCCCTCCCTATTTCCCAATCTTTTTTTTTTTCCTATCTCCATTCCCTAAACTCCTTAGCCCCCTCCCTATTTCCCAATCTTTTTTTTTTCTTATCTCCATTCCCTAAACTCCCCCTCCCTATTTCCCAATCTTTTCTTTTCCTATCTCCATTCCCTAAACCCCCCCCCCTCCCCTCTCCGGCTCTCCCATTAGCAAGAATATCGAACTACCCGAGTTCTGAATACCACATGGTACCACAACCACCACCTCCACACACTTTCCTCCTCCAAATATGGCATCCCTAATCAGCCAAATATCCACCTCCTCAGCGCCACAATCCCTCACCTCTACCTGGCTCTAAGCCTCTAGGCGACTAGGCCCTCTACCACCTCATCTCCACCATCTACAACTTCGTCAATCCCCTCAAATCTTCTTTACTCACTTTCCCTCTCCTCCACACACCTCTACCTCACCATCACCACCCTCTCTACCACCTACCCTTCACACTAGGTGACTTCTCCATCCTCTTCATCCACTCTAAAAACTCCTCCCGTGCCTTCTTCCTTCGTCTTCTCTATCTCCAATCCTACTTTACACTAACTCTCGGCAATCTCCCTGAATGATATCACCGCCTTCTTGACACTGTAATTGGCGTCAAGAGGTCGCATGAACAAACTAGGCTGGAGTAAAGAACAACTATTTTGTCAAAAAAAATTTACTTGCGATACAAGTTGGAGGTCATTACGGCCCAATTCAAAAAGATGAAACTATTCAAAGCAGATTGTCCAAAGATGAGATCATTAAAATCAATATATCCTTTACAACAAGCACACATCAAACTCAAACTGAAAAATAAGAACATGATGTATACATTAATTATTTAATTTGATTTATTATATAGCTGAGATGTAAACTGTATACAGTAAAACTGTCAAATTGACAACATACGTGACTGAGAGTACAAATTAAAAAGTTTCTATAGAACTGATGGTGGAGGAGCTTCAAGCGAGACTAGATAAGGCTGTTTGAAGCTCCTCTATCATGTTCCATTAGAGTGGTCCTTGCATGCACAAAGTAAAACCCATTCACATTGCTGCGTCAGAAGATGAATGGCTGTTCCTTTTACGAGCTAGATCACGAGCCATCTCTCGCATTTCCTCTGGTGACGGAGGCCTAGGAGCCTCAGGTGGATAGACCACATAAGAACGCTTCACAAAGTATAAAGAGGGTATACTTAGACTCAAACAAGTATTTGGGGGGGGGGGGGAGTTTAAAAAAACATAGTCTGTAGGAACATATAAATGCTTCCAAGTGGAAACACAAGTAACAAAGTGACCTGGCTTACAAAATAAAGTGGTATCGTCAGTAGAATCTAGAATGTGAAATACACTCAATTAATCTCAAGATTTACAAGGAGCATCACCACTCAAATAATTTTGTCACCCTATTTGTGCTCCCCAGATTCTTTTATTAGAAATTTTATGGTTAAGAAACATATCAAGTGTGGCCGTCATATTTGATTCCTCCCCCCCCCCCCCCACACAACACACACACACACACACGCACAAAAATTACCCAACAAAATAAATACACTAGCAACTTTCCATCATCAATTTCCATACAGGTTGTTTTCATAAAAACAGAGCCGATAAATTGTAGTTAGGGATTGACAAATCACTCGTATGCTATGCAATGACTTTCTCTATCAGTGTTTCCAACTATATGCATCCTCTAAAAACCACACTTAATACTATCGATTTATATGTGCAGACTATTAAATGATGCTGCATTACATAGGAAATCTTAAGCTCTGGCAGGGAATAATAATTTCTTAAACAGAGGATAGTGATCATTAGTACACAACTTGCATGACATAAATCATTTACTAGAGGAGGTTAATGGCCACAAAATCTGCAGTGATTCTATTAACTGCAATAAATATAATGGGCAATCAAGATCCCCAAAAAAGTAAGTATGGCAGGATCAGCCTTACCCCAATTTTCAATTTGGAATTATATTGAAGATGGAATCCATTGTCCAAACAATAATATGGAAAACTTACTTTAACCAAGGTCAGTCAGATTTTTCCTAAGCACTGCAGGGAATTTTCACTCATCTCAATACAAACCACATATCACTCTAGTGTCCTCCTCTCCCAAATGCCACTTTCCATTCTATCTAAAGTTAATCAACACCTAAAGTCACCCAATCCTCAAAATTCATAAAAATGAACTCTTTAATTCACAAAACTAATTTTAAGAAAATTAATATATTTGGATTAAAAAGTAACTTCTTTGATTAAATTTTTCATTAACTCGCAATAAAATCATAACCGAAAGCTTCTCTTGTTAGTACATTTATACTAGACATAATAGAGCAGAAACTTGGAACCTATGACCAGGTCAACTAGGTCATACAGCCTATACAGGCCATCAACATTGCATCAATTACATTAATGTAATAGATCATCAACCCATAAAAAAAGTTATAAATCTTATAATAAATAATATAGCAATATGCATAACAAGTACACTAATTTAAATATCACAAAGCCAAATTCAATTTATATCATGGAAAATTTTGAAAGTGAGATATGAAGCCTAAAAATCCTCCACTTGATATCTGGAAAAGAAAGTCTGTGATGTAGGGCTAAAATATTTTTTAAAAGTCAAGAATGAAGAATTTTCCACAATTTCTGCCTAAGATTTGTGATTCTATTCTACATACTTAGAGAATGGAAAATATCTTCTAACTTCTAAGAATATAAATTATTGATACATCAAAATAAAAAAATGGCTTATACAATACAGGTCTAAATTCTAAATGGTCCACAATAAGTTCAATCATATCTGTCTACGAGTAAAAGACTACATCAATTATTGTGCTTTCATCTATAATATTGTTTGAATGCTCTCAACTAACTATTCCTTTAAAGATCAAAACTTTCAATCATTGCGGCTCAGAGGAAAAAAAAAAGTAACAACGACGCAATTAACCTACATATAACACATGTATAGACGAAACATCCAAACATAAGAATTAGAGGCTTGAAAGAAAAGCTTAGATAGAGAGGTAAACAAGGTGTTAGAGTAGACAGTGATAACAAGGGAAAATGAAGGGGGAGTTCTAGACTTCTATGAACGTAAGGAAGAATATGCATATTATCAGGAAATTCTAGTTTTCTACCCCAGTTTCTTGCTTGCCTTCTACCTGTCACTGATTAAGACACTAATTTTCAATATCGACCATTTTCAGTCTGTTTAATGGTACACAACATCTACAACAGAAGCAGAGTGGGAAAGCTGAGGATGACGCCATTGACAGGGTCTAGAAAGGTGAAAAATGTATGCACATTGCCCTTAATTAGTTGAATTTAGCAGAGATGATGTTCTCAAAGTTCTTTTTTCTTTGGTTTGGTCATGTGTATTGCGCCTTGTGTAAAAGGTTAGCATTCTACCATAGCAAAAATTATATTACCTTCGTTAATTGTTATCTGCAACTTTCGGGTATTATTTTAGAGATATAAAACATTCTAAAGTAGTATTTTTTCTAAAAATTAGCTAATAAGTAATTCACTTGTTTAAATCGTTGTAATTCTCTAAAAAGCTACATTTTTTTTAGGTCACTACAAACAAAGTTTTCAGTAATTTAGTACTTCTTGTTCTCTTTATAACAGTCTCCAAATCTTGTTGCTAAAAAGATTCCTGCATTCACTAATGGTTTCTGGATTCGTCTTGCGGCCAGACCCAAGACCGACAAACAAAAACGAGGTTAATTTCTTGGTTGTCATTAATTCTTCTGTCATTCACCAATGAGTTTCTATTTTTTTTGTTACAGTAAATGCAGCAAAGTATACCAAGGAATAGCATAACTCTAACAAGTAGAATCAATACACTACTAAAACTTCAATGTTCCCTAAATTTCACAAACAATACTAAATTTCACGAATTTCAAATTCACGATTCCACAAAACAATAACAATAAAATCTGAATCAAATAAAATGAGACAATTGAATCAAATTGGAGAAGTAAATAGAATTAAAAAAAACCTAGCAATCAAATTGAATCGCAAGTATAAACCCTAATGACATCAAAAGAATGATGAGTTGAAGAAGATTAAGGTGAGGAGACATACTCCGCCCATAAATTTGTGGAGATTCTTGGAATTGTTGGCGAAAGCGTACATGAGAACAATAGGGACACTGACATAGACAGCGAATTTGCCTACCTCCAGAAGCCCCTTCCCTGCTCCAAGTGATGACATTTTTTATTTTCTTTGATCACAATTGGGAAAATTAAATCAACTTATCTTCGCATTACTAACTTTTTTTTCATTTTATTAAACTTAGATGAGTCCGCAAAGGAAACCGAAAATGATAGGCCTATAAGGCGATGCTCTTTTCACGTTATTTTTGCTGAACTTATTTTTCCCGAACTAATTACACGATAGTACTTTACTCTATGATACAGAGTATATTATGACAAATTATTGACAATATGATACATACCCTCAACTTTAAATATTTCGAGTACCTTTGATCTTTGAAGTTTCATGTGTCATTTTATTTTAGTTATAATTTTTACTCAATTTCAGCTAATGTTGTCAAACATTGCCTAAGGGCCTATTCTTATTAACTGAACTGAAGTGGGCTGAATTGAATTGAAAATAAGTTGAAGAGAACAGACCATAAATATATATTGTGCTAGTAATTATCAATTATTGTTAGGCTCGAAGTACAAACTATAATAGAATTAGCGTTGAGGCTTTATATTTTTTTTAAAAAAATAAAATAAAAAACTCTTTAATAATTTTAGCATTTTACAAGTTTTTTACTCTAAAATAATACGGATAACAACATATAATTATTAAAGCTTTAATATATTAACTGAGAGGCTCAATTGGACCACTATACGCATAAAATGAAAAAGATTTTATGTGCATAATTTTTTAATGAAAGCTTATTTTAATAAAAAAAAATTATAAATAAATAAATAAAATTGAATGTGCAAGTTTATTTTGACTAGAATCCAATGTTCGTAATTTTTTTTTTTTTAAATATGCATATTTTCATTTCTAAAAAAAATTAAAAATGCTACCAGCTCGAAAATCAAATTTTGCAGTTAAAAACCTATGCATATTGAATTAAATTTTTTTGCAATTTAATCTCAATTCTAACTAATCTCAAGTATAAACCTAACAAAAACTCTGTTGATAATTTGTTACATTAGGTTGTTTAAATCTCCTTAAGTTGGAGATTGAGAGTATTCCACTTATATTGATTAGAGCATGAATGATTTCATATGACATAGCCTGTGAGAATATATTTTTGTGTATATTCTCTAACAAGTTTAATAAATAAGTCACATTTTTGTTTTAAAAGTTGATGTTTAACAATTTTATCTATCTTCCTCAAGAATTATCTCCCATACATATCTCTTTCTTTATTTTGAAGATTTAAAGGAAGTTTCTCAAATTTTGTAATTTTGTGTAAAGAAATCATGTTAATTTAAATTGATAGGTTTTCTCAGTCATAACTTATTTTCTTTTGTTTGTAAAAAGTTAAAAATAAATAAATAAATAAGGGCTTGTTTGACATCATTTTTGGTTTTCAATTTTCTGTTTTTTTTTTTTAAACTAAAAACCAAAAACGGGAAACAAGAAAAAGGTGTTTCTACTTTTCAGTTTCCTGTTTAATCTCCACTACAGTCACTTTGGGGTGGAAATTTCCTCCCCCCCCCCCCAACTCCTAAGTGCCTAGCCCGCTAATCGGGCTGGAAGGACTTGTGAGAGGCTTCATTTAAAAAATAAAAAGTAAATAAAAAAAAAAAGCTCTATGATTGGGGAAGAAGAAAGTCTTGGTACATGACAATGTTTGTACCATGACATTTATGCTATTTTTTTTTCTTAGACTTATTCAATTATTCTTTCTCTCAACATACGTGCAAGTTATATTTTGATCAAATTTCAACTATTAATATTTCTAATATAATTCTTACTGTGCCAAAAAAAAAAAAAAAAAAAAAAAAAAAGAGAGTTATGGTAGATTACAAATATGCGATCTAATGAAATCAATCACTAAGCTAAACCGGATGAATTACATGTGTTCATGGTATACCAAATATATCATCTTTCCACTCTATGTGTGATCTACTACCTCTGATTTTTATTAGTTGCAACCTTGATATATTATTTGTGAGATATAAAATATTTCAAAGTTGCAACTAATAAAAATCGGAGGTAGTATTACTTTCTCTCTTTTGCACATATATTTTTAAGCCGAATGTATTAAATTGTTTTTCTTTGTTGTTTCCTACCAGAAATATTATGGAAGAAGAGGAAGATGCAAGTGATACAGATTGGAGTATAACTTATATTCAAAAGGAAGATGTTTTCAAGGATTTTTTTCATCTTTGGGATTTTTTTTCACCCTTTATTAGTCCAACAATGGAAAATTTATATAAAAAAATAAAAAATAAAAAATTAACATGTCCTAGTCATATTACTTCACCTTATGTATTAGGCCCTATTTTCTTCACCTTATTGTTGCGAAAAAAAACTATTGTTTTGTATATTAAATTTTTTCTACTAAAATTAAATTATTTTTGATAAACTTAAATTACTTTTACCATTAAAACTGTTTTTTTTAAATTGTTCATTTTATTAAAATTACCAATTTATACATAACTAATTTTTACTACTACCTTATTTTTGTTGAATTTAACTCATTTTGTATTGAAATTATTTTTATAAATAAAAATTATTATAAATGAATATTGTTTGAATAAGGTGAAAAATACATAGTATTACATCTAGTCATATAAAAATTAATTTAATTTCAGAAAAAAAATAATTTCACCAGCAAATTCAAAATATTGTGAAGAACTTCCTAAAAATAAATAAATAAATAAATAAATAAATATTGTGAAGAAAATAAAAGTTATACTTTTATCTAAAGCTTTTCTCTCTTGTGTAAAAAAAAAAAAAAAAAAAAAAAAAAAAAAAACCTCTCTCTTTCAACCCTTCACCGTCGACATTAAACAATTGACGTAGCAGGTATTGATGTTTTTCAACCATGAAACTTAGAATTGTCTGTAGTAGAAAAGTGTCTTCAAATATCCAACTTCAAAATATGCCAAATATATTATATATTAATATAATTAAATAAAATAAACCAACAGAAAAAACTACTCATGCTTCATATAAAATGGATTAAATATCCCAAAAAAATGGTTGAATTGCTGAATGGTAATTCCATCAACAGCCAAGAGACCATCATCCCTCTTCTGGGTTGCTCATTTCTTTGGGTAAAAGCGCCAATTTTTGCTCGATTTCTTCCAAACCCAGAAAAAAGGTTCGGATTTTTGCTTATTTTCTTCACTTTTCTGCAAATTTATTTGTATTTTGATCTGGGTATTTTGATTGGTATTGCTTTTTTGATAATCAAGTACTGCTCAATTGGGTGAACTGAGTTGCTTTCATTAAGTCAGATAACACCTTAAGTTTCCAGTAATTTTTTGATTAATAATTGGCTCCTTTGGTTTAATAGCATATATACTATAATATGCTTAGATGATGTTTGCTTCTATAAGAATGGCTTGTTTGTTTGATTTTTGCATTAATTTTGAGTATTTGAGATTGGTCCATTAACTAGTTTCTTGCACTTGGAGTTCACAAGCTAGAGTGTGTTTGACTCTTGGTCCATTGTTAATATTTGGGTTTAGTCTATTGAAATTTTGATAATATGTAGGTTGACTTGGTTCAATTGAGATATTTGTAATCCGAGGGAGGTGATCACGGGTATCTATTAGCACGAGCTCGACATAGAAAGAGGACAATGAGTGTTGTCCATTGGAAAGGTGGATGATTATAGATTCTTGAGTTACTCTAGGTTCACTTATGCTTTGCTTTATGGGTAGTTCAAGTTAGCTTATGGTTTACTGACAATGATCAATTGGATAGCTTCATGAGTGAGATTGGTCTTAGAAGATAAGGTGATAAAATGGTAGCTTATGGCAGGGAGACATGATTAGGCTCTTGCTTGTGAAGGCTATCGGTAAATCTTTCGTCTCTCATTTACTTGTGATTCTATGCCTTAAGTTTGCATAGTGCATTGATTTAATATGTTCTCTTATATTTCACCTTTCAATTAAGGTTCTCTTTGGTCGGTGGAAAGTATTTTCTTATGAAAATGTTTCATTGCAATCTTTCTTATTTTTAAGGTGAACTAGAGAATTTACATTCTTAATTGATTAGCAAAGACTTTTTCCTCTGGGATTATATAACAATATTTCAATTTTTAATCTAAGAGACTACATATTTTAACGACTTGAAAACATCGTGGTTTCCAATCATTAATACTTTCTCCTTTCTTTTTAGTTGCAACATGCCAACATTTGGGAATTTGCACTATTTTCTCATAAGACCACCTTTATTGATTTATATGTTTAGCAAAATATAGTCAGGTGGGATCTTGTTAGATTCGTCTTGATTTATAATTTTCACAATATCGCATTTATATACTTTTTACTTGTCTATAATTAGAGATATAAAGGGTTGAAATATTGCATTGGAAAACGTGAATGTCAAAACATTGCAATTAGAAGAGAACGGAGGAAGTACTAACAATGATAATATTAGTTGTTTGAGTGTTTATCTTGATGCTACGGAGAAGTGGAAGTAGAAAGCCTTAGATATTCGAGTAGGCAAACCTAAAACCACCCTAAACTTAAGGGAAAAAAAACACTTTATGTGGCAAAAAAATGCACATAATGAAGAGGCTGATTTATAAGACTCAATAAAGCCTAACCTTGTAAAATTGTTATACTACCTCCGGTTCGTATTATATGCAACTTTGGTGTATTATTTGTGAGATATAAAAAAATTCCAAAGTTGCATATAATACGAACCGGAGGTAGTACTAAAAATAAATTTATAATTGAATAATGGAAATGATGTAGGTTAGCATTTTTTTTATTATGGACCAGTCTAAGTTACAAAGTAAAAGATTCACATGTGACTCAGGTTGAGAAAGTTGCATCACTTATTTGGCCACATACTTGTATGAAATCAACAAATTTGAACAATATCTAATGTGTGGCTTGCGATTGATGTGATATTCATAGGTGTAAGAATATCCTCCTAAATTGCCATCCTTTATTAAAATTTACGTGAACTATGTAAAGGAATTTTTTTGAACATAATTGAAACATAGTGACATGAAGGTGAGTACTTTATTAGGTGAATCTGAAGAATGGTGAATTATGTTTTTTTTTTTGCATGTGTTCCAACATTTCAAGTACTGTTTGTTGAATACTTGAATGTATCAGTGAATTAACACCCATATGGCATATCCACAAGGGTAATTGCTTCCAAAGTTTTATATGTGTATGGATTATAAGGTTTTCAGACTGCATTTATTCATTGTACCTATGTTTAAATATTTTTCTATACTGTCAAATTGTCAATTACTTCTTTTCTGCTGTGAAGTAGTAAGCCAAATGCCTTTTGGGTTAAGAGTCTTATGCGAAAAATTCTGTATCTATGGTAAGGCTAGAGAGCCTATTTTACAATTTATTAGTGGTAGTGCTGTTTTTTTTTTACCCTTGCTTAACCTGTCCTAGGTAGTATCCTATTAGAAGAATTGCATCATGATATAGTATGTATGGTCCTCCTATACACGCACATTGCACAACCTCTTCATCTCTTTCTAATGCAATTGCCCTTTTTTAATTTTTCCTGTTGACCTTTTTTTGGTTTACGACATATGCTGTTCTTTGTTCATCATTATTTTTCAAATATACTGCATGCGTGACTTTTTTTTTTTTTTCTTTTTCTTTCTCATGGCAGGCATGCAAGTTCTGTTCAGATAATTAGTGATACTGCCCCACAATGATTGTTTCTGCGCTTCTGACGTCTGTTGGAATAAACTCCGCCCTCTGTATATTATTCTTTGCACTGTACTCTATCTTAAGAAAACAACCAGGGTATCTTTATGTATATGTGCCACGCTTATTGGCTGCAAAAGGGATTGAAAGGAATCGCCTTATCCGCCTGAAGCGGCTGTTACCTTCTCCTGGTTGGGTAAAAATAGCATGGAAACTTACTGAAGAAGAATTGTTGTCAACTACAGGCTTGGATGCTGTAGTTTTCATAAGGATCATCATCCTCTGGTAAATATAGTTGATGAAATTTTGGAACTTCAACTATTCCAGGGTGTTTGGATGAAGAAATGGGAAAGAAAAGAAGGGGAGGGAGGTGAAGGGGAGGGAAGAGAAGAAAGATGAGTTTTTCTTTCAAATCTCTCCATCGTTGGAGTGATCAATTTCTTACAATTTAATCCCTCCCTTTCTCTCCCTTCCAATTCCCTTCCTCTCTTATTTGTTATTCAAATGAAAGATAATCCATCCCTCTATTTCCCTTCGTTTCCTTCAATCCAAACATAGTGTTCAAGACATGTTTGGTGCCTAAAATAAATATTTCTGAATTCTCGCCTTCATTGACAGAAAGGGTGTCATTGAGAGTCTGTGACAATAGGAGTCAAAAACAAATTACTTAATCACCTTTTAATTCAAATTTTGTTGTAAAAAGGTATAATGTTATTACAATTTACCAGCCAGTATTACTGAGGTAGAACCTAAAAGGAACCACAGTGACTTTGAAATCTGTGATTACCTTTTTATCAGTACTATTTGTTAGTTTCACTGCAAGGTCCTCCATAATTAGCATCGGGGCTTAAATTTTTTAAAGGGGCATTGGTTTTGTCAGCAATGCATCTGAAAATAGGACCTTAAAGTAACAATCTACTTGTGGAATTTTTAATACACTATACACATTTGATTCTGGCTTCTCTCTTCATAGTTGATATACTAAGTGTCTGGTACAATTTTCTAAAATGAGGTGCCATAAACCCCCCTTTTTTCCCCTTGAGAATGTATTTTATTATTACTGTAATTCCTGTCAAGTTTATGTTGCAGTGGTCTGTTTACTGTGAGGGTTTATTTGAGATCAAGAGTTCCTTTGTTCTTACAATTATTGCATTTGTGCAGTTTGAAAATATTTACTTTCGCTGGGATTATAGGCCTCTTTATTCTTCTTCCAATCAATTGTTCTGGGACGCAGCTTGCAGCATTCGATATTACTGTCATCTCCAATGAAACCTTGGATTTATTTACCATTTCCAATGTTAACAATGGGTCTAAATGGTAAATGTATTAGCACATTCTATGGCTCTTCTTCACTTTCTGAAAAAATTATGCTCATTATAACACTCTTATTCTCCGTTATCTCAATCAAGTAGAGCTATTTACTTATGGAATGTGTTTTTGTGGAAGGTTGTGGGCTCACTGCTCTGCTGTATACTTGATGACTGGCTTTGTCTGTTATCTACTCTATCATGTAAGTATTATTTTATTTATATGTTAAAGTCATTATTAAATTTTCTTAAAATTATATATATATATATATATATATATATATATATATATATATATATATATATATATATATATATTCCATGCCCATGTGCCAGAAACTCCGCTGTGAATTTGGTACATCTTGAACTCCCAAGCCAGTCACAACTATATATAAATTAAATGTTTTTGTTGTTTGTGTCCACAATGCATCTCATGTTACTTTGTTTGAGGACATTGACAATTTACCTCAATGCAAATTTCAGCAGACTAATTAGAAAAATATATTTCTTGCTGTTGACTGCTTCTGAATGAAGTATTAATTATTTCTAGTCTTATATCACATCACTACGCTAGTCAAGTTGTCTGTTAAAGTTAAAGGCTTTCTGCAGGATTAGTACTTAAGCCAACTATCCCATTGATATGAAAATCATCTTGCCATCTTTCAGTGGCTACAAATTTTCTACTACCTCTGTTTCTTTTTATTTGCAACAAAAGGGTAATTTATGTGAGACATAAAAAATTCATTTGTTGCAAATAAAAGAAATGGAGGTAGTAGAACTTATCAACTAATGACAGTGGGCACTCACTCTCATTGTGTTCTATGATAAGGAAGTTTGCATAGTCGCATGCTTAAGAGTATGCAAAAGTCCAGTTAGCCAAGTACTGTGTTGAAAGTTTTTTGTTGACTTTAGAGGTTGACTTGAAATATAGCTTTGACATTTGTGCTGTTCTCTCTGCTAATTACTCTTTTTTACCCAAAGACTAGCGATCAACACTTGTCTGAATTTATGTCTTTTCTTTTGGACTGATCATGCTTCGGCATGTTAACCCTAGATATTGATTGGTGATACCAGAGGTAGTAATGTGAGGAAGTCTTTGCTAGATGCTGTGCTGATCATCTCAAATACCTATGCTTCTGCAGGAATATGATTACATTTGTTCGAAGAGGAATGCATACTTTTATGCATCCAAACCTCAGCCACATCAATTTACAATCTTAGTACGTGGGATCCCTGTTACTCCTGGGAGCAGCGTGAGTGAAAGTGTTAACAATTTCTTTAAGGATTATCATCCCACTACTTATTTGTCTCACGTGGTGATTCATCGGACAAATAAACTCTTCTATCTTATCGTAAGTTCTATTGCTTAATTTGAATATTAATTCTCATTTATTGTTGTATGTTTTCCGAGCCTAAGTCTGTAGTCCAAGTTCATCCTTTTTTTTTTTTTTTATTATTTCAAGAACTATGATGTCTACTTGATCACAAAGCAATGTATATTCCCCAGATGTGAACTTATCTTTTGTAATTAGCCAGTTAGTCGTGCTCAAGTTGTTCTCAATTTTCTTCTAGATTATAGGCAATGATGGGTTACCCTTTAATGGAGCATGCAAGTGTTAAAATTTTGAAGCCCAGGATAGTATGAAGCAACTAGCAAGCCATAACTTGTTCTATTTAAAAGATATGCTACTAGTACTGTTAGCCTATTAATCCCTTGTCCATTCAGAGATGCTAAACATCACAGATCTTAGTGATGGAACTACTATGAATCAAACGTGGTGTAGAATTATAGGTTTCATTTTTGTTTAGTTTATTGTTGTCAACTTGTCATACACGATTGTCTTGATTGAAATAAACAGGGCATGCGTTATTTTTTTAATGCTGTTGATAAATGTATTCATCTTATTCTTTATAGCAAATGGGATATTGCTTCTTTCTTATTTTGTTAATTTTAGATCATTAGCAAAGAAATTATGAGGTTTAGACACAAATTTATATTGCCACAACACTTTAAAAGTGTCGGACTCAGTATAAGTATCTGAGATGGATGTTAAATACTTTTGAATGTTTTCACATTATAACTTGAGGACAAACCAAAATATGCCCATATCCATTGAGGTGCTGAGTACATGTCAGACACAGGTATTACAAGAGTTTCAGAGAATCGGAGAAATAGAGGCATGAATCTGGTAGTTTCTGAATACCAGTGTGCTCTGATTTTTGTATTATTATTATTATTATTTTTTTTATATTATTGTTATTGTTATTGTTATTGATGACCTTGTTATGCTTGAGAAATTGTTATGTTGCTTGAGAAATTGTTATGTTGCTTGAAAATGGGCATTAAGTTCCTATTTTGCAGCATGTAGGATATCTTTTGAATGATTTTCCTACGCTTTTACATGCATTTAGAAATTACATATTGTTTAGTAGATCTTCAATAATTCTTTTGTTATGCTTGGCTAACTAATAACTTATTATGTTGGAAGTCTAGGACATTGGATTGCTTTTAATTTTATCCTACAAGTAGCTTGCAGTTTAAGCTTTTTTTCCCTGCTGATTTTGAATACAATGAAATTGAATATTTAAAATAATTCATCTGCTGAGGTTCTCCTTTTCCATCTTTCACTCTTACATATACGGATTGATACAGTGAATATCATTTGAGTTGCACTGATTTATTGCATTTAGATGTGCTTGTCCGTTTCTTATTAAGGCAATTGATCTTTTAAGCTTTATATATCGAGTCTATTCTGTATTCTATTTTTGATTTTTGCCTGTATTTTTTCTCAGAATTTTGTGAAGAAAATGTATAGAAGACTAACACATAAACAATCAGAATCTGCCAAAGAATATTCCAGGCATAATGGTTCTTTTGGATTGCACAAATCTGATCGTGAGCAGAAGCTGGGGGATCTAGAAGAAAACCTGAGAGCAGAGCAGTCTGATGATGCATCTGGGCAAGTATGTCATGAAGGTTTACTTAGTTGTCTAACTGCTCAAATTATGTGTCATTTAGTATACGATTTAACATTGGTTCTGCCTCATACTGGTTCCTTTTTTGTTGTTGTTGTTGTTGAAGGTTGTGTTATGATTATCTTATGATCCTTACCTCTACATAATAATAGGCCCATTTAAGACAAAAGCCTAGAGGGATGCTTAATCTTACTTTTGTGATATGTCATTGTAACTGACTAACTTATTTATTATGCTATAAATCATTAAGTAGTGCTATATTCCTATTCTTATGCAGGCCAATAAGCTTTAGTGTTTGTTTGGAATTTTTTTCTAGATTTATCTTCTGCCAACTCACTATGTATATCCTGTAATGGACTTATCTAAGGAGGGGTAGTATGGATATTCTAGTAGTATATTAGTTTACTAGGTTAATAATCCTTAGTATAAATAGAGAGGGAGGGGAAAGAAATTAGTAGGCAGAAATTTATTAGGGAAATCTAGAGAGAGTTATGGCCTCAAGCCATTGTTAGAGAATTGTGAGCTAAACTCACTATTTGAGAGTAATAGCCTCAAGCTATTAACCCCTATCATTTGTAACCATTCCACCATTATCAATCAATAGTAAAGCTTTAATCTAAAACAGATTATATAGCTCAATCAAAGAATCAATCTCTCTATTTTCCTGTTATTTGCGTGAGTTAAGTTAGCAGTAAGCTTAGTTCATTACATATCCTAATGAGATTTGGATATGAATATGTTTTAGAATTAATTTTTTGGGTCCTAATGATTTGATGTGTCCACTAGGCAAGTTAAGGTTTAATTATGCACTAAAACCTCATGAACTTGAGGAAAGAGGAAAAGAAGTAACTAAAGCTTGTGTCCGAGTACTGCTCGAAGGCTTTACAAGGGAAAAATTGTATGAGTTTCAAAATTTCACCTTGGCTTCAAGATTATATAATATAGTTATTTTTTTATTTCTCATCAGTACAATTCATAACTTAGGTCTACAGATAAGTTATTGGACTTGTTAATGTAGCTCAAGTGTTCATATCTTGAAGCGGTAGCTATTCTTTAGTGTCCCTTTCATTTATGTAAAAGATGAATTGGAAAAATGAAAGCCCCGGAAGACGATTGCCTTTATATTTAAATAATATGTTAAGGTTTTAAGCATTAGATGCATTATCATCTTCCCTAGAAATTTAGATTCCCATTATGCACCTGTTCTTCTTTGTGAACAATTTTTGCAAAATTCTGCCACCTTTTCTTTTAGTGATAATTATGTGCATGTATATTATGCTGCTTAGGGCAGATCATTTTCCTGAATGAACTCCTAGTCACCCATGGTTTGGTTTTGGACACTCAGACTGAAAACATCCTGTGCATGCTACTAAGGGAGAGTTTTATTAGTTATGGAGAATGTGATCCTCCTCATCTTTCCCACATCAGATTTTGTGGAGTGGCCTACTTATTGCATCAAATTGCTTCCTTCTAGGCTTGTCAGGGTTGGTTTGCTTAAGACCAATAATTTTGACTTAACTCTCAATCTTTGGACCGTAAACTAAGTTTAAAGCATAGAATAATTCGTTGTCTGAGATGTGATGAGATATGATGGCCTTCATTCTCATAGATTTCCCGTGATTGTTAGCTCGAGGGAAGATCTTTGGGCCTAATGAAAATATAGGGACTAGAGTGACAAATCTTGCACGCTTAGCTCGAGGTAAGATCTTTGGCCTTGTGAAAATAATTAGACGTCTTTCTATCAGTGGGGACTAAGGACTCAAATAGATCCATAGACATGGGCCAACATGACATTTCGGACCATTTATTATTGTTTTCAAAACTGTGACATGTGGCTGGCATGAGCAATATCATTACCCTTTGACAGTGAATGCCTGCAGCAGATGACTTGTGCTTCTCCTTTAATTATGCATTGATTGTTAGCTTGGAAGATTTTTCTTTTTGAGATTTAAGTGAATGCCAGAGCTATAAGAAGAGGGGGGGGGGGGATTTATAATTTTTTTATTCCTCACTTTTGATCATGATGCTACTCCTTTTAAAAGTGAGAAAAAAGTGTCTGAAAGTCTCAGTTGGCAGGTTTTGGATGTTCTTATGCGAATGTAGGCACTCGACATCACTTTGGGTCATAAAGTGCTTGCTCCCCACCCCCACCCCCTCCTGTTTTTTTCTAGGTTGCCAACTATGCTAGTTATAATGCCCCAACTTGAACAGTTGAACTACCTGGAAACTTAAAGGTTTTTTTTCCCCTGGGCTTAGAAAAATAATCGGGTTTCACTAAGGGACGACGTTTAAGTGCTCTGTTTTTTGTCTATTCTTTAGCTCTAAGTTTCTAACAGCTGACAAGGGACCAGGTCACTGAAAAGCTAACAAACTACAAAACGATAGAATAAGCCCCTTTTACTCATTTCCCTAATATCTGCATGCAATATTTTTCAGTTGCTAAAAGATAGAAAAGAAAATTTCTGGCATCTCCACACAAGTTAATATTGACTATGTTCACTTGTGGTGTGTATTACACTAACCTAGGGAAAGAGCTCTTCTGTTATTGCTTTATTATTAGGTCAAATACACCTAGTTTCCATATTATTATCTAAAATCTACATCTTCTCTTAGCTGTTGTCTTCCAACATTAAGTCTGTGTCATAGTTTTGGTTGTCTGTGGTTGCTGACATATTTGTTTTCTACTTTTGACCGTGGTGAAGGAAGTACGTTCTGCTTTTGTATTCTTCAGATCAAGATTTGGTGCTGCAATTGCTTCACGTTTACAGCAATCTGAAAAACCTACAGAATGGGTTACGGAGCAAGCTCCTGAGCCAAATGATGTGTACTGGCCATTTTTCCAATCAACATTCTTGCATAGATGGATGTCTAGAGTGGTGATAATAATCACAAGCATACTTCTTACTGTACTATTTCTCATACCAGTTGTGCTTGTGCAAAGTCTTGCCAATCTGTCCCAACTGGAGGTCTGGTTTCCCTTCCTGAAAGACTTTTTGACTGCGTAAGTGGTTATGCCATCTTGTGAGTTTCTGTGTTCATTGCTAAGTTTATCATGAATATATCTGAGTTCCATCTGCTTGTCATCAATATAATCAGGCCTTAAACTTGTTCCATCTGCAATAAAATTCTCCCAAATTGTGTCTGGTTGGTGAGGGAAGATGTGAGTGATGAACACCTGATACTCCATTATGAGAATGCTAGCTGTTCATTTCTAGCTCTGTTTCTGAACTTTTTTCTCAATATCCCTGTACTTTTCCCTTTTTATCTCTATATTCCGCTGATATAATTTGTTAAAGGCATATAGCAGGTTTGCAGGTCAGCCGCTTCATCCAGTAGAAAAAATTTAGTATATGGGTGACTACTTTGTCACACTTTGTGGCAGTTAGTCTTGTTGTCCTTCTTAGTTTATCATGCTTTCCAGAGACAGCCTTTTCAGAAGTTTTTGAGTGCTGTATCAATTCATCAGGAGTCCTAACTTTTCACTATAATATTAATCTTGGTTCCATTCACATTAGGTTTGGTCATACTTGTAGCAACACCGAAATATTTTAGTATGATCTTGTGCCTATTCAGAAGTTGTATTCTAGTGTTTTTGCGTATCTGAATGCTGTGAAACATGATTAAATAATTAGTGTGCTGATGTTTCTTCCTTAATTTCTCATATTGCAAGTCTAGTATCTTATCCAAATTACTAATATGTGCAAAATGTTTAGTAGTTTTTTGTCCATAATTGAAGCTACAATTAGTACAATATCATTAAATACGTTTTGTTTTCGCTCTTGCAGAAAAATGGTACGTCAAGTAGTTACAGGCTATCTTCCAAACCTTATTCTCCAAATATTTGTAAAACTGGTGCCTCCTGTCATGGAGTTCCTTTCATCAATTCAAGGACATATATCTTACAGTGAGATACAGAGAAGTGCAAGTGACAAATTCCTTTGGTTTATCGTATGGAACATCTTTTTTGCTAATGTGCTGTCTGGATCATTTTTCAACCTATTTGCTGTTCTCCTTGATCTCAAAAATATTCCTTCACATTTAGCAGTTTCTGTCCCAGCACAGGTAAGAGCTTTTACATTTATTTGTGAATATTCTGGCTGTTTTTAAATATTATTTTTCTGGCTATTCAATTGTGGTCCTTATCTTTCTACTTGGAATTGGCATAAAAAAATATTTTGTGATGTGGAATCTTATCAAACTCATTTTTGCCTTGTTACTCTCTTTTGTAAAGAATATTTTGTGACATGGAATGCTTATGTGTCGATCACCATGCTCTTTTTGGAGAGCAATGGCAGGATCTAGGATTTTGTTTAATGTGTAAGGGAAGGGAAAATTCTACAGGGCTGTCATAAGAGCATCACTGGTCTTATGGCAGTCTTGAAGGAAAAATTCTACTGGGCTGCCATAAGATCAATGTTGCTCTATGGTACCAAATGTGGGGCTTCTAAGGAACACATTAAAAAGATGGAGGTTACGGTAATGCGCATATTAAGGCGGATGTGTGGAAACACTCTAAGAGATAGAATCACAAGGTTATTCGCAAGAAAGTAGGTGTGGCAGCACAAACTAAGGGAAAATCGTTTGCGTTGCTTTGGGCATGTAAGACGAACACCCGAGGGTGGATCGGTACGAAGAGTGGGACCATGGAGGGGTTAAACGAGGGAGAGGGAGATCGAAAATGACTTGGTTGGAAGGAGTTAGGAAGGATATGAAGTACTCCCTCTGTCCCATAATATAGTTCTTGTTTGTGTGTTATCATGGTATTCAAGAAATAGGAGGAGAAAGTAAATGAAGTACATTAATAAAAGTGAAAAGTACAATTATAGACAAAAGTTAGAGAGTGAAAGTGGAAAAAAGTATAAAGCATGTGCAAAATTCAAGGGTAATTTAGGAAGTACAATAAATAAAGTTAAAAAAATGAGGGTATAATGGTCTTTACATATGATCCAACAATAGAAATAGGAACAAAATTTTGGGTCTCCAAAATAGGAAAACAGGAACTATATTATGGGACGGAAGGAGTATATGAATTTGCATGAGCATGAGGCATTGGATCGTAAGGATGGAGGAGGAAGATTTTTGTCAATGACTACACGGAATAATCACTTTGGTTCATGTAGCGGACCCCACTTATTGGATTAAGGCTTTGATTGGTTGATTGTAATATATACAACCTTCAGGGAATAGGACTATGAGACAATTTAGCTTTTATTTCCTGGTACTAGAATGAGTTTTGAGTCTTTTGACCTGATGGAATGTTGATGTAAGAGTTTTTAATAGATTACAAACTAATGCACAATAATAAAGTAATTCATCTTAACTTTGAGGATATTCATTTATGCCAGAAACCCCAAAGAAATTAGGAATAGAACACAACTCTAGTACAATTCTTACTTTTACAACCATATTATCAGCTTAAAATCACTTGAGGAAAACATGAACAAGTACAACTAATTCATTGCCAGAAAAAAACCAAGTGGCATGGCATAGACCCTAGTGACCTAGTAGCTCAAGAAGGACATTCATGCTGACGCCCTACACAGCTGTACTGAGCTGCATGCCTGCCCTTGTGTATCTTGGCAAACCCGGCCAATTTCTGGCAGATAGTCAGCATGCCCATACCAAAGTGTGTGGCTGCCGTTGCCAATGACTTCAACTTCTGATATAGATCCTCAACAGCTAAATCTTTAAACTTGCAGTTGATTCATCTCTAGTGTACTGAGTACTGACAAACCTTTTTTTTGGTGTGTGTGTGGGGAGGAGGTTGGGAGAGGCGGGCGGGGGGGGGGGGGGTGGGAATACATAGTATTATTCATTTCTGTTCCTCTGTTGATGCAAACTTGCCATCCAGCATGTTACTTTCTATGCGAGGGAGGTTTTGAGGCTCTTATTTCTTGTAATGAGTTATTGAATGTGGAAATTAGCAGAATTTCCTGAAGGTATCATTTTAAAACTCTCTACATTTTTGTTGGTATTTTCTGTAGGCATCTTTCTTCATTGCTTATGTCGTCACTTCGGGATGGACAAGCACAACAGCTGATCTCTTTCGAATTATTCAACTTATCCAAAGCTTATTTCAAAAGTGCTGCTGCTGTAACAGAACACATTCAAATGAATTTGATCTTCCATATATATATTATCACAGGGAGATCCCCAAGATTCTATTTTTTGGACTTTTGGGCATCACATACTTCTTCCTGGCTCCGCTCATTTTGCCTTTCTTGTTGGTCTACTTCCTCCTTGCATATGTAATTTTCAAAAATCAGGTAATCTCAGTGTCTTTATTTCTTAACCTCCTTAATTCCCATGCAAATTACTTATTCTGACACAATTCAATGTTAGATTTATGGTATGGAAAGCTGTCCTTTCTGTATTTTTTTTTTCTTTCACAATATTGAAGCTGATGATTGTGTTGCGGTTGCCAAAGTTGTGTGTTTGACTATTTTTAATCTGTATTGCACACTTTCTTAAAATAGGATAAGTTGAACTACCTCACAAGTCACAACATAGTCACTGCAGGTCCCCAAAATGGAAAATGAGACAAGATCATAGCAGTACTGTAGGTCTGAAGGGAAAGAAGGAGACCATGCCTATATGTGGAACTCACATTTGACAATTATTTTCATATAAATTACTTTTCTCTAATGCTTGGACATCAAGATGGCATGAATCCTGGTCGCAATGAGTGAGACCCCTGAAAATATGAATCCAGAATCCCAGCTTATCTATTTCTTAAAGTCCAAGTAACGCAGGGCGATCCCAGCTTATCTATTTCTTAAAGTCCAAGTAACAAAGGGCGAAGGCTGTATATGTTAACAAATCAAATTATTAGACATCCCATGGTTTTTTATTCCTATCAATTAAGACAAGCTATTAGATTTGTGTTCCTATTAAATCAAAACAAGCTATAAAAAAAAATTATTTTTCTGTTGCCCACATGCTTTGGTGTTTGTCACAATTGTGAAGCTTGGACTAATGCTCTATTTCTCTGTCCTTTTATCTTGCAGTTTATACATGTATATGCTCCAAAGTTTGAAACTGCTGGAAGATTTTGGCCTACCGTTCATAACTGCATGATCTTTTCACTGGTACTGATGCATGCTATTGCTCTGGGCATCTTTACAGTGAAGAAACTTTCATCCGCGTCGTCACTGATTTTCCCTCTTCCTGTACTTACGCTTCTGTTTAATGAGTATTGCCGGAAACGCTTCCTACCAAATTTTTCCATATATTCTGCTGAGGTATGCTCTTTCCTGCAACGTGCCTGTGGTCTTTTAAATATTCCTATGTAAATTAGCTTGTGATTTTCATTCTGAATGGAAATGGCTTCCCATAATCCCAGTTGTGATCTTGACAAAGTAGATGTGTTTCTGTCTTGAGAATTGATGTGCTCCTTTGCTAGTGAATATTATGAGCTTTATCATCCTCCAATATAGATGAGTAAAGAGACTGCACTCTCTCGTAATTTATGTTCTTTTTGTCGTACAGTAATTTCACGACCTTTACTTACAAAACCACTTTTGAGCATATAGTAGTTCCAATAAGATTAGTCATACTCTCAAGTTGTGAAATTGACTACCTATTTTCTGTTAGTTTCAATAAGTTTAGTCTTACTCTCAAGTTCTCAAACAATTTATGTATAATAAGTTATGATAAGTCCAAAAGATTGAAGAGAAACACCCTAAGATGCATAATCAGTACGCGCTACATATATATAAGTAATTTATGGCACAAAACATGCATGCAAATGAACCAACAAAAAATTATGCATTCATATGTATGTCTTTTGAAGCATGCATTTAATTAATATACCGTATTTGTAATATACTTAAATGCTTGCGTGATGCTCTTCAACATCCCTCAAGAGTCAAGACTCAAAGAGAACTTGGAGATGAGGTTGGTGCTCTCCTTTAATAGATACAGGGGCCTTGCTTATTTTCCAGTCGTACTATTGTTGTTTGATGGTCTCTTACTTGAGAAAAATTCATGTAGACCTTAATCAAAGCTGTGTTTTCTTATTCATAAATCACGAGATTAGTGACCTTATGTAACTTTCTTTGTCATCCTATGTTTATTTCTGTCAGACCTTGATAAAGAAGGACAGAGAAGATTTAAGTGATCCACAAATGCCGAGGTTCTTTACCGAGCTGATTACTGCCTATATGGACCCTGCATTATCTCCTTTGCAGTGCTCAAATTCTGATTGTCATAGTGTTCCTAGTTTCTCTGATATCTCCAATGATCATATAACTCCGCTCCTATCTCTTGATTAAGTACTCGTACAAAGTATGATTGTGTATTCGGCTTGCAAATTGTGTATTCATTCTTATCAGCCATCTCACAACAACGAATGGGTTTTCCTCCCAATCTTGGCCTTCTCCAGCAGAAAGGAGATGCTGCATTCTTATATATGTATGTATAAATATACCATTGCGTTTCTGCTTGTGTATAATATTTGCCCATGAAGCCAAGCTCGTGTGTGGAGGCGACGCTGCGTGCCTGCGTGAGCCGCTGAAACTTTGTTAGTGTAATCATTGTACAATTTTTTAGGATATGTTAGCTGATGATATAGAGAAAAACAAAATAAGAGCGCATTGTTGTACTTTACATTACCCATTTTTCAAATACAGAAAAAGTCGATCATATTGTTCATTAATTTGCTGCAAATTAAACAAACTATGTATTCTAGTTGTAAAGAAAGAATTGATCCATTTGGTTATGTAATACTTCGTATGTTTATGATGTACTTCTAAGTTTCTTTTTACTTGTGCTATTAAATTCTTGGTCAAGTTGAGCACATAAAATGACAACGTGGGAATACCTTTTCCTCTTGTGACTAACATTAAAACATGCTCGTATTTGTTAAGTACTTCTTATGTACTCCGTAGTAACTTAGTACAGAGTACTCCGTATATGTCTATTTATCTTATTTGTACACATCTTATTTAAACTTATCTGAAGTTAAACTTATTAAAACATATTGTTCTTTTAACTGAATTTATGTTACATTTAAAAGGTGGTCTGAGACTTCTCTTTCTTAACCTGATTTCCCTTTAACTAAAAATCATCAGAGAGATTTTATGTCAGATTCTATCACCTTTTGCTTGGCAGGTGAAAGTAAATAAGGTTTAGTAAATTGTTGCTCCTTTTCTACTGTATTTTCTTTTTTTACTGGAAAGTGGAAATAAAAGGCATTAATAACATTTACTTTGAGCTTTGAAAAGAGAAAACCACAGGATCTCCTGTAAAGAACCACAAGCTCAAAAATGAAGTCAAATGACATTTATTTAAAATAAACAAATTTGGCTAGTATAAAGGTTAATCTTAAAGAAGGCAAAATCTTGCATGATGTGACTTCTAAGAGATTAAAAAGTACTTCATATATTATTATTTTTTTATTAACCATTCATTTTTATTTTTACATTTACATTAAATATGTTTTCACGTTTCAATAATAAAAATAAAATATTATATGTTTTATGTTTCCGTTAAAAAAAATAATTTTTAATGTTACCTAAAACTTGAGAGGGTGAGGTATGATGATTTTGTAATCGGCAATCTTATTCACTTTCCTAAAGAAATCACGAAATCGTGATTCAAACAAATTATATTATGTCCTTAATAAAAGTGATTACAATATAATTTTTGAGCTTGTGCATTAATTTAATTAGGAAGTTACATACAATAAAATCACACATTCATCAGTGTTAAATGATTAGTATGTCCTAATGAAAACTATGAGTTATATAAAAGGAACATCTAAGATCCATTAGCTTGGAGTTGGGTTCATTGGAGACATGAATTTTGAGTTTCTAACCAATGCAGTCTAAATTCTAAAATATACTCAACCCAAACTCACTCATCCCAAATTCCCAATTACTTTGAAAAAAAAAATTAAAATTGAAAATCACATTAATATCAAGGATTTTGACTCTGTTTGTTTCATTTAATTTTGTCTGAAATCATTTTATTTCATCATAATTTGTATAAACTTGTTTTATTTTATTTTATTGTGATTGAATTTTTTTTTATTTTATATTATTTAAACTTATTTTATTTTATATACAATTATATAAATTTATTTTTTTAAAAAAAATAAAATACTCCGTAAAATAAGTTAGAAAAATAAATGAAACAAACAAACAAATATACCTTTGTTAATTAAAAAAAGACAATAAAAATTTTGTGGCCCAACCCATAGATTCTTAGTCAAATGTGTACTATACAAATGATATTGTCTTTTGACTACATTTTAATAACGGTTAATAGTATTTTTTTTTCTTAAAATATAAATAGCTAAGATTTTTGTTTAAAAAAGAAACAACCTCTTTTGACCTACCAACCTTTGATCAAGTGGATAAATGGCCCCCTCAAATATGGATGTTTATAAAAGATGATGCAAATTTGGGGCTGAAAATAAAGGTGTAAAGAACTATAAGATACATATAATATGGACATATGGACGATATAGTCATCTATCTTTGGGAAATTTATGCTGGCTAATTATTATATTTTGTATTAATCAACACTTTCTGCACTAAAAAGTTATTAAATTAACACTTTATGGAATTGTTGGTACTTAAATTTTTTTTTTTTTTTCAAATAAAAGAAAATGGTGTATAAAGTGAATAATCCATTTAATAATTATTACAACCATATTCTTGTCTCAGTAAATCTAGTTATTGATGAATGGTATATATAGTAGTGTATGTCTTGTTATCCAAACTATGACCTCATATTTTATGAGAATAGAACATTCTCATTCTTGATTAGACCTAGCTTTGGATATGAAATTTTCAATTTTCTAGTTCACAGCGTTTTCGACGCGATTAGTTTTGTGGTTGGCTGACACACACCATAACACTAAACAGGTAAATCCTAATCAAGTAATTCTTTATTAACCGAGTAACTCTTAATTGACCAAGTAACTCCTACATAAGTAACCACGACCACTCGGTATGGTTAGCCATAAAATTTATGTTTCCAGTTTCATTCATCCCTTTATTTCGTGATATGTTTAGCTTGTTAGAATATCTAAAGATTCTAAACTATGAAGTATCGTTGTTAATTTCAAGTATCAATATTTGACAAATACATTTGCTAGTGCAGAAGTTCGAGTGGTGATAATGAATATAAATTATATATAAAATGTTAATGTTCAAATTAAAATTGAGGCGATTCTAACAAGTAATTACATGACTTCGTTTATTTTTGTGTATAAAGTACAAATATTGGTCAAAGTAGTGTGTGTGAATCGTATAAGAGTCAACTTGAGACACTAAAAATAAATAAATAAATAAAACTATGCAGTAATGAACTCTTATTTTTTGTTCACTTTTATATCTCACATAGTGAGCTATGTTACAAATAAAGTCACATATTGCATGCTATTAATAATTTGTCATAGAAATAAATTGTTCTCAATAAATAAATAAATTTATGTATCTATTTCATGTGTCTATATCTTTGTTATGTTTAACACATATAGTAGGTCATTATTACAACCTCTGTAGATATGTTTAATGTATTGAAGACACTTCTTAGGCCCCATTCTTTTGGATTGAACTAATCTGAACTAATCTGGAAAAAAACTGAATTGATCTAAACTACGGAGTAAGTTGAATTGATACTACTACTTTTACTATATCACTTAAATTATTATTAATTTATTAATTCATCATTATCATCATCATAGCATACTATATTACTAATACATCATTACTAGTCTACTACTACTAATAATAATAATAATATTCCGTCCGTATTTAAATTAGATTGGATTGAATTAATCTTTAGTCAAGTGTTAAAATAAAAAATCCTTCAATAAAAAAGTTGAAGGATTGTTAAATTCTAGTGTATTAATAAAATATCTAGTCACAAGCTAACAAGTGGATGTTTCAAAATCCGACCATGAATATGTTAATCATGGTTATCCTAGATAATTTCAATAGATTCACAAATTTCTCTGTTGTATTACCCTTTTTCATGAATTTTATCAATTATTGGGTGTACAACACACATATTTACAAAACAATGATGTTCCTACTGTAAACAAAGTCCCTTCATAATTCACCAAGGTCACTTAATTTCTTTTATTTTTATTCTTCTTGGTAAATTAAAAGTACCTGCACCATTGTTACCCCATTCAATGTTTGCCTAATTTTAGTTATACTTTGTAGACTTGTAGTAGACACTAGACATTATATTGGTGTGATACTGATTTGTGCTTTTTAAGAGGTAAAATTTTTTATTCCTCCATCTTTTAAATATTATTGTACTCCATACTATTTCTCTTTCTAGTCGTTCTTTCAAATATTGTCTACTTTGTGTTACTCCGTTTGCTTAATTGTTTTATGTATACTTTTTGCACTAACTATATATTCTATTCGTTTATCAATAATTGACACAATATATTTGACTTTTTTAAAAAAAAAAATTGACCATTTTTTATTCCTATTATATAAAATAAAATGTGAGTAAAACTTTATATTCTAATAATGTGCATTAAGATCAATCCAACAACATACCTATTGACATTCTATTTTATATAAGACGGAGTAGCCTAAAAAAAAGACGGACAAAGTTAAGAAAAAAATTAAATCAAGTATATCAATTATTTAGGAACGAAGAGAGTAAAATACAAAAACGGAGGCAAAAGAAGGAAAAAAAAATGCAGGAAGGGCAACAAAAACAGTGCTACAGAATAAATCAGCACATTCCAATACAAACCAAATAGCATACCTCCACAAATAAGGGCACATTGACCTATTTTCTCCCCTTTTCAAGGTTTACCTCATATTCTCCCTCTTTTCTTTTCCTCTTTCCCCCACACTCTCATCATATTCACTTTCAACATTAGACACAAAGAACTTCACTTCCCTTAAACTCCAAAGACCAGTCACTTTCTCTCTCTCTCTCTCTCTCTCTTCAATAACTTCAGTTTCACAGTTCATAAAAACACCCTTTTTTTTATTTATAAAAAACCCATCTTTTTTTTTTCCACAATAAAATCTTTAAACTCAATATTTTTTTTTTCTTTCAAATTGGTTATGGAAGAAACAAAAAATTCCAACCAAACAACAAGTTTAACTCCTCAAAACAGAAGAAGAAACACCCATCATCATCATCATCATAATAATAATCATCAATATCATAATCATCATGCCATTGTTAATCCTTATTATAATAATAACTATAATTATTATAATAATAATCTGTTACATTTGCACCATTTTAACACTTATAACAGATTAATTGGGTTTTTTGATCAAAACTTTCAGCAACAACAACAACAACAGCAGCAACATCAACTTCAGCAACAGCAGCAGCAGCAGAATTATAAAGGTCTCCTTCCTTTACCCCCAATATTACCATTTCAACAAAACCACAAATTTAGGCCTAAAACCCATTTTCCTAAACCTTCTGTTAAACCCCATAAATCTGCTACTTCCTCTCATAATCATTCATTAATCCCACCTTCACCTCTTTCACAAGGTAAACAAATTTTTTTGCTTTGATTTTTATTTATTTTGTTATTGTTATTATTAATACTACTTGTATTATTTTATGCAATGGAAAAAAGATGCATTACTTTTTGAAGATATTTAAATGATTGTATATGGATATGGCGGAAATGTCACTCTTTCCTCATTTTCTTTTTGTGGGGTTATTGTTTGAAAAAAGAATGTTATTCAGTTCGTATATATAATTAATTGTGACGTTGATAGTGTAATTTCCGCGACAATATAATTTTTAGACAAAGAGAGTGCCTTTGAATGGATTAGTCTTGTATTGTTTATCTTATATTGCTTTATTTTTCATTAATGAGTGTTTTAAGTCATAGTGTTTATTTTAGCAAAAGCTAATAATGTAAATGGGTTAACAAAACAGCTGATGAACAACTGGGGCAGCAACTTAATTCACTTAAGATTAAGAAGAAGTGTAATGTTGTTGAAACTACAACACAAGCATTAGTAGCTGCAAAGAGACCAGACAATGGTGGAGTGGAAGGACAAGTTATATCTCTTCTTGCTAACCATTTTCGTGTTAAATTCGACTCGTGCCAACAGATTTTTCATTACAATGTTGAAATATGTCCTAATCCTCCTAAGGAAGTAGCTCGCGCTATTAAGAAGAAACTTGTTGAAGATAATCCAGGTGTGCTTTGTGAGGCATCTCCTGCTTTTGATGGTAGAAAGAATTTGTATAGTCCTGTTGAGTTTCGAAGCAATAGGCTCGAGTTCTTTGTTAATCTCCCTGTTGTTGTTAATAGTAAGTCGTGTTTAGAAGGCAATACTAAGGAAGGAGTTGAGCAAAAGGTTAAGTTGTTTAGAGTCAACATTAATCTTGTTTCTAAATTAGATGGAAATGACTTGAAGAAATACTTGAGCAATGAGGGAGATAATTGGGTGCCACTTCCTCAGGAGTATCTTCATGCTTTGGATGTTGTATTGAGGGAATGTCCGAATGAGAAATGTATCGGTTTAGGAAGATCAATGTATTCGGTTTCAATGGGAGGGAGTAGGGACATTGGAGGAGGAGCTGTTGGATTAAGAGGGTTTTTCCAAAGTCTTAGGCCAACCCAACAAGGACTTGCTTTGAATGTAGATCTTTCAGTGACTGCGTTTCATGAGAGTATAGGAGTCTTAGAGTTTTTGCAAAAACGGCTTAAGTTTTTGCACGATTTACCTGAGAGGAAGGAGAGGAGTTTGACAACAAAGGAGAGGAAGGAAGTTGAGAAGGAGTTGAAGAACTTGAGAGTCTTTGTTTCTCATAGAGATGCTGTTCAGAAATATCGGTTTCATAGCTTGACTGAAGAAGTTACTGAAAAGCTCTGGTTTGAAGACCGAGATGGCAGTAGATTGAAGCTTGTAGAGTACTTTAAGGATCATTATGAGTATGATATTCAATACAGGAATCTCCCTTGTTTACAGATCAGTAGGAGGAAGCCATGCTACCTTCCGATGGAGCTTTGCATGATTTGTGAGGGGCAAAAGTTTCTCGGTAAGCTCTCAGATGATCAAACTGTTAAAATAATGAAGATGGGAAGTCAAAAACCAAGAGAACGAAGAGCTATTATCAATGGAGTGGTCAATGGACCGGTTGGACCAAGAAGGTAATACTTATTAAGTCGTCATCAGTTGAAGGTGTTGTAGCTAATCTCCAATTTCCTTTCACAAGCTATGTATGATGACATTCTGTTGTTTGTTGTCCCTTGTAGTGGTGGCAAAGCAGAAGAATTTAATCTACAAATCTCGAAAGAAATGACAAGATTGAATGGTAGAGTCCTTAGGCCTCCAAAGTTGAAGCTCGGAAATGGAGGATTAGTAAGTGATGTACTTCCTTCTTGCATTGATCGTCAATGGAGCCTTTTGGGCGGGCATGTAGTTGAAGGGACACGAATTGATAGGTGGGCGTTGATGAGCTTTGGCGGAACCCCTGATCAGAAATCTTATGTCCCTAAATTTATAAGCCAGTTATGCTTGAAGTGTGAGCAAATGGGCATTCTCCTTAACAGATCCACTGCCATCACCCCACAATTCGAGCCCATCCATGTCCTAAACAATGTCACTCTCTTAGAAAGCAAACTAAGCAAAATCCAAAGGGCAACATCAAACAATCTCCAGCTCCTTCTGTGCTTAATGGAGAAAAAACATAAAGGGTATGCAGATTTAAAAAGGATTGCTGAAACCCGAGTTGGAGTTGTAAGCCAATGTTGCTTATACTCAAACCTTGGTAAATTGAATTCCCAATTCTTGACAAACATGGCTCTAAAGATCAATGCCAAAGTTGGTGGATCCACTGTTGCACTGTTCAACTCATTGCCCTCTCAAATCCCTCGGCTTCTTACACAAGACGAGCCAATAATCTTTATGGGAGCCGATGTCACTCATCCTCACCCTCTTGATGACTGTAGTCCTAGTGTTGTAGCTGTTGTTGGAAGCACAAACTGGCCTTCAGCAAACAGGTATGTGTCAAGAATGAGGTCGCAAACACACCGCCAAGAGATCATTGAAGACCTTGGAGAAATGGTAAGTGAAATACTTGTTGAATTTCGACAAGAGGTGAAGAGTCTTCCTAGAAGAATAATATTCTTTCGAGATGGAGTTAGTGAGACTCAGTTCTATAAAGTCCTAAAAGAGGAATTGCAATCAATAAGAGCGGGATGTGATAAATTCCCTGATTATAAACCATTAATCACGTTTGCAGTGGTACAGAAGCGGCACCATACAAGACTATTCCCTGATGAAAGTGATCCAAATTGTTTACATTTCTGTGATGAAAATGTCCCTCCTGGGACTGTCGTAGACTCAGTGATCACTCACCCGAGGGAATTCGACTTCTATCTATGCAGTCATTGGGGAGCAAAGGGAACAAGCCGGCCAGCACACTACCATGTTCTGTGGGATGAAAGCAAGTTCACTTCTGATGAGTTTCAGAAGTTGGTTTATAGCTTATGCTTCACATTCGTAAGGTGTACAAAACCAATATCTATTGTACCCCCGGCTTATTATGCTCATCTTGCTGCGTACAGGGGCAGATTGTACCTTGAAAGGTCTGAATCTATGGGTTCTATTAAGGGTGTAGCTTCTACAATGTCTCGGGTTGGTCCTCCAAAGGCAACTCCTCTACCCAAGATTAGCGAAAATGTAAAGAGGTCTATGTTCTATTGCTGACTAAGTTCTTGATGTTTCTATGTGATGAAATTAACATGAGCTAGTTTAGCTTGTAGATTATGGATAACAGCCAAATAGATTAGTGTGTGCCGTGCTGATTTAGCTCAGTATCTTAGTGAAAGTCATTTGTATCAATCTATGTAAACATATTATAATCTATCATGGCTTGCTAATGGGTATGCTTGTAAGCTGTAAGGGACATTGTATATAAACATAAAAACATCATTTCAAGGAACTCGTCTTTTTTTTGTATTTGTATGTAATATTCCGCAATGCTTAATATTTGTACGATAAAATGGTATCCTAAATCTTGAATGCTACTAATACTTCATCAACTAAGATATTAGCAAGGGAATATGGATTCATGTACTTCATTTATAAGTTTGTACCACTAGGGTTGTCTCAAATGCGGTTTTTAATCATTTTAAAAGTTGGTTAAAGGAAAGAATGTAAGGTCTTGTATTTGTTATGTTACTAGTTTTACCTCTTGCTATCCTACACAAAAGGTATGGCTGTATGAGAAAGTTAGGGTCTGTTCTGATTTACTGAAGTGAGCTAAACTGAATTATTTATTGAGAAGAAAAAAAATAGGAACTGAACTGAAATTAAGCTCAAGAGAACAGACCCTTGAGACAATCCAAAAAGGAAAACGGTGCAAAACTAGAGAGAACGATAATGTACATGTATAGTTTATCGTGGTTTTTTTAAAGTAGGTGTAGAATGGAGTTATTGATGGAGTTACCACGTAAAGCAGAAGGCTAACAATTGTATGGAAAAGTGTAAAGACTACTAGGACTAGGAGTACAAACTAGGAATTAATAAGGCAGTAAAAAGCTAATAATCTATTACAGGTTTTAAAAATGTGTAAATATCTGTGAATTTCTTGAGTTGTCAAATTGCGTAAAATGTAAAATGTGTAGTACTTGTAGACTAGTAGTACTTGGTAAAACCTTTAGGCTTCCCCACATAAATGCTGTAGTTCTAAAATCTGCAAGTAACAACAAATATTGTTTGCAGAATTGAATAGAAAAGACACTGCCAAATTCATTCTGTAATTTGTATGCCCACTGTCCCTATTCCAATTTTGTTTTGCCCTTGTGTTCTCTTTTTTTTTTTTTTTTTTTTTTTTTTTTTAACTTTAATACAACAAAATTTATAAAAAGTTAATAGTTGTACTTTAACAATTTTAATATCCTAAGTGGAGTATTTTAGTAAAAATTAATATTAATGACAATACTCCACATGTTTTAAGAAAAATCTACTCCGTATCTCTTTTCCTATGACTATAAATAAAAAAAGATGATCAAAGATTCATGTATGAATACTACTGTATAAAATTTCAAACGTTGCGATTATAAAAAAAACAGAGAAAGTACAAATAATCAACATTCATGTTATAGGTGCAAGTTAATAATCTTTTGAAATCGACAATCAAATGATATTTGACTTTAGTTATGTAGAAAGGAAAAACAAACCTAATCCTTTCTTAGTTTTTTCTTTAAGAGAAAATAACTATACTCCATCCTTCATCTCTTTCAAAAGAGTTTCTTAGTTTGTTTTTCTCATTGTCACTAATTTGCTTTACTTTAAAATTGGTAGAAAAATTACTCTATAGTCCATTGATGACTTCATTACATTTCTATGTAATTTGTGTACCCACTCAACCTAAAACAATACGGGTGAGAAATCCTATTATTTTAGGGTCCGGAGGAAGAGAGTTTGGTTCACAAACAAGGGTTAGGAGTTTTCATACTAAAACCAATTGGCAATAGTAGGAGTAACTCCTCTACCTTATAAAGTGGAACCACCTCTCCTCTTTCTCCAATGTGGGACACTCACAAGTGGGCTACAATGAATTTCAACACCTATATGTGAGACTGTGAGAGCACAGTTTTCTATGCTCTTCTCACACAGGTGTGTGCCTAAATCAATTAAGGGTGTGTCAAAATCAATTTCCAACAATATTATACCTATACCGATTACCGACTTGACCATAGAAATGTAAGTAGCACGGACAGACTAGGCAGACAGTAAAATTGGGGAACGAGAGAAGGAAATGGAAAGCAATGTATGAGTATCAATTAAACTCTGTTTTAACCAAAAAAAAAAAAAAGAAACTCTTTGAAATGTCAATTTGCGTAGAAACCTATTTGTATTTACACCCTTTGGTTTATGTTCCCCACATAAATGGTGTACCAGTAGTTTAATTTGCATGCAGCAAATCTGCAAATAAGATCAAATAACTTTTCTGCAGCCTGAAAATGAAATGGCTTTGTCTACTTCTTTTAGGTCTTCTCTTGTGTAGACTTGTTGTTGTTGTGTCCCCACTTTTTCAATTATTTTCCTCTGTTTTCGTTACTATTCAACTCCTACTTTTACGCCTACTTCACCTATTTCATACTCCACTAAACAATTTTAAAATAGTATTTGAGCAAATACTAAGGGCTCCTAATTCTCTTAGTTCAGTTTAGCTCCTAATTCTCTTCTCTTATAAAATATTCATTTCAGTTTAGTTTAGTTCAACTCAGTTCAGTTCAGCTGAGTTCAGTCAATGAGAACAAGCCCTAAGAGTATGTTTATTTCTGTACCTAAACTCGTAATTTAGACTCTGCCATGTCACCTTTTCATTAACATTAATCCGATATTTTAATTATTATTAGACTCATATTAGATTCATTATCTATATACTACTATTTATTTTTCCAACAAAAAAAAAAAAATGAGCAGATGATTTGACAACTCCTTATTGGCCAACAAAAAAATCTGATTGTTTTCTGTGAATTTTGTTGAGTCTTAAACCATCATCTCAATTAGAAGTGTCAAAAACACACCCGACCCGATCCGAAATCGATTCGAAAAATATCCAATTCAGATTTGGACTCACGTGGACATAACAATTTTGTAAGACTAAACTTTAAAATTGACCTGACCCGACCATATCATACTCGATCCGATTATCCGAATTGACACCCCTACCTATAGTCTTGCACACTTTATTGTAAAAAAAACATAATCTTGTATGTGAGTCTTGAGTCAAGAGTCAAGACTCAACTCCAGACTCACCAATAAACTCACCCTAAGGGGTAGAAAAGACATGTTTTTCTTGTATTTTACTCCCTTTATTTTAACACTCCGTAAATACTTTACTTTGATTCACATATTTTATAATCAAAATGTATAATTTATAAATAGTTGATGTTTTTTTTTTATAAATATACATTAAGATGATTCTAATAAGTACTCAATAACTCTATTTAGAATATATTAATACGACTTTTCACCACTAAATGAAGCGACACCCCCACACCATACTCGAGATACTCCTCTTAACCGGACATACAACCACCAGGGTCCTCGCCAACTGTCGATATCATAAAGAACTACTCCGTACACCCTTATGCTAGTCCAGTAGTCCTCATGTACCCCACGCGTGCCAATAAAAGTATGAACCATGTTTTTTGAAACGTTCTTCAAAGAATGCAATCTATCGTATGTAGCTGGTACAAAACTACAAATCAAGAGACAAGGGATAGTAAGTTGAAGTATTACTACATATAGAGGCTAAATTAGTCTCACTTTTGAAGATTTCTAAACCAATGAATCCATTTATCTATTAAAGTGTAAATGTTGATTTGCTAACTGGATTAAGGGTCTGTTCACATTTACTGAACTGAGCTGAACTGAACTGATTGGAGCTGAACTGAACTGAACTAAGCTGAAATGAATATTTTATGAGACAGGGAAATTAAGAGCTGAACTGAACTGAACTGAACTGATTGAAGCTGAACTGAATTGAACTAAACTGAACTGAACTGATTGAAGATGAACTGAACTGAAGTAAATGTGAACAGGCCCTAAGAATGGTTGAAATTTGACATCAATTCAAGTAACATCAAGTATAAATGTATAACTGTACTGATACTCTCCTAATTGTAACCATCGCCTTACCTATGAATAAGAGTGCCATCACCTTAGTCCTTTTAGTCCTTACCAAGTGATCTTAGTGACAGCAATAGAAAATCATCAAGGAAATTTGACATTGATGAACACGTTTACAAATTAGCGAAAATAAATTGTTAGCTGCTCCATTTTTTCTTCACAATTTCACATTATCAATCTGCTTATGGTATACCTTGTGATGATACTCGGTCACCTTGGACAAAATTTTATCGAATTGTTAAACCCACAGGAGCCACGGCCTTGAAAAGTGTTGTACATCTGAATTTGTGAGTATTAAAATGCCAAAATCTGAAATTTAAAATTGAGTTCACAAAGTATTGAAGTAAAGTTAAATTATTGGACTAATTTCGCCTTAAGTATTCATTGCTAAACCCACAGGAGCCACGGCCTTCAAATCATGTAATCTTTTTACAAAATAGCCGAGTTGGATGCTTTGTGTCAGACATGGGTATCCAAATGCATGTAGCATAGATGTTAAATTTGATAGCTCTTGAATTGTTTCGTACGGATACTATGATAAAGCATACTTACCAACCATTGTTGAAAGGGTAAAAAGGATAATTTTCATGCCCCAAAAGATAGAATTTAGAAGAAAAAAAAAATAACCGGACGTTTGGTTGGAAGGATGGAAATAAGAAGGATAAGAAGGGAGAATAAAGATAGGGGATTGATAGGTGGGACAAGGATAAATAATTTTTATCCCATGTTTGGTAAGTAGGGGAAAGAAATTAGGGATAAGTAATAAATTTATAAAAATACCCTTGCTAACTTCTACCCTTCTCCTTACTTTTTCAATTTCATTAAAGGTAATTTAGTCTTTTAAAACCCATTTTAATCCCTTCCTCTTATACCACCCCCCTTAGTTATAGAAATGGAGGGATAAGTGGGTGATTTAATTCCTATCCCTAACCTCCTTATAATCCCCATCCCTCTAAACAAAGTTACAAACACTACATTCCTTCCATCCCTATTTTTTATCCTTGTCCCACCCCTTTTATCCCCCTAAACAAACATCCTCTAAAAGACAGATAATATAAATTTTTGACCCTAATAAGGTAAGAGATTCTTCTCAAGTTAGTTATTCAAGTTATTTTCACCTACATCATGAGAATATATGGTACCTCTAGGGAGAAGGGTGATTTGAATGTGGTGAGGGATCTTAATGTTTAGGAAAAAATGCATGGAGTGGGATCTGGAGCTCATTTACAGACACCGTTAATGAGTATGATATGAATTGTGTCCTTTCAATACCTCTTAGCGCTCATGGATGGACAATACTCGGTCAAAACGATCTGTGTGTTAAGCAAAACTTGTAATCTAGACGATTTTCACAACGGTTGGGTTTAACTTTATTTAGAATTTTGAAGTAACTATGTAGGTTTGTCAATTTTTGTGGAGAATATCCACGAAAACACTTCCAATTTGCGCGTATTTGAAGTATCGTCATATACGGAGATCGAGGAACCAAAATATCTAAGCATACTTTTCATATGGAACATTTTCGTGTAATATTGAATGGAAAGCATGGGATTTACTGGGTTATATTTTTATTTTAGCGATCTATTTATTAAGGCCTTAAATATCTATTAACTATTTCTAAAATAGAAGTTGCTTCCAACCTAAATGCAATGATGATGTCACTTTTTTTTTAGTTATCATATTTAACATTTTTGAAATTTCAATATTGGAAGCTTCTACATTACAATTAAAATCAATCAATTTATTGTTGCAAATTGAATTTTTTTTTTATTAGCACACTAATAAATAACCTCCTACATTGAACTATAAATTAGACAAAGTTGAACAGATACTATATAATAATTTTGATTAAAATAAAAAAATTTAAAATTACAAAATATATGTAATTCTTATTTATTTTGATGTATAATAGCGATTTATTTTTAAAGTATACAAATTTAAAATAGGCTTTATATAAACCGTACATCGCACGAGTTCTAACCTACTTTACCAACATATGTGTACATAGGTTTTTAAAACTATTTTTTAACAAGATCCACCTAAACCATGTCAATATGCCACTCAATTAAACAATCAATATAAATAATCAAGATTAGTTATGTTATGGTAAATGTTTATTATGTTGTCAAATTAACTCTTGGTATCTACTCTTCATAGCTAGCCGTCGAGCCAATAGTCGTGAACCATACAACAATTATCCGAGCTACGAATCACCCAATTGATCATTTCCTACAGAAAACCTAGACTACGGGTCTATCCTCTTACGTTGAAATTCAGTTCAGTTCAGCTCCGAATTTCCCTCTCTTATAAAATATTCATTTCAATTCAGTTCAGTTTAACTGAGTTCAGTCAATGAGAACAAACAGAGACCTTGGTCAAGGGCCATGCATAAACAAATGCGCAAATGGCAATTCCTCCCGACACTTTGCTTACCCTCTCACTGGAAATCGCAAATTCGCAACACTTACAAAAACACGTGCTCTGTTCTTCTCTGTTTTTTTCGAACTATTACTGCAATTACAATAACAAAAAACTCCTTTTTCTTCAATCAATTCCAAACCTCAACTCACGTTTTGCACAAATTCCACCCTTCTTCCTCCCCATCAGCTCAATCTTCACGTTCTCAGTATTCTTGGTACTCTCGCTTTCCCATGAATTCTAGGGTTGTCTCTCATTTCCCAGATCTATGATTGTCTTAATTCTGTAAGCAATTCCTTTCTGTTTTAAGATCCGATTATTTAACATATTACTGTATCTGGGTTTGATTTTGTTTTATAGTTGTTAGTTTCTGTAATTAGTTTAAAAGGGGAGAAATGGAAGATTGTGATGGTAAAGTTAGGTTAGAGAGATTATCAATCGAAGGATCTAGAGATACCCAGATGGAAAATTCAGTTGATTTGGGTACCCAATTGAATTATCAGTTTCGTTCAATGAGTGTTTTACAGATTTTGAGGGAAACAGTGAGAATTCTGAGGTATAATTGTGGTGGATTTATGGGGATTGCAGCATTGTTAATTTGTCCTGTATCTGCTGTTCAGTTGTCAAATTTGTTAGTTGATCATACTATTGTGAGAAGATTGAGTATTAGATTGTTATTGATTGCTAAAGCTAGTGGTTTACCTCTCAGTCCTGTTGTTAAGCAATCATGTCAAAAGTTTGCTGACTTAGCTGTTTCAACTGCTGTGTGCTTCTTTTTGTATGTCACATTATCACTTGTATCAAAAGCGGCTGTTGTGTATTCGGTTGATTGTACTTACTCGAAGAAACAATTTGATGCCTCGAAGTTCTGTGTGATTGTTAGGAAGTTATGGAGGCGGGTTGTTGTGACTTATGTATGGGCTTGTATGATGATTGTTGGAGTTGTTACTTTGTTCATTGTTATTCTTGTTGCTGTTTGTAATGTGTTCTTGATATCTGGGTTTGTATCGGATTTAGTTGTCTACCCAGGCATGGTTGTTGGGCTTGTTTTCTCTGTGGTGTTTGCAAATGTTATAATTCTTTGCAATGTTGCGGTTGTGATCTCGGTCTTGGAGGATGCTTCTGGACCTCAGGCATTATTGAGGTCCTTTGTTCTGATTAGAGGTCAGACTCAAGTGGGTCTTCTTATGTATTTGGTGTCGACAATAGGGATGGCATTTGTACAAGGATTGTTTGAGCACAGGGTGAAGACTTTGAGCTATGGAGATGGGTCATCTAGAATATGGGAAGGGCCACTTTTGGTGATCATGTATTCCTTTGTAGTGCTTATTGACTACATGATGACTGCAGTTTTCTACTTTAGCTGCCGGTCATATAATTTGGAGGCTGCTAATGAAGAAGCTCAGTCACTTTTGGAAATGGCTACTTCAACCCCGAAGGCAAACCCTGTTGATAATGAGAATCAAGATAATTGAATGGTTCATTTTGACATAAGCTTCTTTTGAGATCCAAATGTAACCTATCTTGTGACCTAACCAAAAAGAAGGTGAAGTGAATTGAACTTCTGATAGTACATCTTGGGGAAAGGATGCTGTGACTCGTGTAGTAGAATGCCAGCGATGGTTTCGATTATTGAGTATACAAATTTTGAAAGCCTGGCTTTCTGCCTCGGAACTATGTGACCTGTGAACATAAAGGATGAGGTGCATTAGGAATGATTTCTGCTGAAAATCGGTAACTAATGTTTTTCTAGGTTTAAGTTATACATTTTATTATTTTACATTCTGGGTATTTGGTAACTAGAATGTAGCTTTCTCCCACGATCGATTTGGTATACATGTATGTTATATTTGTCTCCATTGATAATGCAATAAAATCTTAGTTATCCCTGAAATAATGTTATTCGATTTTCTACATATATAGTTTTATCTATGCTCAATTTTCTTGTTGCAAGCTTCCTAGTACCAGTTTTGTTTATTGTTGACTCAAATCTAACACTAAGGGAATATTAAGGTTGCTGATCTCTTTATCATAAGCAGATATACCTTCTTGATCCAGGATTCATGATGGTTTGTCTTATTATACTTGTTACCTTAGCATCTGATTGTTCTGTGCTTGATCTTGTGATGTAACGTAAATCATGAATGAGCCAGTATTTTTCTTCATACTCTCGCTGCTTCCTAAAATTTTGCAATTTTACATGGTAAACTTATTACAGAATTTAGGCGTCTTCTTGTGATGAATTGATAATGCTATGCACAATGGATTGACTATGCACATTGCACAAACAACTACAAAGCCAGCTTTGACAAAAATGATCTTATACTCCTATTGATTCAAAATGTTATTAAGGTATTAGTCTCCCAAGACTTATCTTGATAGAAGTCTCAATAATTTATCGGTTGATAGGCTTACAATTGTAACTAGTAATAATTTTTATGCTGATAGACTTATGTTGATGGACTTATATTGATAGTAGTCTCCAATGTTTTCTGGTCGACAGGCCTGTAGTACTAACTTGCAGCGATAGGTCCAATATTGCTTTGGTCTCTGCCTCCTGCAGAAGACAGGTAATTTTTCCGAGAGGAAGTTAACTTCTTGTTTGAAAAGTTACTGTATGCAATATCCATTATCATCTACATCGGCTTCTGCATGCCAGAGGAAAATTATGTTCAATCCTAGCAGAGTTTTGCCTTAAGCAGACAAAGTACGAGTTAGAAATTCTCTTACTTTTGTTCCTTGCCCCTATGTCACAGATGAGGTTAGTACTTGTTCAAGTTCTTTGCTGTCTGCATCTTTTTTCTAATTATTGACTGGAGCATTATATATATATATATATATATATATATATATATATGGGGGTTGTTAGGTTGGCTAAGTAGTACATTTTACCGTATATGTAAACTATCTATTGGGAAGTAGGAAATCTTTGAGTTTGGCTGATAAAATGGGAATCACAGGAAGTGCAACATTTTGGGAAATCTTACTTAGTGTAAGTTGCTTACGTAGTTCCAAGTAAAGTGGGATATCCCACATCAACTTGAAAATGATAAATGCTCATGCAGTCATACTAGTGAGAGGAAAAAAAAAGGACAGAGGTTAATAATGGGAAACTATGGCTAATATGGTTTGGTTGTTGCTGTAATTTCATGAATAAATGCTGTTGGTTTGGGTTGCTTTGAAGATGTTGTGGTGTTAAAAAAGGGTTTAAAGGGTAATTTAAAATAATGGTAGTCCTGTTGAGGTTATAGTCTTAGTGGGGGGAAAAAGAAGATTGAATTTGTTCTATATCCAAATTCTTGGTCTAAACATAATCTTGCCATCTTTATGGCAGCGATTGTGTCTAGAAAATTAGTCCAATGTTCTGCTATAGTGATTCATATCTGTGAACAGAAAGGTTTAACGTCAAAGGAAAAGGGAAGAGGGACATCCTTTATTTTAATTGAAGGGGAAGGAGGAGATGAAAATTGATACGTAGTAAACTTTGTTAATAATGTTGACAGTTTAGCTTACAGTGATGAAGTCAAAAGTTGAAACTAATGCTCGAACAATTTATAATATACCATATAATCTATGAAAAAGCTAAATGTATAGGTATACTGTTAACGAAAAAGGCCCCGCTTCAAGCCTAGGGTCGGGGCAAACCACTTATACGCATATTCTTAGGTGCATAGTCATGCATGTAGAAATAGGTGTAACAGTTTAAAGCGCATGAAATTCTTTTTGAAACGCAGTCCACTCATATTTTCTTCTCTAACGTTTCTTCCCGCCTAAGTTTTTTGGTTTCCTTTTTCCCGATTCTCTCTCTTCTCCTATCTTTCCTAATTCTCATCAAAGTTTTCCATTAAAATTTTCATTACTATATTTTCTTCTATGTTTTTTTGGACAAATTATACTATGATTTTTCTCCTTCCTTCTTTAATTCCTTTTTTTTTCGTTTTTTTCGATTTTACGATTGAATCTGTACCTTACAATATGGAATTGGTTGTTTATCTGATTTTTTGAATTTATATGAATTGAATTTTTTTAGCTTCGATCAATTTCATCTGTGTATGAATTTCATTTGATTTTTCTGCATTTTTTTTATCAATGAACATAATTATGCGAAATATGAACATATGCATAGGTTCCCTTAAATATGGATATTACCTTTTCAGAAAGTGAATATAGGCATAAAAAATATGAACATTTGTATTTCAGAAAGTAAACATAACAATTCAAAATATGAACGTAAGCATTTGTTTCCTTAAAGTGAATATAAGCATTTAAAAGGTGAATATATGCGTAAATAATATAAACATATGTATTTAAGAAAGAGAACATACGCATAAACAGATTTAATGAGAATATTTCATGAACAACAAATATTTACTATGAATATTTACATCATGAACGTATAAAATATTATTATGAATATAAGGCATTTAATTATGAACATAAAAAATTGAAGAAATAAAAAATAATATGATGATGAAACATATGCACCATAAATATTAAATGTGACATATGCATTGGTTCGTTTTTGAATGCGTATGAACATAATTAAGCATTTAAGAAAGTGAACATATACATAAAAAATATGAACATATGGATTTAGAAAGTGAATATATGCATTTTAGAAAGATTACAAGGATTCAAAATATGAACATAACATCTAAGAAAGTGAACATATACTCATAAAAAATATGAACATATGTATTTCAGAAAGTGAACATAAGTATTCAAAATATGAACATAAGAATATTTCGAACAATAGAGTATCGAACAATATCCAAACAGGTTTCAAAAAAAAAAAAAAAACAATATCCAAACAAAATTAAGTGATAAACATATATATTCAAACAAAATGAAGTAAAATTTACATTAAATTGCCTTTTTTAGGGAGAATTTGTTTGATTTTTCATCTCATCTCAAATATTCATGGTTGTTTTGAAGAGAATGAATTGTGTTTGATTGTTAGAGGGAGAAAATCAAAGAGATGAATAATAAATTCCAGAAATTTAAATTTAAGAGTGACTTTTTTAAAAAAAAAAAAATAATAGCCGTTGAAAGTGATGGTTGAGTGGGCTGTAATTTAAACATATGTTCAATTTTTGGGTGGGCTCATTTTGGTTTGGGGCTTTTTTAATGGGGCACGTTTGAAATTGGGCTTGTGGGTTGGTGTTGCATCTAAAATAGGTGCACAAGGATGCATCTTAGACCTATTGCCACTTTTAGGCTGAATGCAAAACCCGCTAAAATCGGGATGATCCAGAGCATGCTATTATACTGATCCGGCACGTAGAATCAAGCCAAAGAATTCTGTCCAAACCTGGATGATTTCAAGCCTGGCCAATTTTGATATGATAAGTTTTTCGGTTAAACTAAGGACTCTAGCTGTTTTTATCCATAAAAGTATAAAACCCTAGATTTTGTGCTTAGCTTGGGATGGGGATGCTTTAGGCTTATCTTTGACAGGAGGTGCTAACTTGACTCGATATTGAATAATATTGTTATTAGGATTCTTTAGGCTTTAATCATACAAGTTGGTATTATGTTCTTACTAATTTTTATTGCAGTGAGTTTGTGTTGATTTGAAGTCCATTTACAAGATTTAAATGCATGCTGAACGTATTTTTTGTACGCATTTAAGATTGGTTTTTGGTTTATGGTTTATGAGCCGTTTAACAGTTTCCCATTAATCTGAAATCATCATGAAAACTACAAGTACTGATTATCATGTTCATATACCAGAAGACATAGTTCTCAAGATTCTACAAAAACTCCCCTCGAAATCAGATTCCGAAGTGTTTGCAAGTCTTGGTACACTCTCATCACCCATAGCCATGAATTTCAGCTTTGTCACCTGAATTCAAAAAGCACTCATCCTCGTCGTTTGGTTTGTTTTATGCCTCGAAATTTTTTTCCAGTACATACAACAGATTGTTTCTGGGTTTTTGATGAATCCCTCACTTCTAAAAAGCATTTACCATGCCATCTTCCTTTGGAAGATCGAGAACCTGGAAACTTCTGGAAAACGCAAGTAATTGGATCATCCCATGGGGTTTGTTGTCTTTTTCATCCCGACGGAGATTATTATCAGCCAGAAAGAAGATGGATGCAAGAGAAATACTTCATGTTTTTGTGGAACCCTTCTATTAGGAAATATAAGGTGGACCATCCACTACATGTCCCTTCAAGGGATAGATACAGAACGATGAGTATGTTGATGGGATTTGGATATGCCTCCAATGATCGTGATCACAAGATTATTGTAATCACCACAGATGAACACGGCAAGGATCGTGTTTTCCTTTACTCTCTAAGGACGAGTTCTTGGACTGAAATCAGACTCAGAGCAAAACTTAAATATTGGGGACGTCTTGTAACGGAAGATGACTCTGGGACTTATTTCAATGGAGCTTTTCACTGGGTAAGATTTTGGAATTTGTTGTTGTTAATTACTCTATATTTATTTTGGAACAATAATCTTGAATATAAAAAAAAAAATCGACTATTCAAAATTCAATCTGCAAGGTATGATGTTTGAAAATCTATAGATACCAGATCTTTAGAAACCAAATAAAATCTATATTTTTATAGTTTTACATTACGATTTTTTCACATTGAATGGTACTAATTCTCAGCTATTAAAAAAAAAATTACAGGTAGTTTATACCAGTGATAAAAGCAAGGGAGTAATAAATTGCCCGGATAATTATCATATAATGGTGTGCTTCCATGTCGAGAGGCAGGAGTTGTACTACTTCGACCTAGTACCAATGCAGATGGAACCATACAAAGGTCAAGGTCGGTCTTACCAACCCCTTGTTTACAAGAACATGCTCTCGATTTGTGACATAATGGGGTATGAGATTCCAGATGATCCTACACCCCTAAGCATAAGATTGTGGTGTAAGAAGGCATAAAGGAACACCAGTTCTTGGACTCTTTTGTTTGAAGTGCAGACACAGGAGGGTTGGTTGTTCCGCCAACTCCTCTATGGAGCATACTATGATGGAGACGATGACAATGAGGATCCATCTTTGCTAGCTAAAGATTTAGTATGGACGTTTGACCCTCATAATCAACAACTTAAGCCACTCCCTACAAAAACTGGTGTCGTTAATCAATTAATTCCATACCAGGAAAGCCTTATTCTTTTGTGATAATTTGCTACTGATTTTTGTTTTGGATCTTGCTCTTTTCATCAATTTATTGTGGAATTTTTATTTATAGTTTTTGCCATTGTTATTCTTCTTTTGTTGCGATGACAATTTAGTTCTCTTTGTTAAATTGCTAAAGATTTAATAGTTCTCTTTTTTTAAATCTTTAGCTTTTAGTAGTTTGAGTGATCTCATTACTCATCAAGGAAAGTACTTAGTATGCTTTATGAACCCGAGATATGTAACACTTGTTGACATTACATATTTAAATTTGCATTATGAAAACTTGAGCATTATACAAAGTAAATACTCCATTAAACTTTGTGTTTGACTATGTGATGGTATTCTCCGTATTTTTAATCATATCAGAAAAGATAAGTATGATAAAATAAGGGCCTTTTCTCTTACGTTGAAATTTCAGTTGAGCTCAGTCAATGAAAACAGGCCCTAAGTTTAGAATAAAAAGCGTTAAAGGGCTTATTCAATTTTGAAATTACCGCTAAAATAAATGAGGGCCGCAGCGTGATAAAAAAAACTTGTCAATTGTATACCCAACCCAAATGTAAACTGATTCAAACTCAATTACTCAACTTTAAAAATTGACTCGATAGCATAGAACCCAATCCGAGTATACCAAAATCAGATACAGGTGGACCCCGCACCGCCACCCCCGCCATATCCATCATCTACTTTCAGACTTGTTCATCATTCTTCACCAATTCAATTTTCATCAAAACTCTTCTTCCCAACAACACCTTCGATCTCTCTTTCTTCCTTCCTTGATTTTCTCTCTCCTCTCTCAAGGGAACAACAATGGAGAATTCATCCCAATCTCTGGTTGATTTCTGGGGAGTAATCACCGAATCAAAGCGTATAATCAATGCTCACTCCCGCCATTTCTTAGCCCTTTCAGTTCTCTTCCTTCTTCCTCTTTCCTTCTCTCTTTCCGTCTTCCCTACTCTTCTTCACACCTTCACTTCCCCTCAACCCAATCGCATCGTCTCTCTCCTCCGCCATAACTCCGCTGCACCTCCGATTCTTCTCCACCCCACTTTTCATCAACCCCACCATAAAACCCTCGTTTTCTCTCTCCTCTTTTCTGCCTTTATCCTCCTTTTCTCTCTCCTTGCTTTTGGGTCAATTACTTTCTCTGTTTTTCATGGCTTCTATGGCAGACCCGTTAAGCTTATTTCTGCGATTGCCTCTCTTCTGCGCTCGTTTTTCCCTCTTTTGGTTACTTTTATTGCTGCCCAGATTGTGATTTTTCTGATTTTTGCGTTGTTTGGGGTTTTAGGTTATCTGGGTGTCAGGGGAATTGAGGTAATTGAAGGTGAATTCTCGTATAATTCTCCTTACTTTTATGGGATTTCTTTAATTGGGGCGGTTTTATTAGGGTTAGTTTTGGTTTATGTTGGGGTGAATTGGATTTTGGTTAACGTGATTGTTGTGGTTGAATCAAAATGGGGGTTTCAACCCATGGCTAGGAGCAAGGATTTGGTGAGAGGGATGAGATGGGTGGCACTGTCTTTGATCGTATTCTTCGGGTTTTTCGAGCTCGTGTTGTTGTGGATCAGTTTGGCTTCCGGGGGCGATTCGATTGCAGTGGAGGATGGGTGGAATACATGGGCGTTTGCTGTTAGAATTGTGGCAACTACTGCTGTTTTAATGGTGCTTTTGCTTCATGGAATTGCCGCCACTACGGTTTTGTATATGTATTGTAAGGCTTTGCACGGCGAATTAGCCGGGGAGATTGCTCATGAGTTTGCTGCTGATTATGTTAGCTTGCCCTTTGATGATCAGAAGGTCCCTCACATTGTTTGTTATGTGCATTGAGGTAGTTGCTTCCTTTAAGGTTAGTTTGAATTCAGTCTTATGTTAATCCTGTAATTTTTGGTTAAAATTTCTTTAATCTTTGTTATATTGCTTCATTGAGGAATTGTTGGAAAAGGAATGAAATTTAGATATTTAGGAGACGATGACTTGGTGATATGGATGCCTGAATATGTTGACCCCGTTAATGTATGAATGTAGTCACAACTAATTTGAATTCGTAGCAAAACTGATGTTGCTTTGCCATGGTTCCAAAATACTGTGTATGAAAAAGAAAATATTCGAAATTTCTTTTGTAGTCCACATTTCTCTTTGTATGCTAAAGTAAGATCTTTAATATGTCTTGGAGTTCTGTCAGTTTGTCATACATGAGTTTATTATCTTGATTTTTAGCATCCTTCAGCTTTTAATAGATCAAATGCCTTTGCAATCTGCATCCTTTGACTAGAGAATCATCAATTTGGAGTGCAGTTAGAATTTAAGACTGTTTAGGGCATAATTCAGTGTAACTAGCTGATGCTATTTTTTGTACAATTACAAACATATTTGCGCATGCAAATGGATGTATAATACTCCCTTTGTTCCCCGAAGTTCTTCCCTTTTATTGTAGATACACATACTAAGGATAATTAACAGTATAATTTGGTACATGTAATTACTCTTTAGAGAGATAATTTGTGATAAGAAAAGTGATCCCAAAAAGTGGGCCAAGTTGGGGTAAAATGATATTACAGGTATTTCCTTAGCAAAAATGAATAGCTTCATAGAATGACCCTAAATGGGTAGAAATTCATGGAATTGAGGGAGTAGGTCATGTATCCGCATTAAGAACTCCATGATTTTAAAAACTACTTGGTCTTTTAGGTTTCTTGGTGAGTGAAAGAGAGAGCAACAGTTACTAGTTTGCTATTAGATCAATTTTGGCTTCTCTTTCAGCAGAACAAGGCAATATATACTAGTCATATTACGTTTTACATGAGTACACAAGGCATCACTCTGTCTACTCCACCTCGTTATAATGGCTGCTTTCTTGTCTTTCTATAACCTTTGGGTTGATGCCAAATCCTAGATTTCTTACCTTAGCTCCATTCTTCATTTTGTGAAGTGGACTATCTTTTTCCACATAGATGAACGCTAATGTAAGATTCAACACTTACCACACCCTTGCTCAAAATTAGTTTTTACATTGTCTCAAATCACTTGATTTCTGTATTTTAGGAAGTAATTCTTTTTATGCACTCAAGTGCACCCAAGGTGGTTTTTTTTTTTTTTTTTTTTTTTTTTTTTTTTTTTTTTTTGGGAATTTTCAATGGTAACCCTAATTATTGCTACACTGAAATAGTAATCCTTTTTTTTAAAAAAAAAAATTCTCAAAATTACCGTAGTTACAATTATTTCTCACCTATGACATTAATGAGACTTCATTGAATTAGATTCTATGCAAATGTTAACCATAATTAAAATAAACAAGTAAATTAGTTAGCCCTTGTCATCATCACCTCTCTACTTCACACAACCTCTTTACAACCTCCTCTTCCGCCACCACCACCACAGTCACTCTCACCTTCCTCCTCCCTCCCTCTCTCCTCCATGGATCAACCATAGCTGACTTGAAACGGCGAAGCGCCAACCCCCATGCTTACCCTTACCTTTACCCAGCCCAAAAGCCCAACCCCACCACCACAATGGGCCTCACCCGTGGATGAACTCACCACTCGGACCACCACCTCTTGCTCCCACACTTACTCTTTCTTGTTTAGGCTTCGGTAACCAACTACACTTCCTCGCAGGTGCCTTAACTTAGGTGGTCAGCTGCATTTCTTCATTGGATTCTCAACATCTTGATGGTGGGTAGTGTTTTGGAAGATTTATGTCGCATTATACCGCCTTATTCTAGGAGGAATGAGAGTTGGAATTGAGGGGGGAGAGTAAAGGAGAGGAAGAGAAGAGAAAGGGTGAAGATGAAGGGGTATTTCTTTTCATGGCAGAAAGTTGAAATCTCCATTGCTGAACAGAGGAGAGAAAAGGCAGAGGAAGGGGAAGAAGGGAGAGTTTGTTGGATGTAAGGGGTTGTGATGATGGTGTCAGTGGTAGTTGTTTGGTGGTCATTATAAGCTTTGGCAGCGAGGTTGAGGGGAAGGAGTGTTTTTTTTTTTAATTCCTAACCATAGTTTCTTTTTTTTATCAAAAAATTAAAACAAAACCCTTATTAATGTCATAGGTGAGAAAAATTATAATTAGGGTTATTTTGTAAAATAAATGAAGGATAATTCTACATGGTGACCTCCAAGATTTGAAAATTCTGTTTGGTGGAAAAAAAATTTGGCCATAGTTGTCAGTGACTCCTAATATGGTATAAATCTATTTAGTGACCCTAACCCCCCTAAATTACTGACCTACCCCCAAAAAATTACTAGCTCTCCTTCTCACGCAGCACCTGCTGCAGCTCTCACTGCTCAACACCACCAAAGCATCACCCTCCTCCCACCGCACCAGCATCACCATACACAACCGCAACAGTCCCACAACCATCCATCTAAGCTGGCAAACACCCAAACACACTGCAACAATCGCAACTGCTCTCACTGCTCAACACCACCAAAGCATCACCCTTCTCCCACCGCACCAGCATCACCATACACAACCGCAACAGTCCCACAACTATCCATCTAAGCTGGCAAACACCCAAATACACTGCAACAATCGCAACTTTCACCCCAGTTGATTTTGATGGCAGGGGGATGGCTGTAAAACGAAGCAGATGAATAGGTGGATTCGTGGTTGGGTGGGGTGGATCTTGTGGCTGGGTGCGTGGGTTTTCAGTAGTGGGGTTGGTTACGGGTGAAGGGGTGGAATTGGCTGGGTTTTCGGGCTGGTTGGTGGTGGCTGGACGATTGTGGGGTCAATGTTGCTGGTGGCTTAGTGGCTGGACAATTGTGGGGTCAATGTTGCTGGTGGCTTAGTGGCTGGACGATTGTGGGGTCATCAGTGGTGGTGGTATTGTGCTAACTAAGGGGTAGATTAGTAACAGAATGTATATAGGTTAAGAAACTAACCATAAACCAATGGGTTAGCTATTTTAATGATAATTTGCACGCTATATAGAGTTAATCAAATATAGGTCACTAGAAACTATGGCCAAAATAAATTTCCACCTAATAGAATTTCCAATCTCGAAGGCTGCCATGTAAAATTTAAGCGAGGGTTACCATTTCAGTGTAGCAATTGTTTAAGACTTTAGAGCTGCCATTGAGAATTTTCCCTTTTTTACTTTTTTTTTCCTTTTTTTTTTCTCAAATGTTAAAATAAATAAATTACGTAGTACTCCGTAGTAAATAAAATCAAATGAGTAATAAGTATTTTGGGTTTCACCTACCTCCATGTGCATACAAGTACATGTAAGAATCTCTCAGGGAACTTATGGCCTAAACAATATATGTTCTAGCAGTCTAG